GGCTAGCGGGTAGTAGGCTGTTTTTTAAGGGGATAGTGCCACTAGCTAGACGGAACCTAGTTTTCTAAAATTTCTTTTTTTAAAAGAAGCGTGCGCCTGGCCTAATAAACGTTTTTTAATTATTTGAAGGCATACTACAAAAAATCACTTTGGCAAATTTTTACTAATGATAAATTTTACACAGAAATTCACTAAATTTTATTTTTAAGTGATCTATTTTTATCTTTAAAGGTTCATAACGTATTACAGCAAAATTATCGTATCAAAACAATTACCGTAAAATTGAGATAAATGCCGTACTACTTTTCGAACCTCACCCCAACCGCCAATTCCTAAATCCATTCCGCTTTTTCGTAAAACTCAGAAAAAAGGCGCAAATTAGCACATCTAAGTGCCAGCCATTTGCCGTTCCCATAATTACTTATGCGAGAAAAATCCAAATTATAGATCGTAGCTCGGAGCCGGAACAATTTGATTTTCTGTCTAGTCTCTACAACAAGGGATCGGGGTAGTTTAATGAAATCGGTACGAAAATCTCTCAGTTCTAGACTACATGAATGGGCGGCCAGCTCAATTAATCCGGCGGAAGATGGGGTTCATCGACTGGACCCTCGGGAATTTTGAATTTACAATTAGAAAAAAGAAAACCGATGCGCTTGTGAAGGATTTGGATGTCTAGAAAAGGTAAGAATCGATCTAGTGGTGTTGGGAAACGTTCGATCTAATAAGTGAAGTGAAAAAGGGTCTGTTCGACCTCACATACCACCTGCATGGGCTTCAAATAGATGGCTTTTCCGGCGGAGAACACCTGCCGGTCGGAAAAAACTTGACGTAATAACGAGTTTAACAAAGACTTTGAGAAGAAATGAGAGATGATTGAACTTAGAAGGCGCTTTATAGGTTAAAATAATTCTGATAGGCAAAAAACCTACAAAATTAGCATAAAGTCTAGTAACTAATTGAATCGATATTTCGAACGAAGTCAAAAGGACGTTTCCCAAAAAATGGCTACTACTGCAAGCCTGCGTGTGGAGCAACATTGCGTGGGCTCCCCCCCGCCCCGCTTGCTGAAAATGGGACCGATATTGAACGTTTGAGCAGCTGTTCAAATGGACCACTGCAGTTTCGGAAAGAAAACATTCTTTAGTCATGTGTCGCCTTTGTGCCAATGGTTCGGATAGCAGAAAAAAGGGAAGGAAGGCGAGGGGGAGAAGCAGGGGGTTAAGGCACTCAAAATTTCCGGATGCCCTTGAAGGCAGAGTGATGAAATATGTGTGCGATAGGGGGAGAGGAAAGGTGCCAAGCGGTTTAGCACGAGACATCAGAATTTGGAAATGGATTGGAATTTTAAGAGGAGCTAATATAGATTTTTCTAAAGTTTTTAGACAGTTTTTGATACATTTGTCAGCAATTTTCAGGTTCTCGCACCTTAAAAAAGTTTCTCCACCCTCGAGAACCGTCGAAATACATTGAATTTGGAACTGGATTTAAATTTTTGAGGGTTATAAATGTTAAAATTTTAGATACCTTTAAGACAGAACATGTCATATATATTTTGGTCCTGAACACCTTAAAACAATTTGTTAAATACTCAGATCTACCATATATACGCCTGGTTCAACACAAGACATCAGAATGCGGAACTAATCGGAATTTTAGCGTGTATTGGATCAAATCTTTATGTTAAAGATTTTGCGACCCTTAAGCCAAAATCCTCTATCATTCCCAATCGCTAACACCCCCAAAAAAGCTTCCCCATCCCCCCAGAACCCTCAAAATACACGCCCTTATCAAGCCAATTTCCTGAGAAAACCAATTTCCAGGGGCCACACAGCCGTTTTTTTTGTTGCACATGCAGCCTGTTTGCTAAATTGCGCGCAAATAAGGGCCGCAGGCTAATTTTGCAGCACTCCTGAGAATGGGCCCACGGCCATTTGGACCTAAAAGAAACCCGAAAATTCAAAAAGTGCGAAAACCGGAAAATGGAAAGTGCGATAACTAGAAAAGCGGTAGACCGACTTTCACGAAATTTACAAAAAATTAATTTAATTTGGTGGAGGGAAATGGGGTCGGCTTGGCGGCTGGGCTGGAGGGGGAATGAGGGCATTAATTTAGCGGGCCCGCGGGGGGCCTCCAGCGGCCAGAAACACTGGTCGCTCTCTGTGGATTGCAACCTTTTTGTATCGATTGGTGGTTATGTTATGTGAGTGGTTGAAATGGGAGAGAAAGAATGGGGGAGCGGAGGGGTGAAGCCGGAGGGGGAAATGGTAGAAGGAGAAGGGCTGCTGCTCACCGGCACCGAGGAGGGGGAGAATCGAAGCAGAAGCACGAGAGCACCACGAGGGCCACAGGGCAGGGCTCTAGAAGAAAAGGAGAAGGAGACCGGGAGAGAGACTGAAAAAAAGAGAAGAGGGGGCCCTGAGCTGGCCGCTGGGCAAGGGGGCAACGGAGCTCAACGGGCCGCGGTGGGCCCTCTCTCTTTGGACCCCGCCAAAAAAATGCATGCCGCCCAGCGGGGAGGGGGAGAAAGAAAAAAAGATGGAAAGAGAGGGCGAGCTGTGCCCCTTCCAAACACAGCTGCATCAAAAACGCGAGTAACTCGGGACAGGGGGCCCTTCGTGAGGGCCAGGGCCCGGGAGGCAATGGCTAGGTGAAAAAATGAACGGGTCGCCGGGGGTGTGGTACGTGTGGGTTTTAAGGTTTGGACGGTGAGAATGAAGGTAACTGGATCCGACATCCGGAAGTTGTTGTTTTCCGGTTGTGACCTTTCTTTTGATGTTAATGAAAAGCCTCTACCCTCTCCTCACCTGCCACCGGCACCATAAAACCTAATTTTACCAAGAAACCAGAAACCGAAAAAATAGAAAAAACTTGGTACCCCGATGTAGACTAATTGTAGCGGCACCCTCAACGGCCTTGCCCCCCTCCCGAACCACCTATTTTCGAGATCACAGCGGTCGATTTCAGGGTTTTCGTCCCCTCTCAAGGCTAATTACACTGCAAAACAATCTGACAGCCTCTATTCACTATTTTTGAGAATGAAGCATTGAGTTAAGCTGCAAGCCTCAATTCTTCCAAAAATTACGAAAGCTCTTAAATCTCCCTGGCAGCCCTAATTTTGTTACATTCTCCATTGTCCCCCGGGGCATACACACAACTACCTTGCAAATCCCATGGTGAATGCGCGCGTCCAGTCACCTTGGCGATCATTCAAAAACTCGCTAGGAGAGGCGACACAACACAAAAACCCTGGAAACCCGCTGTGGTGGAGCAAATTTTTGGGGCTAAGGGGAGACACCGAGGCGGAAGCCCCGGAAGTGGGTGGTGAAGGTGCGTGGTGGGCCATGGGTGGAGGTGAAAAATTTGGGTTTGGAGGTCTTATAAACCGTTAGAAAAAATTTAGGTTTCCACTAACTTCTGAAATGGGTGGGTCGCCATTAAGCTTCGGATAGACAGCTTCTAGACACAGAAAAAAACAAATTGAGTAGATCAAGCTCTTGTCTCTCCGCTTCCTTTTGAACAAGTTAAGGAACCGTGAACTTTCGATGCAAACATGTCAAACGAAAAACGAAGCGCCCAACCTCCTTGACAAGGCGACACATCTCCCGGAAGGTCAATTCCGTTCCCGGAACCCGCGGGTCTGCCCCCAACCCGGCCATCATTAATGTCAGGGGCAGCAAGTGGCTGACCCAATGCCGCCCAAAAACCCAAAAACCACAGCCTATGCCTAAGCCTAAGCTCAGGGCTAAACCTAAGCCTAAACCTAAACTGATGCCTAAGCATAAGCCTAAGCCCAAGCCTAAAGCCTAAGCCTAGAGCCTAAGCCTGAGCCTAAGACAAATCTAAACCCATGCATGACCAACCCCAAACTTCTCAAATCAACACCCAAATCTAATGAAATCACCTCCCCCTCCCACTAATCCGATGGGTGTATTGAGGGTGTTCTTGTATGGGTGCCAACAATGTGCAGCGCATGAAGCCCAAGAGGTCCAGTTGTTCCCCCCGCAAAACGGCGGCCCGCTTATTGGAAAAAAGCACCCAACGGCCCCTCAGCGGCCCCCAATTAGCGCGGAGCCTATTGAATTTGTGCCAATGCTGTCGAATACCGGGTGGAGAGTGTGTGTCTACGCTTGAAGGGAAAGTGGAAATAATTACAAAAAGAGTTTGCACTTGAGAGAATAGAAGGGGGGGGGGTGCTTCCTGATTGAATACGGGATTAAAATAAATTTCGAGGTTTGCAAAAGGGTGGAGGCTTGCCTCTAAATCGACCTATTTGGCTTCATAAATAGGCTTAATTTGCAAAATAATATTTTCTTTGAATAACCGAAAAATCGGAATAAATCACAACGGCAAAATTAGAGCAACTTGGCATGAAAAATGTTGAAAAAGTAGTTATATGACAGAATTAGTGGAATATAAAATAAATTTTTGGAGCTAGGATGCAAATTAGGTGATTTAGCATGTTATCAGCATGCATTTAGTAGGAATGTAATAAAAAGGGTAATTAGTCTAGTCTGTAATAAAAAAGTGTAAAAAAGTATTAAGTAAACATTCCAAGAACACAATGTTTCTTTGCCAATAGATTGTGGTAAGCCGGTGAAAATTAGGTAATTTGCATACGTTTTGATTTGCATCTTTTTCAATGGCAGAAAAGAGGCTTCAAAAGGTATTAAAGTTCAATCAATATTCGAAAACGCTCCTTAATGCCCAAACCCAAAATTAACATTCCAACACATGACCTTGGATTGCCACAAAAACACCTCGGGTCACGAAGCAGCCATCCCGACGCCAATTCTCCGCCCTCCCACCGTACCCCCATCCCGCCCTGATTCAGGGCTCTCTTTGCCCTAATCATTGGTCTTCAATTCATCGCGTACCACTCCCGCATTCTCCCCCTGGTCAATGCCCAGTTTTGCACCGTGTGTGGTCCATTTTCCGATTTTCGATCGATAAAATTATAGAAGGCAATTTCAGGTAAATCCTAAACCAACCGCACCAAGATGTCGGGTGGTGGCAAGGACCGTATCGCCGTTTTCCCATCTCGAATGTAAGTTGAAAGTAGAAAATATTTGATTTTTTGGGTTTTAGGGCTCAAACCCTGATGAAGGCTCGCCTGAAGGGAGCCCAAAAGGGACATTCGCTGCTCAAGAAGAAATCCGACGCTTTGAACATGCGTTTCCGTGACATTTTGAGGAAGATTGTCGAGGTACGTCTTAAAAATCGTAAACATTAAATTCGCAGATTAAATGGATGCAATTTATCTCGAAACTTTTTCTAAATTGTAAAACTCGCACCCGAAACTGCTTTGATTCCTGAAAAGTTGATTTTCTATCAAATTATACGCTTAAAATTTGCATAAAATAATACTTACGCTGTAAATCTATGTAAATCATTAAAACTAAATAAATTCTGCGTGATTTCAGAACAAAGTCCTGATGGGCGAGGTCATGAAGGATGCCGCTTTCTCCCTGGCTGAGGCCAAATTTACTGCTGGCGATTTTTCGCATACCGTCATTCAGAACGTGTCCCAAGCCCAGTGGCGTGTGCGTATGAAGAAGGAAAACGTTGTCGGTAAGTGGTTTCCTTATAAAAAATATAGAAAAAATATATCAAGCCGCCTTTCTACTTAAAAGCATATGTTTTTTTAATTATCAAGCCATGCAAATTACGTATTTTGTTAGTATTTCGCGAATATAAATTAAATTAATAATTTCATATTTTTTTCAGGTGTGTTCCTTCCCGTTTTCGATGCCTACAAGGAAGGCTCTGATGCGTATGATCTTACGGGTCTCGGCAAGGGCGGTGCCAACATTGGACGTCTGAAGGCCAATTATGCAAAGGTAGAACATGAAAAATCTAATTTTATTTTTATTCTTAGGCCGTTCAACTTCTCGTGGAGCTCGCCACGCTGCAGACTTGCTTCATCACCTTGGACGAGGCCATCAAGGTCACTAACCGCAGAGTCAACGCTATCGAGCACGGTGGGTTTTTGAGATATGCAAATTGGGGATTAAGACTTTATGTATAAAGCCTTGTAGGGGTTGTGTTGATGCTAACTTGATAGCTTAAGGCTATACTAAAACTGAAAGCGTTGCGAATATGCTGTTTATTTTACCTGAACGAGCTCAAAAAAACTGGAAATGTTGTTTTTATGCTAATTTAAATCGATTCTTGATTAAGGTATATAGCTGAAAATATGAAAGTGAAGGCGTCTTATTACGCTAATTTGATTAGCCTTTGGTTTTGTGCCTAGAAGTCCTAGAAAAACAAATATTTAGTTTCTATGCAAATTTGAATCCTCTTTCGCTTAAAATATAGCGAAAACTATATAAAAGATTATTTTCAGTTATCATCCCGCGTATCGAAAACACATTGACTTACATCGTCACCGAACTCGACGAGATGGAGCGTGAGGAATTCTTCCGGTAGGTCGTAGCTTTCAAAACCCAATATTCTGGCCTTTTTTACAGTATGAAGAAGATCCAAGCCAACAAGAAGAAGCTGAGGGAGCAGGAGGCTGCCGAGAAAGCGGCTCTTGGTATTAAAGAGGAAGAAGATTCTGTGGATGTGGGTTTTATTCATTTTTCAACTTATGCAAATTAAAGCTGTAAATTATCAATTTTACATAAAATTACAGGATTCACCAGCGCAACAGAGAAACATCTTGCAACAAGAAGATCAGACGCCGATTCTCTTCTAAAAGATCTTTTAGATCAACTCCAACCAATTTGTTCCCTGTTTTGTATCAAGAACTTGTCTCCGCCCCATCCTAGCTAGTGCTTGTAGACACACACACCCACAGGGCGCTAGTAGTATTCCACTTTTTACGTTGGTCTAATTCTATTGAATAGGGTCATTTGTCTCTTTGCCACCACCACCACCAACATTGTCGGGGAGTGCGGCTCCTCCCCGCCCCACGACGCCACCTTCTCATTCCATGGTTTATGTGATATTGATCCCCGGAACCGAGGACGCCTGTGACTCGCCTCTACGTTTTTTTTCTTGGCCTGTATGAATAGCAAATAAAGACATTTTATAAATCTAAAATTTTTCTACATTCCATTACTTCAGAAACACAAGGCTGGCGGTGACAGCTCCGGCTCGAGAGATTTCCCTTTCAATTTGGCGCCCTAGAGAGATTTGTTGTCCAATTTCACGCCCACACTACCCCCCATATAAATTCCCTTTCAAGTATAATTCAATTCAAAATTGCCCATTTGGGCGACAGCTCTCTCATCCCCGTAAAAGGCGGCCAGGGTATCGATCGGTTGCGCCCCCGGCCCTGCACACCCTTTCAATCTTCTTCCCCAAAACCCAATGTTTTTCGGTGCTACTCAACTCGGTTTTACTCTCACCATACACAAAACATCTCGTTGCATAATTCAGTTTTTGGTATTGACTACTGTGAGAATTTCTGGGCACTTTTTCTCCGATTGCCGTTCACTAACGTACACTTTCAGGGCAATGTCCCTCCTCTTCGATCCAAATTACACGATCCTTACTGAAGAGAGAAGCTGGAAGCTGTTTAACCAAATTTTAGTAGCTTCCCAGATTTTTGGTAAGCTCTAGAAATCTATGTTTTGCATTAATTTATCTTTTAGGAGGCCTAGCGATAGTATGCGTGGCCATCTGGATGGGAAGCTATGGGGGCTATGGCTGGACCGAAGATCCGGAACGGGAATTCCACTACCATCCGACATTTATGGTGATGGGAATGGTACGTTGGGTTCTGTTGACCTCATAAAATTGGATTTCACTAGAATTATGTAAATTTTAGGTATTCCTATATGGAGAATCGATCATCATCTATCGTGTCTTCAGAAATGAAAGGAAAAAGTTCACTAAATTACTTCATGCGGCTCTTCACTCAATGGTAAGCTGAAAATTTCGCAATTTTATTTATCATTGATTTTTTCAGGTACTCATTTTCATGATCATCGCCTTGAAAGCCGTATGGGATTCACATGATTTGCATCGAGGCCCGGATGGTAATTTTTTAAGCAAAATTTGAGTACTTTTGAGCCTAGGAGCCTTGGATCCGCTTCCAAACCTGATTTCCCTTCATTCCTGGATCGGTATCACTACCGTAATCGCGTTTTGCGGACAGTATGCCCTCGGCTTCAGCTCATTCCTATATCCTGGACTTTCGATGACAACCCGCCAGATTATCATGCCATTCCATCAAGTGAGAATTAGCCTAGAATCCTAAACCCACATTTTTAGCTCTTCGGCCTTGTTATATTTGGGATGGTGTCGCTGACGGTTGCTCTTGGGATTTCTGAGAAAGCCGCCTGGGCTCATACGTAAGTTTTAATGAGGCTTCGGGCATTATCAGCTTAATACTACCCCAGATCCCTTCAATTCACGACTTTGTAGTTGCTGGACGAAGGGGAAAGAGATGTGCGGGCAGCAGTTGGTATCGAATTTCGTGGGAGTATCGGTCTTCCTATATTCGCTCTGCATCGTCATCTTGGTATAATATTAACGAATTTCTTTGTGAAAGCTATACTTTGAAAAGACTCTAAAATTAAAGCTATTTTTCTATAGGTCGGAAATCCACGCTGGCGCCGTAAGCCCCTACCCGAAGAGGAAATGCTTCATGGGATGAATATGTCATCAAGCCGCGATCCAATGGATTAAAAATCTCAACAAAACTTTTATTACATATTTTTGTTAGTCACACAGTACTTAAAGTACCTACCGTATCCACTGCTAGTCCGGCTGGTCGTGCCAATGCATTTAGGGACATTTAGACCCAAACGCTTTTACCTGCCTTTTCATCATTTATATCCTATGTCACCTGTTGTTAGTCAGAAAAACATATCTGCACATTTCACGCATCCACCCACCCCCCACCTTGATCTCTGTCTGTTTATACGGTTGTTTTCGCTGAGTATTTCGATAAATATTTCGCTATTCTTTATACCGGTATTGTTTTTAAAGCCAAAGACATGCAAATGAGGTAAGGAACAGTAGATTAATTCCTGGAAAAACGGAAGCAGAGGGTCTACATTTGAGATCAGAAAACATGGCCTCGCACATCGAACTATTTGGATAACAATCCGGATCGTAGTGACAACAACAAATTACGGTATTATTGTGGAGTTGTATTTTTGGGACAGAAACTAGACGAGGGGCTGTTGCCAGAACGGAATGTTCCATCCGAATACCATCTACGCGGGGTAGTAAATCATTCAAATCCTCGATCAAGCTTCCATTGACGATTAGAGATTCTACATTGCTATTTTCCAAAGCCTTGTGGGAGAAAGGGAGATATGTTCTATCTAGGTAAAGCTCTCGGATGCGGGATTTTCGTGCCATTCCTTCTTCCAACCCGAGTATTTTGGAATCGCTGATTCGCAAGATAGAGATTGTCTAAAACAAATTTAATATTAGGTGTGTTATGCCTAAATACCTGAGAGTTGATAGCACGCGTTTTAAAGCTAACTCCTGCATGAAATATTTCCAAGGTGTCAAGCTTCGATGGAAGGCTTTCAATGCTTAGCTTCGAAATTCGATAGAGATAAAGCGCTCGCAACGAGTTATCTCCTCCTTTAACCTCGAGCTAAAGGGATAGCTAGCGACTTTTATAAAGGAAATACCTCCTCACAATCCCCTAACACCATTATTGTCAAATTTGTCTTAACCGGAAGTTCGGCAACGGTCGATTCTGAAATCTCAAATGCTAATTTTAAAGGTATTTTTAAACCTGAGCAGATACACTCTAACAATCTCCAATGCGAACGACAAATCAGCCCAGGATAATAGACAGTAGACGGTTGAAAGCATGCCTGTGTCACCTAAAAAAGAAAAAAGACACTTCGCCTCGATTCCGTTTTACAACCCAATTTGTCCACCCACTTTTTGCAAGCAAGTGTTCCCCTCAAACTTCCACAACAGAGGGTGGACGAACGGCCGGAACTGCAGGGAATTAGCCTCGCAATCGTCGCTCTCGCATCGAATTTTGTTGTTGGAGACCTGGAATGAATTATTTAAAATTTAAAATTTTTTAATTGACCACTAGGTGAGTCGGTGTAGTTTTTGCCAATAGTGAGTTTTGAAGCGCGACGTGAAGTTGGTTTTTGTAGAGCGACATTGTGAATACCTAATTTTTGGAATTGGGATTTGAAAAGAAATTATGCAAATTACCTTCGTATTGTCCAATATTTCCGAGCTCATTCTCCCTATTTTCGTATGCCCAATCCTGATCTCTCTGATCCTAGCATTACCCCACGCGGCTCCTTGTAAATTTTCGATTCCACTATCCACAACCTCGAACAAATCGATCGTTGCATTTTTGAGCGAGGCCCCCTGAAATGCCCGGTTTCGACTTTCAAACAATAATATTGCCCCCTACCAGCCAGCGATGGACCTGCGAACGCTTGAATTCGAAATGCCCGATTTTCGCGCCCAACCACACGGCATGGCCCACATCCCCGATTGTCGTTTCCTAAAAAATGGGTGAAAATCGTGCCTGGGAAGTAGTCCCGTCGGCGGCTCCCAAAACAAACCATAAATTTGATATCTTCTGCTTCGATCTCGGCGAAAGAGCGCTTTTCAATAGAAGCTATCGAGCTCCCATTCACTATGAAGCTTTTGAAGGCGAGGCCACTAAAAGATGCTTAAAATTAGCATAATTCCTGACCTGAAAGAATCTGGCTCGACGTTTTCAATCGTAGAATCTTGTATATGCAACTGTCGATTATACTTCGAAACTGATATTTCACGATTTCTTAAAGAGCATTATTTTCCATAGAAAAGCATCCTACCGTATCTTGGAAATACTACAATTTTTTATGCTGATTTTTCCAAAATCCATATACAGCTTCGGAACGAACGTATTCAACACCACATTTTCGAAGCTAAAATTTTTATATTTGCATAATTTGCATTTCCCACCTCAGACTCGAATTTTTCCGATTCCCGAGTTGCACTTTATCACCACGAGCTGTAACTGTTAGCTGGGAATTGGTTATTAGCATCCCATCACAATTTGTTCCTAAATTTAGCACATTAATAATTTTTCTAACGTTTTAGTTACCCGCCAAAAACCCCTCATCCACTTTGGCCCTCACATCGTCCCAAACAATTTCTTCAATAGAAGACCCGTAGAATAATTCATGTTCGGCGGCTTGGATGTCGATGCTGCCGCGTAGATAAAAATGTTTGATCGATTTTAGGCCGGCTGGAAAGTTTTTGAGTATTTTTCGGTCGTTAGAGTTGTACCAAATGCGTTTGCTCTTAAGTGTTTTAGTTGAACATCTCGAAAATACACATAAAGTACATCAGTTAATCCATCGAACGCTCCTCCATGAATCGAATTTATTGACGAGTTTCTGAAGGTCAAAATCGTTTTTTAGATCCAAATTTCTTGCCTAAACCATAGATGCTCCACGTGAGATAGTCCTGTAAAAGTATTTGGTAGTAATATTGGTAGATGACATCTGTCAATAACGATTTGTCGAGGTGACTGAAAAAGCTTTAAGTCCGATTCTGTAAAAATTCCATCCTAATACTACTACTACCACTACTGGAATCCCCTCCTAGATCACGTTATACCGAGCCCCCCCTAGGGCAAGCCCAAATCTCCTGCTGTGGGCCCCGGCAATTTATCTTCTACCCCCCACCACCTCCTCCACCCCCGCTCTTTCTCCTTCTCCTTCTCCTCCTCCTCCCCTCCTCTTAAGAAATTGCAGAACAGACCATCTGGCCCCCCTCCTCATTGCCCCGTATGCAAATCCATTCAACCGGGCCTGGGCTTCTCATTACCCCGCATTTTCTGCCCAATTTCCCCCGGCCAGCAATGTGGTCCCCCTGGGCACATGGCCCACTTAAGATCCTTGTATATATATTTTAATTAAATATTTATTACCTGCTTAATAAGCCGCAAGCTATGTCAATTTTCGACAAATTCTTAGCTTTTCCTGGGAACCCAAACCCAACTCGCTACTTTGTAACCCAGACCCAATAATTATTGCCTAATGACCCGGCACCGGGCGGCGTTCCGAAGCCGAAAGGAGCTCGTATCCGGCTTGCGCGGGCCGGCTCCCGGCTTCCGGACATGCCATCTGGTTGTCCCTAATGCGCTAATTGTAGATCTGGCCCTCCGGGTGACGGGGGGTTTGGGGTCAGAATGAGACTCAAGGGCCCACTAGGTCCCAGATTCCCGCATTTGGTGCTGAGGATCCCGTCAAGATTTAGCTTTCATTTAAGGTTCGATAGTTTATGATCAGCTTTTACCTGTAAAATGCCTCGAAAAGCATGAGGTTCGATTATGAGCCTCGAGATCGAGATCAGGGAGATCCTGTCGGCTAGGACAACTCCTGAAATATTCAAATTACGGGTGATTTATACTCAATTGTACTCTCTCTGTGTCTTCTCTCTATCTTTCCTTTTCTCTCTCTCGCTCTCTCACTCTCTCTCTCTCTCGCTCTATATCCCTCTCTCTTTCTCTCTCACCTTCAAAAGTATCATTCGCTATCGACAGCCGATGGCAAGAATGTACAGTTAATGACCGCACAAACGCCGCCCCCAGGGAGACGAGGCTCAATTCCGAGTTTATCGTGTTCTCGCAACTAAAAAAGTGTATCAAATTTTGCGCGAATCCGATCCTCCAACATCCCATCCCGATTCTGGGACGCCAGAAAAATTTCGACCCGTCTGTTTTCGCAGCTGCAGAGTTGGGGGGAGGGGGGCATTCTATAAACAATCGAGAGGCGTTCCTCACCCTCAAGCATCTCTTACTATACAGCCATTAAGGTGGAATTGTTTATTTGCGTAGGTTTTTGGAGGGTGTCGAGGTGAAGAAAGGTTTGTTTTAGGTTATTTTTACGTCTGAATTGAGACGGCTTGGGTTTTGAAGGGGCTAGGACAGGACCTAAGATCTTCTGCAATAAATTGCATGGCATATATTAATTTTAAAAGGGCCATTGAAGGAAGATTTTCGCCGAGTTAGTGCGTATTTTTAGTTCCTCTGAAAATAGATATTCCTTTGTTTGGCTAACCCCCTAATTTTCCTCCCCCTAATATGATTCACCCAGAAGTTTCTCCTCTAATCACTTCCGCCGAGAAAACAGTTTTTTCTTGTATTGTCTCCCCTTCCTTCCCTGATTCACATCACCATTTGGTTATTGATGCCACAGTCGTTGTCATTTCTTCAAAAAGCGAGTAAACCTTTTGAGGTATGATTCAGAGGCCCCCCAAAAAAGGCGCGCAGTTCGGTCTCTTGCGCAAAAGAGGCGGAGGAGGAGGAATAATGAAATGCAAACAGCAAGGGACCGCGAGGGCCCAACTAGCCGGGGCGAGAGGGCCCTATTTGGGCTCTCTTTTCTCGGCGGGACTCCGGGAGGGGAGGAGGGTTCGTTCGTTCGGTCGGGACTTCTGTCCTCTCACACCTCACATCGAGTGTTGTCGATTTTCTGGGACGGTGGAATAAATGGGTAGTATTTTCCTTGAAAGGAGCCTGAGTGTATTTCTTGTGGCTTAGCGTAATTTGGAGCGTTCGGAAAACTTTTCTGGGGGTGTTGGGGCTGAAGGCCAGTAATGGATTTCCATTATTTACAATACCAACGGCCGCATTTTTCCTTGCTAATTTTCTGAGTATATTTTTTACGATATGGTGTAAGTTGGATTTTGATCTTATTTTGGTTTTAGTGTCTTGCACTTGGTGTAGTAATTTGGAGCCTTGGGAAGCCTATTTTAGGGGTATCGGGTAAGGCGAGCGGGTAATGGATATCCGATATTTGGCCCGGGGGTTGCTACTAAGGGTTGTTTTGGCATGCATTCTGGGATTGAGGCTGGGTTAGTGGGTGTTTTATACTTTTGCTACATGCCGTTACTTTCGACCGAGTTATCAGAGCGTTCCTTACTGTAAATGTTTGCTTACTAAAAGTTTGAAACCCTCTATTAACGCTTCCGGAAGCTAGAAAACACCGTTTCAGACACTCCCACTTGATCTTTACATTCCCCCCTTTGTTCCCTGACTTCCCCATCCCTTTAAAAAGACCTATTCGGCACCCGGAGCCCTCGAGGTCTCCCATTTCCAGGTGGTGCAGGAGAAGCCAACCGAAAGGGTGGTTGAAGGGAATAGAGAGAGAGAGAGAAAGAGAGAGAAAGCGAGAGAGCGAGAGAGAGAGACGGCTGTTCGTTGAATGGGAGGGAAAGCTCTAATTGTACGCAGTGGGGGCCCACCCCACCCAAGCGCAGACCGCGCGCGCACCCCCATGCAGGGTGTGGCTTTTGGGGTGGTAGACGCGGGGAAGGAGAGCATGTTTCCATGTTCTTTCTTTCTACCTTTTTGATGTTTTCAAAAATACTATTTATTTTCTCGAAATTATCTTCTTCTCCTAAAAAGTTCTATAATGGCTTAAAAAATGTCTCTGTTTTTGCTAGATTTTCGAAGTTTTTGAAGTCTGTATTTTAGCCACAAATTCACAAAAAAAAAACCTTTTTTGCCTAACTACACATCTAGTAGACTAAAATAGTTCTCAAGGCCCACAGCTTTGAGTGTATGTTTCTGGTTCTGGTCTACGAGGAGGGAGGTCGAGGGCTGGTGGTGTCCGGAATGCTGTGATCTGTCCGCTTTCCCGCTGTCCTTTCTGCCCCCGCCGGCCCGCTACACAAGCCCCGCGGCGCTCGCGCGGGAAGCGCTGAGGGCACACAACCACCCAGTCCGCGCCCGGGGGGGACCACTATGCCCACCCATCCGCTATAACTATAGGTGCTCAGTGTGTGTCGATGTTGGTTGCTACTGAACGGGGAGTAGCTAAAAAATATGTTTCAATATTTGGGAATGGAATTTGCATTTTTGAGGAAACTTTTAGGGTTCAACTATAACCCTCCTGACGACTTTCTATCTATTCCAATTAAATTCTATATTAAACGCATTATCCACCAAAAAATCTGGAAATTTTCTAACTTCGAACTTTCAGAATTGCGTCCATTTTTGAGGTTAGAGCAATTGCACATCTAGGCTCTACATAACCGTTTTAAATTCAGGACTATAAAAATGTCAAATTCTCAGAATGCAAGTTTATGCAAATTAGGTATTTCTAAAATCCGAGTATGCAATTCGATATTAGTAAATAAAATCCGTATTTTGTAACTCTGAAAGCTTCCTGAAAACCTACCAACTTTGAAATTCTTTTTATTTTTTAAGCGATCCGGGTGATTCAGGGAAAATTCAGGATAGGTACAATATCCTGAAGCCCAACGATTTTCGATCTAGACTATGAACACGCCTCAGGCTTTTTTTTGTAAAAAATCCTGGGTTTTTTGCGCAGTCAGCAGCGTTTTTAGAAAAAAGTGATGATAAGTACAGTATACTTAAAGACAATCTCTTGCCACCTACTTTAATAAAACCTCTAATAAAGGTACCATTCAACCAAACACCTAACAACCTTTGGTAAAAGCCCTAGTATTTTGGAAATAAATCACGATAAGTACAGGAGGCTCAAACCTGATAATTTGCCACCTTGACAACAAAACCTCTGTTAAAGGTACCGTCCACCCAAAAACCTACCACCACCCCAAATGCAGGCCAGAGCACATCCCATCGATTGGATGAGTCACTCCAAAACCCCACCCGCAGCACGGCCGAGCCCTGTCCTCCCCCCCTTATGGCTATCTCCAGCCACCCCCCACCCACCCCTCCTTATACGGGACCTTCCACCCAATAGAATGGACAGACAGACAAACGAGCAGACAGACATACTCTTTCTTTCCCTCTCTTTCTTTCTCCCCCTCTCCCCCTTCACCTTATTGACATTTACCCACCCCCTACCAACCCTAGAACGGGCCACCGGCCCACCCACCCGGTCATCTACACACCGGGAGTTGGCTGGTACCTTTAATGGGATTTTTTATGGCCTATTAAGCTTACTAATTTTTTTCTTTAATTATCTTATCTTTAAACCAAATTCTCTATTTTTTGGCACGATTAGCAATTTGCATACGGTTGCATTAGGCAATATTTAACTTCTCATGTCCGAATATAATCTTGTAATTAGTCTTTTATTGAACACACGCCCTATTCTAATTAGCATGAATATTTCTACGGCTGGTGCTTAATTTTTTTTGCGGTTTGTGTTGTCAAAAATTCCTGATTTGCATAATCGTGGAATGAAAAATTGTTAGTTTATAGTCTCCATAATTTTTTTGAAATTGGCAAACTCTTAAAAAGAAAGCAGCATATCACATATTAACTGCTTAAGTTTGATTGATATTGACATAAATATTGCTCTTTTCGTTAAATTCTGCGAAAATGGATTAGCATTTTATCTTCTAACAAACCATAATTTTTGGAAGCCTAAAACTGCTTGAAAGTATTTTTGATGGTTTTGAGCTATTTTAGCATAGCTTTAAATAACAGAAAACATCACGGATCAATCAACAATTACCAAAAACAACCCACCCCCTCCCAAAATTGTCCGTCCCTCCCGCATGCCCCCAAAATTGGTGTCAGCTTCTGCCCTCCTCCTCCCCCTCCCGAAGCGTGACTCCTTTTCAAAACAAATTCATCGAGCGATCGCAAAGAGGTGGGGGAAGGGAAGTGAAGGAAGGAAGGGAAAGGCAGTGAAGGCACCACTTCCCCTTCATATCGGTCCCCCATAAATGTGTACACCTTTTGCCCCCAATTGACCTGTTCGAACGACCAACCTCTCTCTCACCCTTCCCGAGTACGGGCTTTCCTGTCTACACCTATATTCAAACGCGCAGAACCCCCCCGGGTTTTAGGGACAGATGAGAACATCTGCCGATTTTTTAAGGCTTTTGGGGCCATTTCAAAAAGTTTTGGGATCGAGATGCCTTAATTTTTTTTTGCGATTTCACTTGGTACCCGATGACCAGAACATCTGCCCATTTTTTATGGGTTTTGGGACCTTTAAAAAAAGTTTTTGAGTCCGAGATGCTTTAAATCTTTTTTGCTATTTCACTCGTGATCCGATTTCGATTCCCGTCATCACTTCTTCAGCGTTCTGTCTTGCTTTATGACTCATCAACCCTTATCTCATGTCATTCGGCAAAACGAGCTGGACCGCCCTCTCTGTGATTCAAAAATTTTTCCGGGCAACAAAAACACAGGGGTCGATAATTTTTAGAGTGGGTTTTTCGCCAGATTTTTAAGACATTTTTACGACTTAGATCCTTGGTCTTTGATAACAAAAAATAGTTCCGGCCGATAACTTCGGTTTTTCAGATTTTAATTTTTATCACATTTTTGCAATTTCAACATAATTTTTTGGGGGCAACGAAACTATTGTTTTGATAATTTTGGCAGCACCGCTTTTTTAACATTTTTGTAAAAATCTTGCAATTTAAGTTCAATATTTTAAAGGGCATCGAAAACCATGTCTCGATAGTTTTGGATTTTTCATCTACAAATTTCTTCTATTTTTTTGGACAATTTATACCCCGCTCCACCAACCTGCAAACCACATCCCCATTCGTGCAAAGGCATTGCGGTGGGCAAAGCGCTAGAATACCGCCGAAAACCGCAAAAAATATAGTCAAGATCAGATGGGCCATAGTAGGATGAGTAGTGAAGTTCGACTCGAGGCTTCTCCCCGTCGTACCGGGTAGTCATTGTGCATAAGTTATGGCCCGTGACGGGGCCACGGGGGCCCGCTGATTGTCACATTGTGCGCTCCTTTAGCGGGGCCGAATTCCGTTGCCCGCGACTTTTCGCTCGCCTCTAGGGTTTTCCGGTACTTGAAGATACTATGTATGTGTTCTGATTTGGTCTGGCGTTCGGATTTTTGATATTTGCAAGATTTTAAACTTGGGTTGGGCTAATTGGTGCCAAAATATTTTAGTTAAATTTTAATGTTTCGTCATTTCAGATTCGGGAAGGAAAATAGCTTTAAAACAACGTTTTTCCGCTAATTCCATGTACTAACGCTTTTCTTTGTATATTTCACAGCCCTATTTTCTTTCAAAACAATATTTTTCTTCTGATTGCGTCAATTCTCCCTATTTTCCCATTTTTCAGACTGCCATAGTATCTAGTCAACATGGCTTGGAATTTCCAACCAACGAAATTTCGTAACACAACCCCCAAGCTGCCGAAGAAAGAGGTAAATCAAGATTCAAATTCCCAATAAATTCAAATTTTGTTAAGAACACTATCCACACACAAATCGGCGGCCTTTCCCTGACGAATAATGGAATCCAGGCCTCGTCTTCACATTTGGCCTTTGCTTTTGAGGGCGAAGGTAAAATAACGAATAATTTCAAGAACAGGAGTTTATTTTTCAGGTGGCAAGCTCGGGATTTTGCCAGTAGATGCAAAGGGCCGATTTGGCCGTAACGAAATGTCGATCGTCCACGCTCACGTCGAGCAGCTCGACGATTTCGGCTTTTTCCCCTTCGATGCTAGCCTACTGACCACTTGTGCTCGCAATGATTCGGTAGGCGCTTCAAATCTGAATTCCTTCAACCTGATTTCAGGTGAAATTGTGGAAAATCGGCGACACCGGCGATGGGCCATCGTTGGAGGGGTCGGTTGACCTTGGTGTATCCGTGTCTTTCGGGGCATTGGCGGTAAGGAGCCGCCAATTTTCGAGCATCAAGGCTTAGGCGCACCCAACCGCATCATCTTTGGTGGCATACACGAGTACCGACCAGGGTTATGTCGTCGATTGGGAGTCGAAGGCTATTGCATACCGTAAGAAACCAAATCTTTCTTGGAAATTTCCAATTTAAGAATTCGATGGCATCCAGCAACAAGGATTGTCGTGTAGCTGGTCTGACGATGGTCGGCGTTTTGGCGGTGGCTTGCGACAAGGGCCATCAGGCGATGATTTGGGACGTTCGGGCTGGTCCTCAGGCTATCAATACTTTTGCTACGCACGAGGGAATCGGGCGTGAAGGACGTATTCTGTTTGCTGGGGATAAGCTCGTCACTTCTGGATTTACTAACGTAAGTGCTTCGAAGAATACCTTAAAGGGAATGTGACAGAAACCCTTTCAACCCATTCTCATTTTAGAAACGCATCCAAGAAATCCTGGTCTTTGACCACGGCAAATGGGATGCCCCGATCCATCGCGAAGGCTACACCGCAACCACCGGAGTCCTGATCCCGATCTACGACCGGGACACCAAGCTGCTGTTCCTGGCCGGAAAGGGCACCAACCGACTGCAAATCTCAGAAATTCTCACCAACGCCAAGGCCAAAGGACCGATCGTGTCTCCAGGTATCTAGAAACCCCAAAACCATTAATTCCTTTTTTTTGCAGTATTCGAGCTGACCTTACCCGAACAGCTCCTCGGAGCCTGTATCGGCCAGAAATCGAGCATGAACGTGATGGAGGGCGAAGTGGCTGTTTTCTATGAGCTGCACAGAAATGGAATTCTGCCGATTCCCTGCATCGTGCCGCGACGGGTAGGATTTATATTTTGCATATTCCAAATTTTGGTTATTACAGTCCTACCGTGATTTCCAACCTGATTTATTCCCCGAAACTCGAGGGACGAAGGCTGGATGCTCGGCTGAACAATGGAAATCCGGAAATGATCATCAGGTAAGGATTTTTTGACATCGTGGGCCCTTTACACATTTATTAGTTAAAGCCATTCCTGGAAATTTTCATAGCCCGCTCTGATCTCCCTCGACCCAACCGGAGGAAAAGCTCCTGAAGCTCAAACCCAAGCCCCTGCCGCTCAAGTCCCAAACACAGCCGAACCAGAGGCCAAGCCGGAGCCCGCCACGATCGCTCCAGCTCCCCGATCCCAAGCCCCAGCTGTTGCCAAGTCAGATAACATCGATCGACAATCCTCTCCTACAAACGAGGTAAAAAAAATCAGCCTATGGGCATCGACAACATACAATTTTCAGAAAGAAAATGTCGTCACCCCTCCGTCAAAGGTAGCTGATAGCGTCCCGGCTGTCCAGATGCGAGCCCCAATCAGCAATATTTCTGGTGAGATACCTAAACCTTTTTGTATAATTATTTTTAGGAATTACCCCTCGTAAGGCAGAAGATACCTCGCGATATCGTAAATCTGTCATCGGGACTATTACCTCAAAGTTTCGGAATACTGAAGTGTTGACCGGAAACAAAGCCGATAATGCCGTTTTCTCGAACTTGAAAGATGTGAACACTCGCTTGTCGCTAGAAACCAACGGAGCTTGTGTCTCTAAATTGTAAGTAGCATAATTTTGTTTTTTTTTATGTTTTCTAGATTCGCCGCGATCCCTCTCTCCGGTACTGGAGGACGAATCCAGATTCTAGACCTCGAAAAGTTTGGCAAGTTGCCAGATGGTGTTGTGGATTCTGTGTACTGCAAGCGCTTGGTAGGGAAAGCGGGTTAGTACTTAAATTTTTGTATAGGTGACCGATCTCCACTGGAATCCCTTTGACCCTACTGAACTTGGCTGTGCCACCGATGAGGGATCAATCGTTTTCTGGAAATTCAGCAAAGAGGATGGGCCCAGGAATGAGATGGAGCCCTCTAAGATCGTGAAACTTTCGGGTGACAAGGTAATTTCGAATACGCAAATTTGTAAAAATTATCCATTTTTAAGATCCTCAACTTCTCCTTCCATCCCCTCGCCAAAGATATTCTAGCCGTATCTTTCTTTTCCGGACGTTTACAAGTGTGGAACGTAGCTGATAGGTTGGTTTTAAAGGCGTCGAAAATTAATCCTTTTTAGTTCGCTAGTTTTCGATCAACAAGCTCACAATGGCGCGGTTATGGGAGTGTCTTGGAGTTATGATGGGAAGAAGCTGGTGACGATTGGAAAGGTTTCGACTTAAGAGAAATGTAACTCACATTTTCTTAAGGATCTCTTCGCTCGGGTTTGGTCTCCCCTTACTGGCGACCTTGTGCTCGAAGAAAAATGTTTGGAGAGCAACCGGGGAGGACGAGTTTTATTTGTCTGCGAAGATCAAGGGATCCTGGTGATCAGCTTCACTAAAGCTTCCGGTCGGCAGGTATTCAAAATCTATTTTTTTTTATATTAAATCAAATTAGGTCGCTCTCTACGATGCTAATGATTTCTCCTTGAAAGCCATGGAACCATTGACTTCCGGGGTCCAACCTATCTTTGCCCATTACGACTATGATTCGTCGATTGTATTCCTGTTTTCAAAGGTATAACTTTTAAGGTTTATTCACGCTTTGTGTAGGGTGAACGCCAAATCAACATGTACGAGCTTTCCTGGGACAAGGTGCCATATTTCTTGCCGGTTTTGCCATACAGTGCCACTACGGGTTTCACTACGATTGCCTTCAATGACAAGAAGAGGTGGGCTGAAGTGTATTTTACAGTAATCCCTTGTTACGGTATTCTTAAAGTATAAAATCTTGTTTCAGCTGCGATTTGATGAATATCGAATTCCAACGCGCTTGGAGGCTAACAGAGAAGACGTTTGAGTTATTGATCTTCCGAGTTCCTAGGATTAAGGTGAGCTTAAAATCATAGCGGCTATTACATTAATGCTTTTTACATAAAAACCAAGTAAAAATATATAATCATTAAATAATTTAGAAAGACGTCTTCCAAGACGATCTTTTCCCTGATGCCTTGGTTTCCTGGGAGCCAGTGATGGAAGCCAAAGACTGGATCGACAAATCCGAGCAGGGCCCCGTTTTCCGGAACCTCAGACCTGATGGGGTTGCCTCGGCTAATAATAATGCCACTGTAAAAGCTCCCATTAAAGGTATGAAAACGTCACTGTCCCGGAAAATGTGCTTACAGTAGCAGCACCAACCTCTACTCCCTTGCCAAAAGAGCCGATTATTGAAGAGAAAATCTATGAAGAGGTAATTGAAAAAACCACATGATACAAATAACATTAAATTTAAGGAAAAGCCCTCCCAAAAACAGACACTAGCTTCATGGGGTGAAGCCATTTGCGCTCACCGGGACGAAGAAGAAGAAGAAGCTGCTGACCAATCCCCTCAGGACGATGATGACTGGGTCAAAATGTGAAATCCCCCAACCAATCACTGCCAAATGCATAGATCTTCACTTATCATTTTTAGTTTTAAAATTCTCTCTCCCCTCTAGTCATATATTGCCTCGACTACGCCTTGATTCCGATTGCTCCTATGAACAGGGTCCCGATATCTAGTTCGCTTCTCCCTTGATTAGTCACTCCCTGGTACCCTTTTTGACTTTTGGACAGGCGTCAGGGTTTGGACCTGAAATTTACCTGATTCTTCCAATTTCATTGTTTTATGAAAAGCATTTTATCTGATTGTTTGCATCGGCTCACAAGATAAATTGTTTATTGATCATTAATGCATCGCGCACCATGAAAATACAAACCATAAGGCACAAACAAAATTAGCCTATGCGACGTTCTTCTCCCCCAAAAAGTGAGTGAATGTTGTTGTTTTGCGGGCGGATATTCTTGTCTTTTCGGCTGTCTGTGTGTGTGCGGGGCAAAGGAAAAGGAAAAAGACATCTCGCGGATCCATCGCCTATATGGATCTAGCTGATTGGAATCGCTGACACACTTCTAACATGCAAATTCTCGCCGCGCGCCCTCCGCCTCCAGACGGCTCCTCACACATTTAGCGCCCGGCTTAAGGGGGTGCTTATTGGCTTTTAAGATGTTTACCCGCTACAATTTTGATTCTGAACTTTGTTTCATATCTGCGGCAGTCTAAATGTTTAAATACCAAGGTAATGTCAAGCTCAAAATATGGGCCTTACATAACGTACAATCTATGGTAGCTGACGCGCCACCTATCTGGCCCACTGTCAGGCTCGAAGCACCGATGAATTTCCACCCGGTTGGCTAAAAATGGGACGATGCCTCAGCCTAAGCCTAAGCCTAACCTAAGCCTAAGCCTAAGCCTAAGCCTAAGCCTAAGCCTAAGCCTAAGCCTAAGCCTGAGCCTAAGCCTAAGCCTAAGCCTAAGCCTAAGCCTAACATGTAGAGGTTGTCAGGTCACAAGCTCCAAACCGGTTGAAAATTGGTGGAAAAATCGAATAAAATACAGGGAACACGATGCGATAAAAATTATCTGCTAATGGGCACTTTTGTTTAATAAACTTTTTGTTTTAAGATTTTGTATGGAAAACCCACCTAGATTCGCAGCGGGCCTGGCCAGAACCGGGGCGCCGAGGCGCGAGCTCTTGAAGCCTCCCCAAGGACCCCCCGCCCGTCGGCCCGGTGGTGTAAGGGTAGGGTGCGGGGAATAATAGGCCAAAGGTGTCGGGTTCGGTTCCCGCATTTTTTATTTTTTTTTGCTTTTTGCCGTTTTTGCTTTTATTTTGTAGGGAGCGCGTCTAGAATAGTTTTTATAATGTTTTTCGGTCCTATTCATCAGTAGCGGCCGCCTCGACAAAAAAAAATTACAAAATTTTGGAAGTTTTTGCAAAAGAGGGCCTACCTACCTATTCCGACTCCATGAAAATCGACAAGATAGTTAATACAGATTACTTTTTGTACAGGTATTGTAAAGAAGCAGTCATTATCGGAATCTGGAATCTATGGGCGCTGATTTTAAACACATGGGGTCAGAACTAACTATTTTAAGCAGCGGCTAACCCACCTGTGCTATGCGATAGGTCGTCAAAATTTTCGGGGAAAAATTTTTTCAAATAAATTTTTTTCCGGGTGTGGGAAAGTACCTAGTGTCGTACTTTCCGTGACAATTCGATCGAAACATTTATTCCGAGACGGGAAGCCCGGTTAATCCGCTGAAAGTCCATTTTACCTTCATTTTTTTACTTAAAATTAAAAGTTTATTAAACAAAAGTGCCCATTAGCAGATAATTTTTATCGCATCGTGTTCCACGTATTTTATTCGATTTTTCCACAAATTTTCAGCCGGTTTGGAGCTTGTGACCTGACAACCTCTACATGTAAGCCTAAGCCTAAGCCTAAGCCTAAGCCTAAGCCTATCGATATGGCCGATTCCACGGGTCGAGCTCTCAAATTTTGAAAAATTTTAGGGAACAAAACTTAATTTTTTTCTCACTTTGTTAAGGATATTATGAATGCGTATGCGGCTTTGGAAGCCTAAACCGAATCGTATAATTTTTCAAAAATTGACCAGAGTGTCGCTCGTTTGTCAAATCGTTCGATGCTTTTGGTTGAAGTCACGGTTCCTTCAAGAATCAGATCGCTTTTGATTCCTAAACTTCTATATTTTTTATTATCACCCACCGTTCCCCCACGTTGTCACCTTGACATCTCAGCAGCACCCTGTGTAAAACTGCTTCCACAACTTGTTTCCGTTCACCCCTCGGGTGATGGTGGGAAATTAACGGGCGGCCGGGTGTGAAGTGTGAGGGTTGGGATGGAATGAGGCTGTGTTTCCCGATCGAGAGGGACGGTTCGAATATCGGCCATAAAGCCCCGGCCAACGAGGACGATCCATGGGAGAGGCGGCGAACCTCAAAGCTCCTTCCAAGGCGCTGCGCCGTTTTGTATTGCAAATTTTGGGGGTGGGGGATAGTTGTAGGGAGTGTCTTCTGAAGGGTTAAAGTTTTGTAAGACCTAAGTTGTAAAAATGAAATATTTAAGCGCAGCTAATCGTAATTTCGTCAAAAACGGAACGGAAGTCTGGGATAGACCAGAAAATCGCTTTTATTGGTGACGGAGCTTATTTGCAGTCAAAACCTGAGGGAAAGGACGGATTTTTTCGTTTCATAAATTTTCTGTCTGAACGTCTTCCTATTTTGAAAGCCTTTTTATCTCTCTTTCTCTCTCTCTCTCCTTCTCTCTCTCGCTTTATCTCTTTATTTATGGCCCTAGTTTTTGAGACACCGAAAAAAATTTCAACCATCGGGTAATTTGCATATTAGCATCTACATTTAATCACAATGGTTTTTCTAATAAAAATATTTACAACTTTTATCCCATTTTTGTCCCTCTCGCACCCCTGTTTTCCTCCCACCTCCCTCCAGCACATTAAATCATCGATCACCCCCATTTTATAGCACCCCCACCTACTATCGGACCCGGCGGCCCGGAATGGAAAATGTTTTTCGCTGCTACAAGTTTCGATTAAACCCAAGCCATCAATCATTTTCGCCACATTCCCAATCCAAATCTGATTGTGGCCTTCACCTTTAGGTCTTTTTACTTCCCGCCCATTCCCCCCATAAATTCAACAATTAGCGCCCCAACCGGCCGTTCTGTCCGTTCTGCCACTGGGCGCTTCCTCCCCATCTACCTATCAAGTTTTGCCATCCGGCGACGGATTTACGATATTTGATGTGCGGGGGGATAGGGGTGGGCAGGAATTGTATATGCTGTGGTTGTGCGGAGGCACCACCCAGGGTCGCTTGGTGGTCCCTGTCAATGTTGTCGACCGTATTTGCATAGGATCACGGACGGACATCAGCCACTTCGCGCCCCTCATCACCCTAGTCCTCCCGCCCCGGGAATACCAACCCCGTCTCGTCTCGACACCCATGGCTATGTAGCGATACATACACAGGGACCGTTCCTGCGGGGTTGACTTGTCTATGTTGTCACTAGGATGGTTGCGTTGCCCTTTGATGGGTGGGACCTGTCGGGCGGCTCTTTGGATGAGGGTTCCTGTAAGGCTAGACTGTAGGTATTTGACACCCTATGAAGTACCTTGATACATTTTCTACATTGCATACTTCACTCTTCACTACCGTCTTCCTTTCTCGCTCTATCTCCCGCTCTCATCTCTATCACCCCTTTCCCTTCCCTTTTCTATCTTCTCTCTCGCCCTCTCTATCTATCTATCTCTCTCTTGCCCTCTCTATCCATCTATCTCTCCCTCTCTCTCTCGCTCTCCCTCTCGCGCGCTAAAAATGTTAATCACCCCAACGGTAATAGCTATGTTTCGCTACCTCCCCGGAATGCCCAGACTTCACAACCCCTTTAAACCTTCCCCAAATCATCCTCCTACAAAAGGAAAAATATTGGTACCCCCAACAAGAAAGACCTAGGTCAATATCGCCTTCATTGTCCCGTTAAGAGCACATCAAACACGAATCCTCTGAATAACAGCTGCGTTCCCTGTGACTAAATATTTTAGAACATCTTTGCCGATTTCATCGCCAAAAGTAGCTATTTGAAAATGCGGCATCTTTATATTTATTATATTTCTTTTTTCTATGCCGCCCCCATTTCCAGCAACTTTCCCACCAATTCTGGGGCTGTTATTTGGGAAGGCCGGGGCGGCGCGGGCAAACTGAACGCTTGATAGATAGAAGCACCGTGATTCAACACGCTTTATCGACCCCGACACAAAGCCCCGCATCTCCAAGCTGTCTACAGATGATCAGATAGTCGTCTATGGCTCGAACTGAGCACCAGATCCGCTTTACGCGGTTGATTTTTGGTAGGGACTCTTATGCCTTAAACGTTTCGAGTGATTATTTTTAGATGGAGACCTCGGTGAAACATTTCTACACCTCGACGATCTTTTGCGAGAGCCGGAAAATGGGTTTTTCTTGATGATAGAATGTCTACATGCTTGGGCGGTAACTCAAACTGTAGGGACCACTAATACCTTACTTAGGATGCCATCGGAAACCCGGAAAAACGCCTGATGGCCCCATTAATCGAAGCGCTTCTCGACTCGGACACCGAAGAAGCCTCCATTATTGGCCTCCGCCTTTTCAACAATATGCTCCGCGGTGCCCCATCAGAAACGAAACGTCTCCAGCTGGAGGAGGAGCTACGTGGTATGTTTTTGGACGTATTTTTGGTTTTTAAGGCGTGGGTGTTCGCCATTGTTTTGCTTTTGTGTTTTGAAAATAATGGGTTTTCCGGGGGGTGTTGGCGATATTCTCACGGGGAGGCGTATTTCGGGAGGGGTGGAATTAATTCAGATTGATGCGTGGCATCCAAAAAATGCTGGAAGCGCGAGAATCACAGAATTTTCTGGAAATTGCTGTTAAAATTTGCAGGTTAAATTTTTTTGCACTTTAAACAACTTGTTGTGTAGTTTTATCGTGTTTCATCGGGTTTTGTTTTGAATTAGCTTATAAAAATTATTAGAAAACACGAAAATTGTTGTTAATGTGATTTTTATATCTACAAACTGTGAAAAGATATAAAAAAATTGAATCCTCGTACAGATGAAATACTGGAAAAATTGCTTCCCCCGCTAACATCCCAGTACCTAAGCAGCTACAGTAACCCCAAATCCCTAAAGCCCCCCTCCCAGCTTCCAAGTTCAATGGACCCGCCAAAAACCTCCGCTCGCACGCCCCGACCATGATTTTGTTGCGCGACGTGACGCGCCTGATTACGGTCTCGACGGTTTTTCGTGATGTTGACGGGGGTCGGAAAGACGCGGAGGCCGTGTGCTGCCCTTTTTGGTTGCGTTCGGAGGGGGGCCCGGGGTCGTGAATCAGATCGGCAAAAGTAAATGTGGGTGTGCCCGCGGGGTTGGGGATCCCGTTCAACCCTACTCTTTCAAAAAAGAGTGTGAAGTTTTTGGTTATGCATAATTTATAGTAGTAAAGTCATGCTAATGCGTGGGTATGCAAATTAATTGTTTTTCCATTTATCTTCTTTCAGTGACTCAAAATTTGGAATCAAAGATACTTCATGTCGTTTATAATTAAGATTGATTTTCAGTTATGAATGTATTAAAATAAGTTGGCCTTTATATGCAAATTACTTTTCTTTAAACTTAGAGCGGTTTTAAGGTTATCTGCTTAAATAGATTGGAAGTTCTAAGTCTTAAATTTTTACTTTTTTTACCTTCATTGAGAACTTTATTTGAGCTGTGTTAAAATTTAAATATAGGGGGCGATTTGATATTGATCATACCTTATCATTATGCAAATTACCGTTTAATTTCTAAATTGTGCTATTTCAAGCTAGATTTTATTTCCGTCTATTGTCTTCTGCTCAAGCCCGGAATTGTTTTTTTCTGGTGATCATTAACGCATCAACATTAAGCTCCAATAAACCTTGATACTTCCGCCCCGCTCCACCCAATGCAAACGTTATGATACCCCCGGTGCGACAATCCAGCTTTTTCGATCGGCCGCGTCATCGGGGGCGATTGGCCCTTTGATTGGTGTGGATAAGGGCCATAGCCGGTCTCTATGGCCCACCCTGAAGGCCCCCAGAATCTTGCGATGACCCCGTTCCACAGCAGGGCAATGTTTTGTCTTGCGCGCCCGTTCCCGATCCCCCCAACATGGCAGCCACTACTTTCAACGCCCGCGCTTCTCTCTAGAAGCCCGTTCGATTTTGTACGAATCATCGTAATTGTTTTTCGGTGGTTTAAAGGGGTGGAAGTCATGGATATGGATTTTTGGTCATGGTTACGCTGTGGATTTAGCCGTGTTGAGACACTCTACGCGCCTGGTCCTATTATGCGGTCCGCGCGTGGCGTTATTAAATCCATAGCGCAAAAAACTATAAACTTGTCTTGCCTGAACCTTTAAAAACACGCTGAAATTGTTGATTTTGCATTTAGAAGATTTAAAAGTGTTCAACGACCTTTCGTTTTCTTCTTATTTGTCACATATTAGCGCGTTGCGTGTCGCGGCAGAGACAAATTTATTCTAAGTCCACAACCAAAAATACGTAGAGTGGCTTAATCCGCCCCTTTAAAGGGTTTCTGAAAGTTTTTATTCGGGTTTATCCGCATATTGTTCGGAAAATTCCTAACGCTTCACGATACCCTTAAAATTTTTTAAGAGGATTGGAGTGTCACGTGGAGCGTTTTACAGATTTTCCCAACGCTTTCCCCCTCTTTCCCATGCAGCGTAAAAGCCCGTAACCGGTGTCACCCCCCCCCGTAGCATCGTGAATCAAGGTTTGCCAAAGTTCACCCGGCCCGTCTTGCTTGCAAAACAAAATCGTCCTGGCCCCACCGAACGCCTTGAACCCCCCTACCAACATCGTGTGAAACCCAGAGGCCAAGAACAAGCACCCCAAAAATATCGGAATTTCTGGCAGTGCCCACCTCGAGTCATACTCCCCCGCCAACCGTGGCTCATCCCAAAACATTTCTTCTCTCAGTAGAACCACGGAATATGTATTGATTTTCTAGTAAAACCTTAGAGTATCTGGTCTCAATTTAACGTGCCTTTTTCAGAACTCCACTTCGAGTCCCACCTCAGCCAGATACGGTAGGTTCAACCGTCGACCAAACTCTCGGTCAGCTGGGCTGTCATTTTTAGTGTACAGAATTAAAGGGTTTTTCGAATGCTAGTTGAACTTTGAGAATTTGAGAAAAGAAAAATTTAAAATTTCGACTTTCTTCTGCGTAACTGTTCTCAAAGTTCAAAATTTTACATTTCACTTTTTAATTTCTGAATTTTTAATAGGCCTCTTGGGTTAAATAACGCTAGAAAACCGACTTGACCCACCTACGACAATTTGCTACATCTGGTTTTGCAAAAAATGAGTTGCCTAGCGTTTTTGCAAAGGCCCAAGCCACCAACTAGTGACTTTTAGCCTAAAATACGCAGCTGTGCCAGCTGTCGTGGCGGAAGTTGAGGAATTCTACACGATACGAAGGGAGCAAGAGGTGGGTTTTGATGTTGGCTTTACTGTATTGTTCGCTTTTTCGCTTCTTTATAATTGATAGCTTGAGAATTTTTTTAAGTCGGGTTTAGGCTCCATTCCTTAAAATACATTATATTTTAATATACAAATTATTACGTGATATCAACTATTATAATTTTTATAAAATATTTTAACTAACCATTTTTCAAATAGATAGTAGTATATTTTAGTGCGTCAGACCACCCAGGCAACTGACCCCCAGACCACCCATGCAGTCCTCGGCCGTAGGTAACCGCACAGGAGCCTCTCCGCCTCTTTCCAGCCCCATTCCCCCAGCTGATGAGAAGGAAAATGTGGGTTCCGACGCAATACTATAGCGATTAACAACCTTAAATCGCTAAAGGAAGCAAAAATTCGATTTTTAGAACATTGAGGATGAGCAAAATGATGTCTTGGACTCGCTTAAAACGGCTCTTGGGACTGATGGAGAAACGTTGAGGTTGCGGAAGCGGTTATTGGAAAAATTGGCTGAAGTAATTTTTGTCTTACGATAACCTTTTTACAAATTTTTAGGTTCTTTCGGATGTCCACTGTGTCAGCGATATCGAGCCAGTCCTTATGAAATACCGACGGATGATGGAAAAAGAGGCCCCGGTTTCTACTGCAGTTTCAGGACCTCCGCGTAACTTTTTTAAAATGGTTTCCATACCTTAAAATGCATCTATTAACGTCTTACTCGTCATCTATTATTTTTTAGCCCCAGCTCCTCCGCCCCCACCTCCACCACCCGGTGGAGTCAAGCTGATGGCCCCTCCACCTCCAGCTCCACCTCCACCTCCGGGCTGCTCCAATATTCCGGGACCCCCGCCTCCTGGCCCTCCCCCACCTCCAAATTGTATAGTTTATAGGAATTAGCTTGCACATTTAGTTTAGTATCCAAGTTCTCTCCCATTAAGAAGAAAGCCGAAGCCCCAAAGGCCTTCAAACCACCCAAGAAATCGGAAATGAAAATGATGAAGATGCAGGTTAGAGGCCAACAATTTAATAAATAAAAATTCGCATTTCTTTTAGTGGACAAAAATTGAGCCTCATGACGTCAAAACCGCCGAGGATACCTTATGGAGTCGGCTTGTCAATGAGGGAAATCCATTGGCAGCACGTAAAAAAATAGATCTAATTAAGTTTGAATTTTAGAGGTCGCACTGGATTATTCACAACTGGATGAACTGTTTTCACAGCAGAACAAAGTCGTCAAGAAGGCGGAAAGGGTAGGGCAAGTATTAATAGCATTCAAAAAGTTTTAGACGACTCTGGCTTCCAAGAAAACGGATGAGGTGGTTCTTCTGGATACGAAGCGCTTTATGAACGTGTCGATTTTCATAAAAAAGCTCGGGGTATGTTAATTTATCAGGAAAAAGCAAAAATTAATTTTGAGGACGTCCAAGAGCTTATAGCTGATATTCGGGAATGTAGAGGAACTACAAAACTTGATTCACTACAGCTTTTGCTGACAACGGCCATGCCGACTCTAGAAGAGGTAGGCTAATTGAGGAAGTTTTCCAAGTCTCGTTTTTTTCAGGTGGAGCTCATCCGCACCTATTCCGGCGACTCCTCAAAGCTAGCGCCCCCAGAATCGTTCTTCCTTCACCTCGTGGCCATTCCGGACTATTCGTTAAGAATCAAGCTTCTGAAGTTTAGGTGACTTTATTGACTGGACCTACTCAATAAAATTTTTAGAATGGATTTCTACGCTTCGATGGAAAAGCTGACGCCGCAAGTGAAGCTGCTATGTGAAGCCTGCAATCGTAAGTCGAAGCTAAGCTAAGAAAATACGTTTGTTTAGAAATTCTGACGTCAACTGCGCTCTTGAGAGTTTTTGTTTTGATTTGCAAGGTATAAATATTATCTTAAGCGAACAAATAAAGATCTTTAGATAGGAAATTATCTGAACGATGGTTCGGCATCTGGAGATGCAGCGGGGTTCAAATTAAATTCGTTATGGAAAGTGATAGAGCTAAAGGCAAATACTGGGCAAGATACGCTACTACATTTTATTACAAAGGTTAGCTATCGAAATATTTCCTTGCATATAGACTATAATTTTAGAATGATGCCACCTGCGTTGATGAATTAAAGGAACAGCTCAGTTGCATAAAAGATGCTGCTAAAATGTAAAGCACAGAGTTTTAAAATATTCTACGTATTCCAGCCCATCTCCAAATGAAATCGAGACCGAGTTCAATGAATTGGACAAACAAAGGGCACAGCTAGAGAAAGAGCTAGCGACAAAACATGATACCGTACTCCTCATTAATTTGGAGTACATCCAGGTTCATCACGCATCCTAATTCCCGATTACTTCGTGCTTTAGGAAGAGTGCAAAACCGAGATGGCGCAACTGCAGCGATTGATAGCCTCACTCACCGAATTCCGCCCCAAAATGGCGCAGTTCTTTATGGAACGCCCGAACGAGTTTAAGGTAATATTTAGTTTTCAAATCTGTATGAGCGAGTTATTTCCTAGATCGAAGAATGCGTGCGGATGTTCAATAACTTCTTAGTTCGTTTGGAAAAAGCGCATCAGGTTGCATAGTCTATTTTCAATGACCTGAAAATCGAATAGGATAACGTGCAACGCGAGGACGCCGCTCGAAAACGAGAGCAAAAGGCGAAATTTGTCGCTGAGAGGTTGGTTTATTTTTATCTGTTCGGCAAATAAGAAATGAAAGGGGATACCCGTTAGAAAAACCAATAAAATTGATAGTAAAGCTTTTTAAATGCGTATTGGGGATGTGAGAGAAAGGAAAAAAGGGAATAGAGAGAGAGAGAGCGAGAGGGAACGAGAGAAAGAGAAACCGGTTTTGGAGTCAGTTTTGCAGGTTAAGCTCGTTAAAAACACCTTAAGCCGGAATAGGAGGCAAAGTTGGAATCGCTTGTTTTGTTCCGGGAGGCGTAGGTGGTGGTGGAGCAGCGGGTTCCGGATCCGGAGGCTGAAATATTGTTACAATTACTTTAATGGGATTATAACAGCCTTTTCTATTTTTGCAAGGGTAAGCTTCTGAATTACCTGCATCATTCCGAAATCTGCAGTCATTGGAGGAGCTGGTGCTGGAGGTGGAGGTGGAGGTGGAGCAGGAGATGGCGGTGGAGCAGGAGCAGGGATTGGGGTGATTGTAGCCGGAACAGCAATCGGAGTAGGAGCTGCCGGAGGTGCTGGAGGGGTTGGAGCAACAGCTGGTGCTGGGGGCATTGCAGGAAGTAGCGCAGTAGGTAATGGTGGTGCCATTCCATCTCCCATAGGTTCTAACAAAGTTAAATTATGACTAAGTGCTAGTTGTTGCAAATACCTTGAGATCCCGGCCATCCTCTAGGCTTAAAAGGTTGTGATGGAATCGGAATAACATCCCAATTGTTTGGAGCGGCTAGGAAACCTTCTAAATGGGATTTTTGACGCCGCAATTTTCAGCAATACCTTCACTAGGTTTCGTTTGCTGAGCATTAGGTCCGGACCGTGCTCCAATGACATGTTCAGAGGGGTTTACCTATAATTTAAGTAAGTAATAAGTTAAAAATATACCTGTGTTTGCTGCACCTCAACAGCCGAATCTTGAAATGTCGTCTGTCCAGGCTGAGGAGGCTGAGAATTCATGACTTGAGTGTCGGTCGGGGGTAGAGGAGGGATAGACTGTCCGCTTGGAATATTAGGTACATTTTGCGGCTCCGCATTAATGGTGGGCTCTGGATATTGCTGGGTATTCGTCGGAACCGGAATATTTGGTGCATATCCATCTCCAGTTGGGGGTGGAGGTCTTCGGTATGGATTGCTAGGTTTTGGAGCGTAGCTATTGCTCGTAGCAGGCTGAGGAATAACCACTTGAGGGGCATAAGCGTTGCTAGACTGAGTAGGTCTAGCGTAAGGATTTTTGGGAGGTAATGATGGGCTGACCGGCTTTGGAATATAGGAATTAGCATAGGAAGGCCGAGAATAGGAATTTTTAGGCAAGTTGTAAGTCCCAGTAGGTCGATAATTGTTCTGGTATCCATTTCCAGTATTTTGATACCCATTTTGTTGCTGCCACTGGTTCTGATCTTGTGGGTAGTCTTGTTGAAAGTAATTCTGTTGATAATACCCATTCTGGTTCCAATAGGGCCGTTGTTGGCTTTGATAATAATAGTTTTGGTGTTGATAGTTGTTATTATAATTTGGGTAGCCAGAATTGAAACCGTAGTTTCCGTAGTTTCCATAAGCTTGTCTTTTTATCCTAAAACTTAGCTTAATGGTGCGCAAAACTTTCCATACCTCGGTTTTCCATACGCTAACGACAGGAGCAAGAGGAAAACCGCAAATTTGAGCATGTTGGCAGGCCCGTCTCCCGGCAGTTCGCCGTCTATAAATGGAGTTGGAAAGTGTTTTGAAGGTGGAGCTAAAAAGAGGAGGAGGAGCTAGCTCAAGAGTGCCTGAGGGCAGCAAATAGGCTCTTACACGGGAACCAGGCAAATCCGGCCAGATCCGGCTGGCGCTAGTGAGGGATGACGGTGCTACAAGATAATTGCGAAGAACTTGGAGCTTATAAGAGTACGCTAGAAAAATGTAGAAACGTAGAAAAACAAAATGAAATGAAAATAGGGGATTCCCAATGCTGGGTACCTCCTTTTATGGGTATTTTTTAGCGAAGGTGTTGACCGAGAAGGATCGTGGATCTTCCCATTACATTTCTCTCTCCCTCTCTCTCTAACTCTCTCTCTCTCTCTTCCTTGTTTTTTCCCGAACCCCCTCCCCAGCCCGCTCTGACGTGTCACTGAAAATGGATTCTCTCTAAATAGCTACCGAATTTATCTGGAAATCCATGTACCCGAATGAGTCAAACAAGTTCGCTGAACTGGTAGCTTGCGCGCTTGCAAATTGGGGGTGAGAAAGTGTGGGCGGAATGTATTACTGGAACTTGGGGGATCTGAAAAATGTCAAAAGTAATGCTTTATTATAGCCCGATACCATCTCGGCGCGGGTCATTCTTCCCGGGCATGGAAAATCAGGTGCCGGATGATTTGGCGTCGCTTTTGAATAAGACGGAAGTGGTAAAATGGTTTTCAAAGCCAAATTAAAAGTAACTTAGCTGCCCGGGAGACGAAATTCTGTACTTCCAATGTCGAGAAGAGGTTCAGAAGAAGGATGTGCTGTAAGAAGTTTTGACAGAAAATTAAAGCTATACGATTTTTAGCCGGTTGGAAACATGCGCCGTTTCTCGGTTGTTGACCGAATCCGGGAACGCCGGGAAAGGGAGGAGAAGGAGCAACAGGAACAGGTAATTGATCTCCACTTCCGGACAGTCTTAATCAATACATCAGGAGCGAAAGCGGAATGAGGGACTAAACGTCAAGGTTATTGCTGAAGATGATACCGAAACTGGTAAAGCTTCTGAATTTGTGATAATCTTCAGAAATCTTACTTACAGTCAGCTCTTCCGATTCGTCCCCGCGAAGTGGCGATGGTCACGGATATTTTGGGAGTGAGGCCAAACAAGTATGGAAGTTAGCGTGAATTTAAAAGGATTTTATTTAGCAAAAAGATACTGTCAGCACGGCGGCGGTAAGGACCAATGGGCAGAAGATGGCTTTTACCCCTATCGCGGCCAGCCCCTCACCTATCGCTTGCCAGACGTCAATGTCCGATATCTCTGTTGATTCCGCTTTTGGAGTTCGTTGCTTGCTGCTATTTTTAAATAATTCATCGATTTCGATTTAAGCAATTAACCAATAAATCAATCTTTTTAGAGCAAATCTCACCTACCTACCACCACTCCAGAGGGTAAAGAATGGAAGGCTCCAGATCTTTCAGTCCTTTTCGATTCTCCGCAAAAGGTAATTTAATTTTAATTTTAAAGTAAAAGTTTATGCATTTAAGGTCGAAAAAACCATCCCACCAGAGACAACAACAACTCCGTTCCGAGGTGAAGTCAAGATTACCACAAAACCACCTGAGAAACCGGTATGTTTTAAGATTTTTTGCCTGACTCGCTTTAGAAACCAACCGGCCTGCCACCATCACCTACCAGGCCGGCTAAAACCGAGCCAGAGACTCTTGTTCCAACAGCCACTCCAGCCACTAAGGTATCAAAAATCTATAAAAAACTATCTGCTTAGAAAACCCCGCCAAACCTGCGAATTTGGAAGCGGACTGTTACGGAATCGGTGTTCACAAAACCAGGCCCAGCAGCGGCGCTAGAGAAAAAGAAGGAAACTACCCCGACGAGCCCAGCCAAGGCATATTTTTCAATACATAAAAATATGCCAAATTTCTCTAGAAATCTCCGCCGCCCGTGGCTACACCAGTTAGGAGACCTCCTGCCCTCAAGAAAATGGAACCGATATCAAGGCCTTCTATCTCAAAAACCCCCTCTCTGCCACCAACGCCAACAAGGAAGACCCCGTCTTCAATCACCTCAACTTCTTCTGTCGAGAAGAAGCCAACAGTGTCGATTAAGACGGTTTCAAGTACAAAATTTACATCTGAACAGTCTAATGTAATGTTGCAGGAACCCCACTCACACCTCCAGCTTCCAAACCTCGAATCCAGCGCCTAAATACCTCCGGCGCACTCCTGAATAAGACCCCGGCCACCCCGACTCGAACACTACAGCCAAGAAGACAAACCGCTCCAGTACAACCGATTTCCATAGTTCCAGAGGTAAAGGTAAAAACATAGACCGCAAAATTAGCATCCGCATGCTCTAAATTTACTAATTAGTTGCCGAACCCTGAGTTCTTGGATACTGGCAATGCGGAGGTTTGAGGATTCTCTATATCTAACCACCTATCGGAAATATCTATCTATACTGCATAACATTTTGCAAAAATAAGAATTTCGTTTCAAAACTAACCTTGTCTGGCCGAAGTTTCTATGGTAAGCGGGTGCATGGGATTTCAATGGTAATCTGGTTTAAATCTGTCTAGAGCTGTCCTTTATCCCTTGAAAAATTATTGGTGTTTTTGTACTGTTAACTTTTTAAAAATTGGTTGTTTTTAGTTGAGCACATCGGCGAGACCGTCGCTGATCCAAAGGCCGGTCCCTCGCTCTCCACACCTAAAAGTCGCAGCCCTGGAAAAATGGGAGAAGCCGAAACCCCTGCGGGCCACTGGGTTAAGCAATAATACGGTAGGATCACAAAAACATTTCTCGAAAATTGGAAAATAGGTATCAAACGATTCTACGGAAAAGAAAACGCTACGACCTATGCGGCCTACGATGAGTGCCGATGCCGGAAGTGCTACTAGAACGTTGTCAAGGTGGTTGCCCTATTCTTCTTCCTTAAAAAACGAAATTTAGAGCTCCTATCACCCCTCGTACAACCCCAACTCCAAAGCTCGCTTCCAACAAATCAAATGAACATGGTATAAATGATTTTTTAACATCAAAACCCGATTTTCCAGCCCCTCGACCAATTTCCGTAACTTCGAGAGCTGTCCTCCAGAAGAAGCCATCATCCCCGGAAATAACCCCACCCCCAAGCACTACAGTTACCCCAGGAATGTCCTCCACCGCCAAGAATCGCCTCAAAAGCTTAGCCGAACGAAGAGCTTTTATTTAACTATTCCGATTTTATTTATTTTTCAACTTTTAGAACCCAGAATTTCTATTTCTATATAACCTGCTCCCTAGAAAATCGTGTCCATCCATCTGGTGCCTTGTCCATAACATTTCCCCCGCACCCCGCCCAAGTGTCACACAGCTTTACCAAATTGTCACAATTTTTTGCTGCATTTTTTGCAATAAATTATTTAGCCCAATTTTCAGAACACACTTTTATGTGCTCAATCTACGTGTAGGTTGGTTTTCCATTTTTTTTTATTGAAGCAGTTTATTCAAAAACGGCCACGCAGAATCGGTTCTTATTAGACGGCGTTGGGTAGGGGGGTGTGGCGTAGAAATCGACAAAATAAAATTCAAATGTATGGGTTTCAAAGGGGGGAAGGGTTTGGCGTCCAATTTCGGAGGTCGTATATAGGAGCGCCGCGTAGTAGTCTTTTCCAGCAAATCGTTAGGCAATGGGAAAACATACTACGAGCTAGAGAGGAGGAGGAGAAGAAGGAGAAGCACCAATTTGGGGGGACACCAGGGGTCGAATTTCGAAAATGCACATTTCCGTCTCGGTGGACAGGCGATGGGGGTGCTCTATCATTGAGCAAAAGCATCTGGAGATAGTAGTGCTTTGGAAAAGGTTTTCTGGTTTTTCTAGATTGGCGTATTCAAATTTTTTATCCTTTTCCCAAACACTCAATCTATTCATCTAATGGGTCGGCGTTTAATGGGTATCATATTAGCCACCCGCAAAATTAACATATAGCGATCGATCAATGGGGGCGGAAGGAGTAGCGTATCAGAATACAGCGCACCCGCCGCCCCAAGCCAGGGCAAGAATAAGTTAGCTACGTTTCAAGGGAAATACTGGTGTTCGAAGTGCTAGAAAGACGGGTGAGAGATTCGCCGTTTGTGCGTGGGGGATGGGGGGGCTACGGTAGGTGGATGCTAATCGACTATGACATCTCGGCATAACGCTTGAATTCGGTGAATACTTCGGCAAAATAGGAGGATGAGGAGTTGAGGCGGAGCATGTCGGCTGATTTGGCTTTAATGATTTCGACGGTGCGGTCCCAAAAACGGGAACGATCCTGAAAAATGTTTAATTGAATGAAGAGAATGGCAGCTAAATTTGAATGCTGATTTGCATACGGATTTGAAGTTATTAAAATTTGCATAAATCGTAAGCAATGTAAATTTTTTATCCTGAAAAACGTTAATCCAATCAAGGATAAGATTTTATAAAACTTAAATAAACATAATTCCCATCAAAATTTAATTTAATAAGGTATAGAATTAAGAACTGAAACTATTTTCCTTTTTAAACCTACCGATTCGATGACGAATGGCTTCAACGGATAAGAGATCTCATTCCCCATATACGAATACCCAATGTATAAACTGGTCAGCAGCCATTGATGAAGCTCTTCTAGCGTACCTAAAAAATGATAGAATCCGGCCTTTTCCGGTTTACACCTACCAACGACTTCCTTGCTCGGCAACATATCCCGCACCAACAGATAAACGAAGACCAGATTCGCCGGGTTGATAAAAGCCACGTCTTGCCAGCCCTGCAGTAAAAGTGCTCTGTCCACCGTTCGCAACCAAATGACGACGTGTGCAGGTTCGAAGGAGGGTACCTAATTAATAAATACTTCATTTAAAAAATTGTCATACCGGGCATCTTTCCAAAACAAAAATCCCCAAGGCTCTCAAGAGTTCTGAAGTTGAAGCTTGGACGACCGTTCGTCGAGCCGATGGCCTGGCTACCTCTTGGATTGACTAAAATACACTTTAGACATCGTAACTTCCAAGGTCCATACCTCGATTGGCAGTTGCTTAGCCGTCTGATGAATAGCTGCCACTCCATTAGATGTGGCAGGCTTCGGCTCGGGGCCCTTGTAGTTTGGAGGGTATTTGATCGTGATCGGATCCGAAGAGGCTTGGCTCAATCGATAGCAGGATTGAGACTTTGGCTCAATTGCCCTGTGGCTCAGCGCTCCAGTATGGGACGTCGTATCCGATTTGCTCATCGAATGGGTGTAATGCCTAAATTAACAATTCAGATTTGAGCGAGAGGTTACCTCATGTGTTTCGGGCTCAACGGAGTTTTTGCTCGATCGCCGGGAGGTGAGACAAAGTTGTTGTTGACGAAATCCTGGCGGTTGAAGCGCAAATTTTCCCTTTGAAGCTCATCCCGGATGCTAAATCAGCATTGATTGAATTACGATTAAACTAGGGCACCTGTAGTAATTCGGAATTACAGTAGTGTTTTCCGGTTCGTAATTTCGGTAATTTTGATTGTTGTCGACCGTAATTGGGAGCTGGGTGTAGGGGAGCTCGCGTTGGGTCCTCCAGGTTGGGCCATCGTAGGAGCGGGAGGTATGCGAGTCTTAACAATTGTTGTTATATCTTAGGATATTTTTCATACCATTATCGTGTCTTCGTTCGCTTGGGCTAATCGCTTTTTTGCCCCAGTGCCATCCCTAGAAACAACGACGTTAAAACATAGCGTAAAATACCTGTGAAAGGACTGATTGTCGTTTGTGATGTGATGAGGTAAATAGCGGAGCATCTGGAGGTGAGAATAGATGGTTGCATACCTAAATTTTAATATTATAATGATGATCTTTTATACGATAGGTTTTCTCGCTTTCTTAACTCCTCCATGATACCGACAAGCCATCCGGCGGCAGCCCCCTTTTTGAGAAGTAATTTCCTTTTTTGAAGTGAAGGGCCACGTCAAGGCGACCCATCAATGGAATCCCCTAGGGAGGGCATGTCGCCCTCCGTCCATTCCGATGGGAGCACCCCTTCGCTCGCTCCCTTCCCCCCTTCGGCTTCTTCTTCTATTCATCGGTGTGCCTCCTGGGCTTGCTTGGAAAACCCCCCACCACAACCCTAGAGCCCCGCCGCCGACTCCGGCATTGCGAAATTGGGCTTCAGGAAAACAGCTTTCGGAACTACTGCACTTGCAGTTTTTTTGGAGTAATTAGAATGGGTAGGGAAAGGTCCAAAGATTCCTAGAAAAGCAGAAAAGGCAAAAAAATGGCATGTGGAGGCTTCTAATTGGCTAAATCAGCAAAGCCCAGTGTCTACGCGGTCTTTCATTCCCTGAAGGCTTCAGGAAAAACGCAGAAAATGTCAGTCAGTTTCTCTCTCCCTCTCTCTCTCTCCTCGCTCTCCATCGCTCTCCCTCTCGCTTGCAGTGTCTACCTAAAGAGCAAGCAACAACTGACTAATCATCACAACCTAAGACCTACAGCAAAACCCGCCTGACGCCATTCTTTCCAATATTCTATACCCTAGATAATTGCCGACCCGTGCACCCGTAATTTTCGCTGAAAATCGTGTTGCGAAATTCCCCATTCTTCAAAAACCCGGCCCTAATTCGCTTTATTCAAGGCTGACGCATCGAAACGAAGTATCCGACCATGAGCTTCAGCTTTTCTCACGATCCTGAGGTGTGTGGGACTCCTTGATCTCGGAAACCCGATTTTTAACCCAATGTAATTCATTTAGGGCTGCAATCCCCAACCAGGGCCCCCTCATTCAATCCATCTCCCGAATCATGAGCATCAGATACAAGGAAGAGAAGCGGTTGGTGGGGGCGCGTGATGCGCTCCCTCTCCTCCTCTGGAATCCTCGCGAATGCTCCTGCTCCTCCCCGCGTCGTGCCCCTAATTCCATTACCGGCACCCCTCTACCCCCTCGCCACCCCCTTCTGCGTCGATATGCATGTGTCTGTCTCTTTGTATGTCTCCATCAGGCAGACAAAGACACGAAGGTTTGGGCCATTCGAGTTGCGTAAGGGATGCGGGATGACTAGCGATGTTTTTAAGGATAGTATTGCCGCGGACACACCAAAATCCTTCATTTCTTAGGCCTAATCTCGGCACGCCATAAAAATACCTAATCCACAACTAAAAAAAACCCATTACCCAAAACATTCACCTCAACCGAAGCGAATTTCGAAAGCATCAGTAGCAAAGCCCGTAGAATTATGAGCCGGAGCGGACAAAAATACCAAAAAATGTAGCCGAGTTACAAATTGTCGGACCGAGCGGACCGCCCCGCGCTGGGCCCCCCTGGGGAATACCTAATAACACCTGCTTCTAGGTGGGTGATTACGCGGGGAACAGAATTGGAAATGTCAAGGGCTAACAAGAACAAGATAAAAAATGGGCTGCTAATTGTGATTGAGCATAAGCCTACGCTATGTCCCTTAAAAATCGATACCTAACCTTAAAACCTACCGATGTCTGAGGCCGATGAGGCTGTGGTGAGGTGAGTGAAGCACCCATGGCGCCGTGCTAGGGCGGTGGGGTGGGGTGGCTGAAAATTGGGGAATTATAGGGATTTGGACTTTGATTCGGGATTCTGAAAGGTGTTGCCTAAGAGGTGGAAAACGCAGTGCTACAATTTACACTCCCACGTGGTCATATTCCTCTCAAAACTGGTTGTAAAAAAACTTATGAATGACGTTTTATGCAAAATGACGATAGAACTAGAGAGCTAGAGAGGGAGAGCTAGAAAACGAGCGAGAGAGCGAGAGAGAGATGCCCAAAATTTGGTCCTCTGGAATGAGAGCCCGTCGGCTGTTTCCCAGGGCAGGGCGCAAATTTTTATGGAGCACGAATATGGTGCAGCTGGCGGATGGGGCGGAACGCGACATACCTGGGACCGAGGCACACGCGGTTTATGGTAGTGGACGGTCGGCCCGAGATGAGGGCATCAGGATGGCCTAAAAATTATAAGAATCTTAATAAGAATTTCTATAGCATATGGAACGTCAGACTAGAAAAAAGTGAAAATAAAAAATAAAATTGGGCATTCCTGGAGCAAGCCCTCAAATGTGTTTTAAAGCTCCCCACAAAGCTCAGACTTTCATAAAGCCCGTCCAACACCTCCTCTCGCCCCAAACTTCCACGCCCTTTAAAAAATTCAGCAACGTCCGGCTACCAGGCACCCGTCTCCAGACATAAAGACAACGAACAAATGTATAGACGATTCCGGGTCCACCGGAATGGCATGCAGAAAAAAACAGCAGTGCCAGGCCAGGCCATCCCAAGGCCCTGGCCACATTTACGTAAACATTTCACCCAGAGCAACCCCGGAATGGGCAAAAGGGGAGAATGAGAAGGAGAAAAGAGGGGGAAGGGTAGGGTAGAGCTGTAAGGGTCGGAGGGCCCAAAAAGGAAAGGGTAGACGGGGTGGAGGCGGCTCGCAGCTGACTAGAATACAGAATGTGGGGCTGGGTTTTGGGGGGTCAATAAAAGCAGGGTGGTAGTAGTTGAAAGCGATACGATTCTAGTATCGAAAAAATCATAAATCAGCGTTTTAGAAGTTCTAACAAAATAACCAGTCACAACTTTAAACCTCTTGGGTTTTTTCAAAGTCTGACGTCCCCCGACATTAAAAAAGGCCCAACAACTATTTTTAGAATCATTCTAGCATTCTTGCAAGCAAGGGCCAAATTTTCGTTGCTCCTCTATCTCCTCCCTCATGCATATATAAGCGCAGAACTCTTGTAAATATATATGGACCCGGACATGAGATGAATAGTTCCCTTCTCTCCAGTTTTTCCCCGTCGAAAATGAATTAAATAATTGCAGGGTTCGGTTGGCTACATTCCGATCCAATTGCCAGGTGCAAATTAAGTAATTCTAGGGCCCGGCCGGCAAGGAGACGAACTTGCTGCTTTTGGGAAGGGATTGGACTTCAGATTAAGTATTGAAGACCGTGATGGCATTACAGGAAAGTAAAAAAATCTGATAGTATCTAAATCAAGGTGCATCAGGTGCATTCTCGCACTAATGGAAAAATCTACGCTAGTGCGGCTCGCGAAAATCTTTGTAACTTTTCGGATATACAAAATGTCGAAAAAGGTTTCCGGCGTACGCTACCCAAAGAAGACCCTGCAAAAAAAGACCAAAAATTAGGCTTATCTTTACGGCAAAACGTGACAACCAAGAATTTCCCCTATACCTTAAAATACACCTATCATGAATCCTAACCCTTTCCGGAAAATAGTATACGAATCGACGATGGCAACAACTACCTATCCCGCACCCCGAATCACCTAATTTCCAATTTCCGGGAAACGACCGTTATAAACGAAATAATAACCAGGCCAGTTCTGAATGGAAAGGGTTCTCGGACGAGACAATGGTCTACGAAAATGAGCCCGACGTCTGGAGACGGAAGCCATTGATGTCGACTTGAAGGGGGAAGCAGTCGAGGGGGAGGCATAATATATGCTAGGGGGCAGTTGACTTGAGTTGGGCACCGTCAGGGGGGAAGGCCCATAGAGAGCGCAGGAATCCCCGAGGCCATCGATTGGAGAGAATGGATGGAAGAAGAGTAGAAGAGAAGCTGGGGTGGAGAGGGGCCGCCAGGGGCCCCCGGAAGGGCCCAGAGTGTGTGTGCCACTGCCACCAGGGGGGCTCTACTATGTGGGGGAAGGGCCTGAGGACTGACATCTTTGGATATCATTCTCCTCGTCGATCACTGGTGCTCCTGCGGCGGGGAGGAAGAGGCTTGAAATGGCAGGCGAGCCTCCCATTCCGAAGACTTATCGTGGCCCAAGATCTGATGGTGGTTTTTGGGGGTTGTGCGCAAGTGTGGGGGCGAGGGGTGGAATGTTTTGGAAGGGTGGATTGGGGCGGTGGTTGGGTCCCAGGGAACATGAATCAGCCGACTGGACTAATGGCGGGCGCTCGTCGATACTTTTGGGCCGCCTTTAATGGGAAGAGTGGAGTCGGGTGGAACTCCCTAAAAGTCGGGGAGGGAGCATGACCGTGGGAGTGGAGAATGCAAGGAAAATTAAAACTAAGATGTTAGTTGGCGGTTTGATGCAAAGAAAAATGATACTTGGAACATATCGGAAATAGAGCAATCTTAGTACTGTGGGGGGCGGAGCGGGAGGTCATTGCTTGTGCAAAAGTGCAATCTGATTACAGTACATTACAGTACGGTCGTGGAAAAATACCAAAAGGGTAGCACTAGAGCGTTTAGTCATCGCGCCGTTCCTTACAGAGAAGCATCAACCTGCCATTTCTCAGCAATGCATGATTTTTGCATAAACTGAGCGGAAGTCGATTTCCAGCCCAAACCTAAACCTAGGCCTAACCTAAGCCTAAGCCTAAGCCTACGCTTAAAAAAACTAATCCTAACAAAAATAAACACTCCAAAACCCAAAGTCAAACTACAGAACCCAAAAGTGCGACTCCAACCCCCGAAACGCCCACAAATCGCCGGCCCTTCCTGTCCGGACATGCAGCTGCCCATGGCCGGCGCGAAGCCCGAAAAAGGCGCTGTTTTGTGAATCGGATCCAGCACCACAGATGTCCCCCACCCATCCTCAAGCCGCGCCCCAATTGCAGACCACCAAACTCTTGACGACGTCCCCTCCTCCTCGTCGTATAGCTGCGCGGCCGGGGGCCCCAATTTAATCGGATTGAGCGCGAGGGGGCGGCGCGCCGGAAAAAAAACACGAAAAGTTTTTTCTGGTAGCAGTATAACGTATGATATGCAGAAGGTACCGGCCGGAAGTTTTTGGTGATTTTGGAGTTGAAGTTATAGGCGTAAAAACGGCTTAGAGAAAAGTTAGAGCTTTTTCTCCAAGCCGTAAACGGCTTAGAGAAAAGAAAAGAGAAAAGGCAGAAACGGAAATTTACGTTTTAGTCATTGTTTTTAGGCTGCGCCAACACTTGAGAGCGTTTTATAGCTTGAAACCTTTGCGAGACTTTACTTTACCCCCCTCCCAGCCGGCAGTTCCCAAAATATTTCGAGAGTTCCGCTATTTTGTCGGGATTTTGAATTCGCCATTTGGCAGAGCATCAAAAAATAGACTAAGCTTTTTAATTACAGCCCAAAATAATGTTATAGCGAAAAACATTTGGAAACTTCCGGCTGAGAGGGGGCTCAAGTAAAGGCTAACCGAAACCTCTAAAACACACCCAAATATAGTCAGCTCGTACAGCCGAATGACTCAGAAGGGTTCTCCTGCCCAGGCAATTTCACCGAAAACGGGCCTCCACATAAACACCGAATCCCGAGCTCCCCGGTTTTCCCCATTCAGCACCTCTTCAACACCGTATTGCGTCCCCCGATGATATCCTGCAGTCTTTATTCCGATTTTCTCGGCACTATTCTAGATTCCAATCTCTGCATTCACAAAAATGCGAGCTGCTCCACGACGCCGGGCTCTGGATCGTGACCGGATTCCGGAACGACCGGCAATTAAGGATTTTCAGTTTTAATCGATAACTAACTACCTGTAAATCCACCTTAAGGGAAGGATAGTGCTGCTGGCGCTCCTTCGATTTGTCGAAAAGAGATTTCGCCGAAATCCGGGTACTTGGAGCCGGAAGACAACCGATGAGAAGACGTTCGCCAGCCCCACGCTTACAGGGGCCTAAAGAGTCACTATTTCAAGAAATCAATAGAATTTGCATCCTTAGAGTCGCCGACCTGGTTTCCTTGACACTTCTAACACCTGCGTGGCGCCGGGTCCTACGATGCAAAAAACGGGATGCACACGATAACGCATATTATCAGAGCATAAAACCTAAAAATTTAGAAAAATAAAATAGGATGCAGTACCTTTAGTGCCATTGGGCTTTCCGCATGATTACGGGCGACTAATTCAAAGGAACCGCCGCTTTCCGGGAATGATAAGCTCTATAGGCGGCTAAAAAATCGAATAAATTTTCAAATGAAACCTTTGGTTCTAATTCCACATCAGCATCGTCTGTCTGCAATAAAATTATGCTCAAAAATACGCTCTGAATGACTTACGATCGAGAAAAGATGTCCTGGCGCACTTTGCGTAGACACCAAATCCGCCTCAGAAAATGCACGCTGCCTAGCGCTTCGCTTCCGAATATTTTCCTCTCCTAGCCAATCCGGAATATCGTCGTCCATATTTTTGAGTAGTAAAATGGTCAGGTTCCCCCGATTTGGGGGGACTCCGGAGATTCCAGCTGTGAAGATCGGGTTGCTGAAAACATCCGGTGCTAAAAGAGAAGATACAAGAGAAGATTAAAGACGACTAATCCGGAGGAATACAATGACTAGTAGTGGGATTCATTAAATTGTCCTGATCGGCTTCTCCGTATCATTAGAATGCTAGAAAACAATTTGAGAAAGAGGTGAATATGTGTAATTTAGGAATCACGCTTTAGCAGTAATCCTGCTGTAGATTTTTAAAAGCATTTTGACGGTTTGCAGATTTCAATCACTATTTTTAAATATTTATTCATAAGCTCCTGAGCAATTCTTTTAAGCAACAGTTTCCCGCAGCCCTTCATAATCAGTTGGTCGTCTCCGGTTGGTCCACGAACGGCTAGTAGCTGAGGGCCAATCACCAACGCTTCGATGTGAGCCGTTCCTAAATCATTACTACGACACAATCCTCAATTACACACCATTCATATCCCGTTCTAACATTCGTTTCACTAGTGCTGTCATGTAGTGTACTCCGTGGTGCATGGAATGTATGACCTCTCGCCCGCCAGCTGCCATCATCAACGCTGTTTGCGTGGACCTAAAATACGACCTTTTGCAGCTTGTTTTCCACTTACGGATATACTGGGCTGAGGCGAGATAAAAACGCTAATCTCGGACCCTCGGTAGGAAATATTGGAGGGTTGTTGCTCGTCGATAGAACCTGAGGATCGAGTATTGCGCTCTGGGAGCGACCGCATACCTAGAAATATATTCACGATGTCTTTGTAAAATTTGAGTTACCGTCCGAATGGCTACTCGTTGCACTCGGAATATGGTGACGATAGGAAAACTGTCGCTCGGTTGGTCGGCCAATCCAAACCCATTCTTTGGTCTCTTCCGCGTCTTGGCCTCCCGAGGAGCTTGAGGAAAGTCGCGAGAGTAGAGGCACCACCAGTTTTTCATAGCTAAAAAACATGTTTAATTCGTACCTTAAGTATAGAAACTAACGAGGACTTAAACGCTTGCAACCTACCCATCAAAGCTCTTTGTTTTCCGGCTAAAGAGTCGACAAACGAGCACCAGCAACAGCGTGATCACCACTACAGCAGCTACCATATCCACTCTCCAAGCAGTGCGGTAGCCGTAGTTTTCGTAGGGGGTTACTGTAATCAGTCCCGTAAGAGGGGGGGGGGGGGAGCCGCCCCCCCCGAAATCGGCCGAAGGCCGAAAAGTTGATAAGGGGGGACCCTTATGATTTAATTTTTCCAAAAAATTTTTTGCCTGCGGCGCTGTTTTTGACTATTTTTAACACTAGTTTTAGTGTTATAAACCCTATGTTTTCAAAAATTTTGCCTGCGGCGCTGTAGTTTTAGTCATATTAGTGAAAAATTTTTGGGGTCGCCCCCCCCCGAAATTTGGGTTTGTTACGGCCCTGACTGTAATAAAAAAGGTAACAATCTTCAGTTTTTCTTTACCTGTTGTGTTCGCCAATCCACCAGTCGAATTTCGATGACTACCCACAGTAAATGTTAATGATATTGGTAGTTCAAAATCTATGCAGAAATATTGAGGAGATTTTTATAAGTTTACAAGCAAGCGCATCTCCTTCGACATCACGACACTGTTCAGATGGGCGCAGTTTGATCGAAACTTCCGCATCTGTTAGGTCGTCGAGCGCTAAAGCTCGCTATCTATAAACTACTATTAATGCTTACCGATCAGATCAACTGGCGGCAGTTTCCCATGTCTGACCGCTAAACAATGCTCTTCACTTGAAAAGACAGAAAGGCTATAGTCGCTTGGCGGAATGTCGAGCAGACTTTCGGTCTGATCATCACTGTACGTCAGATGGATCGCCATGGCGCCATGCTAAAAATTTGCATCTCGAAATTTGCATATCAAAAACCTGATATTTATGCGTAAATGTAGTCTGAATCCTGGCAAGCACGAAATACTGAGCTCTATGACCCTAAAAGAAATGATAAGTAGTTTTATACGTTTCCTACTGATATCGGAATTATATGCGGCTCCACCTCTACGATAGGCAAAGCGGAAATACGTTTGAGGGAAACCGCATCATTTGTTACCTAAAAAATTGATATAGCCGTGGTACAAAATTCAGAAAACCTACCGTTAATAAACTAGACCCGTAGTCAATTTGTGGTATTGAAGATTTAAGCACAATTCTAGAAAACGAATGATTTCTTTAGTAAAAGCTTCTTACCTTGAAGTCCCTTGTTCATGGGCATAGACAATTAATTTTCCATCTGCATTTTTTATTGTAGCAATTGATCGGTTTGCCGAGTGGACTCTAAGATATATTCAACCTACAGTATGCCATTTCAATCCCAACCTGGCTGCGGCGATTGGAGTCACATCAAAGAGCGTTTCTCGACCTCCCGCTAGATAATGGCGCTCTCCCGTTTTATCGTCACCAACTTGGAATGAAGCCAAGATTCGGATCTCAAAAAATCGTGGTAAAAATTTTGTAATTATGGTATGTACCTCAGAATGCTGATATCTTTCCGAACATCCAAATTGGCGAGCAGCTCCAGCAGTTTCCAGTTGTTTCCAAACAGCCACCGGCCAATTACTGACTGTATGGAGAGTTGGATTGCTCAACCAGATCTAAAAAAACATTTTCTATGCGTTTATGTGTTCATACCGTAACCGGAACCCTTGGGAACCACACTGCAAATGTCACTTGCGTTGTCCACTGCTCGTAGTGGATGTGGACTCGGGCAGCCGGCGAGCCACGCAACTCCGAACCGTCCACGTACACCTAACGACGTGAAAATCAGAATTTTTAAGTTGTCAAACTTACCGAAGAACATGTTGGGCTGGTTTTGATGACTTTAACCTCACTGCTAATGCAATGCGATAAAGCTGTGATGTCTCGGGTAAGGCCGCCAATCTAAAATTTGCATGCCCTAATTAGAGTATGGATCCGGGAACCTACCGTAACCGAGATAATTCGCATCGGGATTGAGTATTGTGTTGCGGAGAGGACAGCTGTGTTGATAAGAGATGTTGACTAAATTTAAGGATAAAAAGATTAATTGGCAATTTACAACCTTGGTTATCGGCACGATGGCATAAATTACATCTGGAGCCACCCGGAATGGCGTGGCGACTCGTTGAGTCTCTACCTGAAAGGTCCAAAAATCTGTACATTAAATTTTTCTTACCTTCGTCCCATTCCCATTCCCTTGGGCACCACCAAGAGGACTCAGCCGCACCTAAATTTTGTATTTAAGGTTCAGAATCAACCCGACCTCCCAGTGTAGCGTCGCGCTCTCCACATCCTCCTGCACCTCCTTCCGCCGCGCATCACTAATTACGGAGCCACGCAGCTTGAGGAGAAGCGCGAAGAGATATCCATCAAAGCTGAATGATATTTCATAAGACGTGGGGAAAGCTAAAGTGCTGACTAGTGAGATATTGTTTGTAGCGCTTTGGGCAAGCTAGGAATTTTTGGGTGAAGCTGGGCAGCTAAACACAATTTTTGGATTTAGTGTCTGATTAAAACAATTTGTTTTGTACTATAAATGCAGCTGTAAGGTGGAATCTACGTACTTAGCCGAATTACGTCTCTTGGGTATCGTAACATTGCTTAGTTGCTTTTGGCAAGGGTTAATTTTTTGGTTTTTCCATTTATGGTCTTTTTGGGACATATTCGCTTTCCTTTCTTAATGTTATCCCTCTTTCTTGATCTGTAACCTACGTGGAATTGCGGTCTATTCGTGTGCACAGAAAAGAGGTATGTGTCCGGGGTCTCGGCGCGGACAATGGCCGCACACTCCAGGCTCCCGGTGACAATGAAGCCGCATTGACTACCTCAAAACGCGAGTCCAGCCATACCCTAAATTCACTTATGTATTTTACGAATGAAGTTATGAAAAAGAAAGTTTTTTAAATTAAGTTTAAATGGCTCTACCTCAACTCCAGCTCATCCAGATCTTTGTCCTTTTCCTCGCTCAAATTATACGAAAGATGAACGAATAATGAATTCAATGAATTCAGCGAGAATGATAAGTTTGACCGCGACAGCAGGGACAGCTCCCTGAAAATGGATGACGGCGATTAGGGGGCAAAAATTGGGGGGCCTCCCACAATGAATCATCTTTGCGGAGCACATGGGCCTGGGCGGCTTCAAGGTATGGGAGAAGGGAAATGGGCACCTTAGAAGCAATGTTTTGGCTAGAAAACCGACAAAAGACACCTGTGGTCGTTCATAGAAGTGTGCATCGCAATGTGGGGCAGTCACATGGGTTAATGAGAGCGTTTGTTTCGTTGCGTCGGCCCCAATTTGGCCGAACCACGAGAATGGGACCTAGGCTTTAGCTGAAGGGAAAGAAGGGAAGACCTTACTTGAATACGAACTAGACATGAATGTCGCGTTTCTTCAAACGGGTTTAGTTCACAGTGAGCTGTTACTATAAATAAAAATAATACCTTAAAAAAATATGTTAATTGATACCTGTAGCACCTGATGGGCTACTAACCCGTACCGATACGCAAAGCCTCCGTCGCAAAGAGGATAGTGCCGCTCCATCCGATTGAGCAACAACATCAATAAAAGGGCGGTCCTTAAAAATAAAAATTGGGTGATAAGTAATAAAATTACCAATCGAATCACATCTTGCACTACTCGAATCGAGACCGCACAATTATAGTTATGTAGCGCCGCTTGCAAGCGAGCTGCCGATTTTTTGCCCCCATAAGTGGCCGAGACGATTTGCTCGCTTTGTGAGGGGCAGTCATCCTAATTTAAATAGATTTTCTAATTTGAAAATCTTACATGTAAATACAACTTTTGTTCGGTCAAATTTGAAGGCACCGGTGAGAATAGATAGAAGGCATTGTGTGGAGGGTCGACGGAAAAATGCTGGCCTGAAAATTTGAGGTGAATTATGGTTTCTGGCCTCGACCATGTAGTCCTAATGTCTTTTTTCATAAGGTGAATGGCTTCTGCAGCCCTATATCATCAAAAATGGGAAAAAACCAATTTCTCGCCTCACCTGCTACTTTATTGAAGACAAAGACAATCGTCACAATGAACGTTGCACTTCGGAATGGCATCGCATTTCTGAAAAGTTTGTTAGTAGTTATACCTTTAAAAAAACGTAGAAAAACGTCCGTAAAAAATGGCGCAAGTAGGAAATCGACTGGGCGCGCTTTCCGAGTCAGCCGCTGAGAAATGGATTCAATGAATTATAAATGACAGCAAATACGCCCGGCTCAAGCTTCCGATATTGTGAAAAACAGTAGGAAATCAGGGAAATTAATAATATCCAATCAAGATGCCAAACCGGAAAATCGAGGGAGCTAAAAATAATAGAATTAATAATAACTTTATAGCTTTAAAAGCCTGGCATTGTAATAAGCTTTAGAAATAGGTCCAGAAGCATTCAACGGGATGTTTTTTGCTAACGCATAGGGCGCATGGATACATGAAAATTAAATTAGCGGCCCCGGCCAGTTAGTGAGGGGGGGGGGGGGGCAAATGAACGAAAATATAAAGGAGCGGAAAAGGAAGATGAATTAGGTCTCTACGGTTCCTGTAGGATATTTTGAGGCTATTTTAAGTACAACCTGCTTTCTGCGGTTTTCCGGGGGAGGTAAGGATATACGTGACTAGTCGCTTTTTGGATCGGAAGCTCAAATTACATGGTGGAACAAACATTCCAGGATAACTGGAAAAAGCAAGGTAGTTGTTGAAAAGTTGGAGAAGTAAGTTCTAACTCCAAATCTAGGGTTTAAAGGAGTAGAAAGCTGTAAAACCGGGTTTTCCAAGCAAAGGAAGTGGATAGCGTAACCCTAACAACATGCTTTGTCAACATGTCATCCATTCCATCACGCAAGCCCCCAGCCCCCCAAAGCTCAATTCAATTTTCCGGTCAATAAGCCCGGGAAGATCTGATGCTCCCCAGCGAGAAGCCGAAAAGAAGATAGAAAAGAGCCTGCCGGGCCGAAGGCCGAGATGGGGAGGCCCAAGTTGCAGATGCCCAATGCCCCCTCCCTTCCTGTCAGAGAGATGGGGCCCAACGGCGAGGGGGTCTGTTTCTCAGACCCAAAAAGCCCCCTTTGGTCAAAGACCCCCAAAAAGCTGCCGGCTTCCACAAAAAGGAACGGCGAGGGACAAATTGGGGGTGTAGAGCGGGGGGAGAGGGGCAGAGGCCTGGGGCCCTGGGGTAGGGCCCAGTACTATGTGCCCGGGGGCCCCCAGCCCTGGGGAGAGGGGGGGAGGGCCCACCAGGGGCCCATCGGAGGCCTCAATCTCGTAAAGTAGGGGCGCCACCCAGAAAAGGGGGGGGGGGTCTCTCCTTCTGAAAGAAAAGGCCCACATACACACATGCTCACTCACTTCACCACCCTCTCTTGAAAAAGGGCCTTGAATCTAAGGCCGAAAACAACACCCGGTGACTTTGAGACGATGAAGCAAGCATGGATAAGTAGGAGGGTAACAAGTTGAAATTCTACGAAGTAAAAAACACTAAAAAGCCCCGGAGTTTAACTAAAAGCAAGATAAACCGCCAATAATCATAATTTATATCTTAAAACCTATACAATCGTAATTCCGAGCAAAAAGGTTGCGTTTTCACATTAGAAATCCAACCCGTTCCTTTTTGCCATTTCCCCCAACGGCCCCAGACATGTGATTGGGTCCAATTTACCCCCCCATTGCACCTTCGGAAAGAACAGCGAAACAGATTTCAGCAGAAAAGACGTTTAGGATATTTAAAAAAATCAGCTTCTTCGTCGGCTTCATCTAAAAAAAGGGAAAAATCATACCAGCTAAGTAATCTGCGTAAATGCGTACGAATTACAGTAATCCCTGAAAATTACGGTATACCATGTTAAATTCTGCTACAAGATTAAGAAAACCGAAACCGCTCGAACCTGTAAGGGCTTTTCTATTATTTTTGTATAACTTGGCAACTTTAGGTCGCATGCAGGCCCGTAAGAGTGCGGCGGCGCTGCAGTTTTAGTCATATTAGTGAAACAGTTTTGGCGCCCCCCCCCCCCCCGAAATTTCGGGTTTGTTACGGCCCTGATCGCATGTCTGTAACTGTATCTGTAGGTCTTCGTATTGTCCCGGTCATTAAATCAGTAGTCTGCACCATTACGGTAATCGCAAAAGACGTTTTTAAATTGTTCGATACTTCAGATACTCCTGAAGCCAGGTGAGCCTCCCAGGGCACTTACTGTATTAGCAGCCCTGTCTCGTCATCCGCCTTTCCATGCCGGATCCGCCTCCTAAACGGTTGCTTAGGAGACATCACCCAACCATACAGCCCGGCAGGTGCTTCTCTGCCATTGATTTGGGCGCCTTGGAGGAGTTGTAGGAGAGAAGAATGGGCCAGGATTTGGACCATTCTCCGCTCCTCCTCAAAATACCTGTACCAATTTTAAAAATATTAGCATTGTTTCAAGCTCTCTTTTGTGAAGACTACTGTATTTTGTTGGCATTTGTACATACCTTTTCTATTAACTCTTTATTAACGATACCCTAGACCTTAAATCCAATTTTTAGACCTCGGTCTCAACTTGTGTAGTTCTACCAAGTCTATGGTTTCCTTAAAGCCATCGAAAACTCGCCGCCCTTATGCTGCGGTTTTCACAACCAAATTAATTTGAATTTTGATCAATGAACACATATCCAATGTGGATTTGAACTGTAAGTTTACTTGCAAAAATTCCTCGAAAAATAAGTTAAATAAGAATGCATTGCTTTAGAAATAACTTTTTGCCTGGAGATTTGATTTTATGACAGATGCGTCGTCGCAAAATGAGGATGAGAAAAATTTTATTTTTTTGCAAAGAAATTTCGGAATGATGAAAGCGGAAAAGTAAGTGCCAATTACCGAGCGACAAAATGTCACTCATTTAGTAAAATGAAAAAGGATCTTGAATTGGAAGAATTTTAAGATTTTTTTAAAGCATGTTTTAGCTAGCCTGCATTGCTTTATTGCAATTTGTATCGGAACGCTAAAATGAATGGATTCATTTTAATGGCCCAAGGCACAGTAAAAATTGTAAGTCGTATTTTAAATTTTTAACGTCATTTTTAGCTAGCCTGCATTGCTTTAATGCAATTAGCAAAGAACCTTCAAAAATTTTATGGATAAAAAAGCTATTGACATCAGGCAGAAGATGCTATTGTAAGAAATATCTTCATGAACTTTAAAGTTATTTTTTTAGCTAGCCTGCATTGAATTTCGCAGTTATACGCCAAGATTGAAAGGATTAATGGAAATGCACCAAGGCACACCAACACGCGTAAGGTCTCATTCAAAAAGTTAAACATATTTTTTAGAAGCCTTTCTTGACTTAATTGTAGTTTCCAACCAGTTTTTCTGGTATGGCATGGATAAATGCATCATTTTCATAAGGCAAAAGTACTTAAAAGGTAAGAGATAGATTATAAAGAACTTTAAACAAATTCTATTTAGACTGCATTGCTGTAAAAATTATTATGCTAATTAGAATCTATGTGCATCGTAAGTGTCGAGCGCAAAAAATTAAAACATTTTAGTGGGGTTGCATTTCATGGAAGGATTGAATAGTTAAAAGGGCAATGCGTATGTAATGTAAGTATTAATTTCCAAGCCTTAAATTTATATTTTCAGATTTTTGACATGACAATGATTTTGTAAATATAAACTTTTTTACTAAATTTATAAAGGTATGCTGAAATCCTTCGTAGTAGCCTCTCTTTAGGTCTTTCGACACCTAGCAATCAACGATCAAATCAGTTTGTTGCAAATTAGATATTTTATCTTATTAATGGAGAGGGATACGCGTTGTAATAATTTATGCCGATATAGTGGGGAAAGTGGATGGTTTATATATAGAGCTTTTTAGACCGGGAGTCCGATTCCCGAGAGGTTAAATGGAAAAAACAGGCCGATCAGTAATTATCTGGGGTGACTCGTCATGGATATGGATGTAAATTTGTAAGTATTTTTAGGCTCTATTGTACGATTTTAAGGAATATGGATTATACTAAATTTTCAGGTACTACTTGAGAAGCGGAAAAAGAAAAAATAACGGCTAAACCGAAAACAAATGTGTATTAGAATATGGAAACAAAACGTTAAAGCAAGTTTTATACTTGTAATGGTTAGGTAAAATAATAAATTTTTCTTAATGGACTTGTGCTTACCGAATATGTGTAATTATCAAAATCACACCTTTATTTCGCCCAAAATCACAGAGACAGAGCAAAAAACTGCAAACAAAAAAAAAGAGTGGTGACAGTTGGGTGGGGGAAACAAAGGGAGAATATGTGGAAGGCAAAAATTGCTAAATGGACCCGTCGAATTGTCATTAACACATAGTGAGGCACCAAAAAGCAGTAAGAAGAAAAAACAACAATTTTGAAGTGAAACTGGGGGAAGGTATAAAAGTTCTGGATTTCTTGGATTTTAATAGGTACAGAAAGTCCTTAAACTATAGATTTTTCAATAAATCCAAAACTTCTAAAATCAGATCTAGGTTGGGGGAACAGTTTTATTTGTTGAGCAATGCGGGCTATGACCAGTATATGGATGTGGCGATGTGGGGAGCGTAGAAAACAGCAAGAAAAGTTATGGGTAAGATAATGGCAAAATGACAACGCGGAAATGCTATACCTGCTCTTCATTCACGATAAAACCATGTTTGTGCCCGAAAGTTGTATGGAGACCGGTAGTCGGATGGCGCTATGCGTTGCAGAATGGGGTGCCGGAGCCGAAAGTCGAAGCGGAGCTCTGTAAAGAATGTCATAATTCATCTTGAAAAGCATAAAACACAATTTTGGAGATCTAGGTAGATAGGGGAAGCGGGATAAGCAAAATACCAGCTCGCAAGTTTCAAAAATGCTCAGAAAAATCGAAAAATAAGCCTAAAACCCTACTGTCGTCAAAAATCCCGGTTGAGACGTTCTAAAAAATACACTAACAAATGAACCTCAAGTTGGGACGGTGGAATTTCGAAAAACGCTCGCGGCTACCCCTAGGTTTTCGACTATCCGCCGTGCTTTCCCACACGCCCCCCATCTGGCCCACTGTCTGGACAGACTCGGCCATTCAACTGGTTATTCCATATTGATGGGACACCTCATAAACCTAGCGCTCATGCCAATTTTTTCGGATGTAAATGATCATTTTCCGGAAGTGCTGTATTGTCCAGAGGCTCATTAAAGAAATGCTGACCAGACCGTTGGTATCGCAATAGTCGAAAACCTAGGGGTTGCCGCGAGCGTTTTTCGAAATTCCACCGTGCGACCTTGAGGTGCCCTTGTAAGTTCAAAGGTCGAGTACGCTACATTCCAAACTACATTGTAAAGTACCACTCACCACGGAGATTTGTTTTTGGTGCCCCGGCGATCGATGGCCGAATAAACTGGCGAACGGAATCGCTAACGTATTGTCGACCCTGAAAATTAGCATATTCCTAATGAACTTTAAAGGGACTGCGACAGAACCATAAAAATTTAAATACTCACTTTCCAGGTATAATCTTCTCCTCCAACCAATATACAATCTTCATAATCAGCATCCCGTGCAGCACCGACTGTTTTCGCTCGACAAAAATGTCGCCCTCAACGTACGCGTGATATACCCTAAAATATCGAATAATCAAAGTACGTTACATTACAACTTACATAAACACAAAGTTCGTCAACCAATACGCAAAAATGACGTCAATGGTGTAGTGCGTATGCGAGATGATCAGACACGACATCCCAAACAAGGATATCAAAGAAGGGACTGAAAAGGCAAAAATTATTTTATACGTTTTTCGATGCATACCGGCCGCCAGTAGCTTCCACTTCTTTGGCAAATAGTGGTAGACGGACAGTGTGCAGGTCATCATGACAAGGGTATGGCCGGAGAAGAGGAGATCTCCGCAAAGCATCCCTGCTTTTGCCTAAAAGTTTCAAAAATACGAGAAATTTCAAGGAAAATATACTTGGAATCCCATGCGGATCGTCTGCTCTCCGAGTCGGTCCCAGAATGTGGTCCAACTCGCGTTTTCGTGACCTCGACACCGGGCATAGTTGTCTGTATAACCTGTAAAATCGGGTTTTACACGTTATTTGGATTTTTCAAGCTTTAAAGGGCTGTGCAAGGCAAACCTCAGAGATTATAGATATCTTGTGTCTATTTGAAGCCTACTCATGCGCGATAAGCCGCTTTATCTCACCCCTACAACCCAACCCCCGCTCCTCTTTTCTTTTCATTTCAGGTGATCCTCCGGAGCCCCAGAGCACACGACCTTGAAACGGTTTTCCGGCCACTGTCGCGCGCCGCTCTTTACGGCCATTTCCCCCCGCAACGAACACACAGCCCAATTCGGTACTCCCAAATAGATAGTTTGTCCTTCTTCGAAAGTCGGGTGACGAATTTTGATAGTAATTTGGGAAGCGTGAAGATTGGGAAAGTACGAAATGGGCGTGGCCCGCCTTGATTTTTGTGTCCATTTTAAAAGCCTTTTTCTAGAATTTTTAGGTTTTTAGAAAATTTTCTGGTCGAGTTCACGTTCAAATATTCCCTCTCCACAGTTCATACATTTCATAACCCCTCTCGATCCCACGTTTTACAAACCCAATCCTTTTTCCGAACCCCAGTGACTCATGATCTACAGTTTTTCTCGCACAAGGATCCGTATGGTAGGGTCCAAAACCCGCGATTGTGGATGAGGATGGCAAATAGAAGCCATGGGAGGGAGGGGAAGAACAGGAGAAGGAGAAGGAAAAGGAGAAGCACAAGGCAACAGGATAGTCCGATGAGAGGGGGGAAAACATGGGCGCGTGAATTGTGGGCGGCGGGAAGCAGCTGATCGCTTAACAGGCTAGAGAGGTAAAAGAGGAAGCGAGGGACCGGATTCAAATTTTGGGTGTAGGGTGATGTCATGTCGAAATCGAGGCGGTTGTTTTTTAGCGAAGGATGGTATCATCATTTCGGGGAAAACATATGCTTTTCTGGGAAAAGGAGTGATTCAAGCTGAAATGGTGGTGCCGGGAAAAGCATGTTCAGAGACGTTTTGGGGAGGTGAAAGGTTTCAATGGAATACGGCATTTACCAGAATTTAACACAGCAGGATTTTTCAACCGTTTTAGTGATTTTATTAGCGGAATAGATAATTTTCCCATTTTAAAAACTCTCAAAATTCAAACATTTGAAATTTTAAGATAACTGAATCGATTTTGAGCGTTTTTAGCGTTACAAACCGTTCGGATCGACTCAGAACTTTTTAGAATGCACTAAACTTCTTTTTTTTACTGTTTACGCCCTAATCAAAGGCCTATTCCGCAATCTGATCTCCCCCGCTTTGTCCACACCCACCACTCTAGCGGCTGGCACCCCCCGGGTTTGCTTGCCTTTACAACTCTTTTTTTTGCGCGCGCGCGGCGAGGCCGCTGGGGTCAAAGAATCTGACAGTGCCGGATGGCGTCGAAAAGACGGCCTCCCGGGGCTGAGGGTCCCGCACCGACAGTTGTTTGCATTTTCACGGCGATCGCGCCAAAAAGTTTTCGTCAAATTTGTTAGAGGTGCCAGCCGGGGTTGAGTCAAGCAGAGGGAGGAGACGGAATAGGGGGCCATCATTTGATTGCCAAACAAAATAAATGGTCCGAAGATGGGGCTGGGAAACGAATGGAAAAGTGAAAGAACAAATTTAGGGAAAAAAATGGAGCCTGAGATGGGATTGGAATACGGTAGAAAATGGTATAACGGCTGGGAAGACTTTTTTGTTGAGTTTTTTAGATTGTTAAGCTTTTGAAAAATTCTCACTAGTGCTACAGATTTTCCGAGTACGAATTTTTGCTAATTACATCATCAAAATCCCTTTCAGGAAGTATGAAAAGATGTGATTTAGGTGAAATTGGACATCAAAATGAGGGGAACATAACCTAAACTTGAAAATACGATTTCGCACTATTTTCCAAGCAAATTCCTTTAAAAAAATTCTGCAGTGCCAAAAGCCACGTGCTCGAACTTGCTCTAAGTACACCATCAAACCCCCTTTCAAAACCCTGACCCCACACCCGATTTACCGAATACAAATAAACACCCCCTGATACCTATCACTTGCCCTTACAACCGATCCCCCTGTCCCGAAAACGCATGTTTTCTCCGTATCTCCACCTCCCAGAATGCCTTCTCGCTGAATACAAAACGTAACAACACAACACGAAACAAGTTCTCTACCCCTCTCCCCCGGCCATCAAGGGATCGCGCTGCCCGCCCCTGCCGATTAGCATAAGCGTCCCTTGTTGCATGTTATTTTGCCGCCGCGGGTCGATACGAAAATGTGCCTTGGACCCCGCGAATCGACAAAAAACGCCAAAAAAACTTTCCAAAAGCAGAAAACACTGACCTGGGGGCAACTGTGTCACTAGCAACGAGACGGATCTCATACTGTACAAGGTCCCGGCAATGAAAAATGCCCTCCGGACGATGAGAAACCGGTATCGGTGGAAGATTAAAAGCGCTGAAAGGTATATATTTAATTTTGGAGGTAGCCGTATTTGCACGTACCAACTAAGCAAACAATATTTGCCGTAACTGAATAGTCGCCCCATCTGGCCGCCCATTCCTGTTCCGGCATGCCTAGGGTCCGTTCGAAGAAATCGAAGAGTATATCCGGGAGGGGTTCTCTGCAAAATCCAAATTATTTTTAAAATTTGGGTAATAGGAATAAGGTATGGTTAAGGTCTATAAAAAACCAACCTGCCCGCTCGGTCATGTGTAAATGAAAATACGGCCCAATTACTGCTGCCAGCGAGGGCAAGGTAGAAAAATAGGAAGATCAACTTCGGGAATTCCCATGGTATTCGTTGTGGCATCCCTGAAAAAATGAAAAAATAATAAAAACGAATATCAATAATGAGACCAACTCCCGATTCCGGAAATGGAACCCAAAATGCTCGTCCCACCCACAATTGCGCCTATTTATTGATGCAAAGGCGATTGTGATGCGCGGGTATGGCATAAAATACACCTTTTTGGGCTTCGGCCGGATTTAAGGGCACGCTGGAAGCTGGCAAACAACTTACTAAATTCTTCTCGGCCGCCCTCCATTTTTTCGGAGGGTTCTTGGGTGAATGAGAGCGGGTGGAGCTCTTTGGGGAATACCCGCGGCATTTTAGGGGAATTTTCAGGATTAGGGGGTGGGATCGAAAGATCGAAGGTTGGGGAGGGTCGAGGGGTAGAAAAGAGGGGGGCTTCTCAAAACCGTCCACCCCCAATTCGCAAGGTCAGACCCACCTGGAAACCGTGGGGCGGGGTCTCCGGCACCGCCCTCTCGATGTGAGCCCTCCGACAGTCTTCGGGTACTCTGAAAATAAAAAAAATTATACAACCGAAATTCTCATCGAAGATTACATCGTGATACTCAAGAACCACCGCATAAATTTACATAAAGCCCAAAATCTGCTCTATTCTGAAAAATAACGATTAATGCCAGTTGTTTTTGTATTATTGAAAAAACGATTTTCAGAAAATTATGTTTTTAGAGATTTAATGTAGCCGATTCGCCTCGAAAGCTCCAGAAAATTCGAACAAAGGTCTTATTCAAAACCGGTCCCGAAACTTTCTCCGCTGATGTCAACACGAGGTCAAAATCCACCAAAACAACCTAGCAGATGCTATGAACTCAATATACTCGATACCTATACCATTAAGTGAGTACGATGAATGTTAATCCAAATCTTTCGGCTACAAAACAGTAATTCTGAGCTTACCAGACTACGCTTGAGCTTATATACCGGGCTAGCTGATAAATGCAAGGAATCAGCTAATTAATGATGTGTAATTTTAATCTGCTATGGTGTCAAAAGATCTCGGAATCAAAAATTGCAAGGAAATTAAAGGGAACAAGGGGATTTTGTTTGCGCAATGTGTAGGGGTGGGCGGCAGGGGATGGCATTCAGCTGGGGGTGGATGATTGATTTTGTCTCCATGGATGAAGACAAGAGAATTTGGTATTGGAGTATTTTTACGCTTCAAAAAAAGCGGAAATCGATCCTTGACCCTGCAAAGGCCGCCATTTTTGGTGAACTTTTTGAAGTCGGTGTATAGGAAATCAATTACAAGCGGCGAGAGGAGGTGGTTTTGAGACATTGAGCGGCCCCCCGAGAGCCATGGGGGGGATTCGGATGGATGGCGGTCAGTTGCTTACCGCTATTTTCCGTGTTGTGGAAATGGGGACAAACGGGCCGGAGAAACAGACGTGGAGACAGACAGACGAACACAGACAGACAGCACAATGTGCTCCTGTCAACCGGGCCCATTCGACTACTATTGGTTGCTCCTCCGCCGCTACATACCTTGGGTCGAGACAAGATCTGTGTCGAGGTGGTGGACTTGTTTTTGCCTCCGGGGAGTATGAGGGGAGAGGAAAAGCTGGGGAGAACAAATTATATGTAAAAATGTAGGTTGCAGAGTAGTAAGCCTAAGCCTAAGCCTAAGCCTAAACCGAAGCCGAAGCGTTAATTTAAGCTTAGCCTAATCCTAAACCCAAGCCTAAGCCTAAGCCTAGGTTAATGCCGATTCTTATGCAAACCTATACTAAACTGCCCTCAACCTGCTCTTTCCCACCACATCGTCCCCAAAAACCCCGAATAACATGACGTCGACAAAACGTCAACAACTCCTACCAAATAACATTAAGCCCACCATCCTCCCCCGATCTCCCATTTCATGCTCCCCAGAATTCCAACCGTGGCTCCCCTCATTTTTTCGACCGGCTGATTCAACAGTGGCCTCTGTGGGCTCATGAATCATTCCACCCCTTCTATTCACCCAGGGGCCATGCATGCTAACTGCTCCCACTCCAAAAGTGGCTCCCTTTCACCTTTCGCTAATAGCTGATTGATTTGGCAAAAAGGAAACTAGAGCAACGTTTCATCGACACTGTGCGAAGCGAGTAGCCGAGCGCCGAAAAAAGCAAGAAATCGGAAAATCCCCCGCGAGATGAGCGACGAGGAAGTCAAGTAGGGGAACGGCGCGGGAAGGGGGGGATTGTGAAAAAATGATTTTCGAACCGGTTGGGTTTGGGGATGGGGTGAATTTTCGGGGGTTTATGAGATCGGGAGGGGGAGTGAAAAATCGTGGTTGATTTTTAAAGCGCAAAAAATTGGTGGCAGCTTTGGGAGTCGAAAATTAGAATATCGAAATAAAAATACAATCAGGATCTCGAATCCAGAATCCAAATTTTATGATCACGAATTTTGGAAAATTGCAAAATTTGCATAAGACGGATCTAGGTATCCATATTTTCGAAAGTCATTAATTTCAAATAGTCAGATCTTAGAAAAACACACCGAGATTTCCAAAAATAGATTTACGAGCCAGCCGAACTCTAGCCAGCCCCAGCAACCATGAACGGGGATGGGCTTCACATAATTGGAGTAAGGGGAGTCCCCGGATGGCGGATGTGGCCGTGTAGCACAGCTAGGGTCCCCCGAAACCGGGCATTCCCCCCAATGCCTGAGGCCCAACGCCGAAAAAATGGCTGAGCGCCAGAGGCCACAAGGGCCCCGGATTTGTAAACATTTTTTGGGGGTTTGGGGACGGGGGGACGGCTGGGGGCACAGCTGATGCTCCTGCTATATATTTCTTTTGGGATGGGCTTTGGCCTGGGGCCCAGAGATCAATGGATTGGTGGAGTTCACTCGATTGTCGGGGGTCAATTGGGGTGAGGCGGGGTTTGGAAACGGTTTATCCGATCATATATTCATTTGGTAAATCGTTTATAAAAGATTTAAGGCATGTAAAAACTGATTTAAGACGTTCTTAAGCTAGTTTGTAAATCGAAAAATTCGCAAAATCGCTGCTGCAAACTCGAAGATAATTTATGACAGTTAAGCAGCGTTAAAGCATGTAATAGCTTTTTAAAGAGGCTTAAAGTTATGAAAAATGCAAAATCACCTCCAGGAAAAATTTAAAAGACGTAGAAGCCCAACATCATGCAAAAACGACTTCTGCAAATCTCGTCTAATCCTTTAGGAGCAGCAGTTGAGTCCAGTAAGGCTCTACTGAGTTTTTATAGTTGCCTAAGACCTCTGGGAATCGTGCAAAAAAAGCGTTAAATGGATTTTAAAAGACCTAAGAGTCTGAAAACGCGTGCAAAGCGACTTCTCCATATTCTGACAACCTCAGAAATTTTTTCAAACAAACCCCAGCCGTCATAAACACCTATACCCATCTACAGCCCTTCCGATTCATTTTTCCATCTCCCCTTCAACCCATCGTAGGCACACACAAATTCAAAAAACATCCATCTTCTCCCGCTCCACCCACCCCATCTCATCCCCCCACCCATTGTTGCTCAAAAGCAATAAGCTTGTCCCACCCCGGCTTTTGGCTCTCAATTTTTCAAGCCCAGTCCCCTGACTGAATACATGCAAAATCCATACGTGACGCGTGCACGTCCGATTTTTATTTATCGTTTTGCCGATAGGCCCGTGCGTTTTTTTGTTGGTTCTGAGGGAGGTGAGGTGCCAAATACACTGGGAAATGTAAACAGCTTTGGGGTTCGGGGGGTGAAGCTATGAGTTTGGTGGGCGGCGCGAAAACTTGGAAGATAAACAGGAGGTGTAATTTTGGGGGTAGTAATAAAAGGAATTTTAAAAAATATCTAAAAAAACTTGGTCAAGTTAAAAAATTATTTGCTGTTTTTACAAGATCAGCAAAGGGCCAGAGAAGTCTTTCACGAGTAAAAAGGATTCGGAAATCCGCTGAAATTGTTTTGGCTAACAAAAAAATTGTGACTTTGGAAGGTTTTACCTTTCTTATCGATACAAAATCGTATTTTAATCTTTATAGAGCTTGAAATGGAGAATTGAAATGTTTTTTTCCTGGTATGAAACGATCTGGGAATTCTTTAGAATCCTAGAAAATCGAGGTCAACGCCAGATCAACTTAATATCCTCCGGAACAGGAATGAATTAACGTCTTTCCAAGGTAAAAATCTAAACTCCAACGAGCAGTGGTACCCAGGTATCAACGTGCAGGAAGTGCGAAGGGTGTCGTGTCGGCAGGGGGCCCCCGACGCCGCGCTATACGGGGCGAGGCCCCACCACCCGAAAAAATGACGCAGATTGCCAAATTGTGCGTGGCGAAGAATTGGGGGCTGTTGGGCCCTTGGGCCCCTGAGTCTAAGGGCCCTCTCTTAGGGCCTTTTCGCAGGTCAAAAATGGCTTTCAGCGCCATTGGAGGAAGGAGTCGACTTTTCGGTGAAATTGCTGGTGGGGAGGTTTTCGGAAAGAAAAACAATGGGCACTTTGCGAAGTTTCAGAAAAGCTTTGGAGGTGGAAACTTTAAAAGCTACTAAAAAGTTGTTGAAAACACTCGGTTTTTGTCTTGGCATTCCCTTGAAGAAGCTGTTAAGCTGTCAGGACAGTGGTGAGGGCTCAGAAAAAGTTTTGCGTAGTGTGAAGGGTCACCCAGGGAGCTGACGGGTGCGCAATAAGCCGTCAAAAGTTTACACCCGGAGCGTCAGGCTGCGGAACTAGGTCAAGCAACATATGGCAGAGAATGCGGCTTTTCCGAAAAAGCAACAATTTTTGAGTTATTAGCTTGGGAATTTGGAAGAAACTCAAAGAATGAACGAAAAGATGTTTAAGTAACAATCTTTAACAGTCATTTTTATAGCTTAGATAGCATTAAGCGTTAATGGATGCGTAACCGAGCAATGACAAAGCCTAGATCTTGCTGTCCCTGTCCCTTTAATGTACCCCTAAAACTACAGTATCTCTCCCACTGCCTGACAAATTTAAAAATGGCGGGGTTTGACTTCTGAGCCTCCGAAAATATTTTCGGAGCTAAAGAACAGCCTTCGTTTTCCCCCATAAAGAACAGATAATGGGCGGGCGGTGGTCGTGGCCACGGTTCCCCAGCGCTCCCGGCTGAAGACGTCGGAATAACCGACAAGCGCCTGAAAACGACCGCATCCTCCCACCAGTCGCCACCGCCCTCATTAATAACGAAAACGAAGAAGCATGAGGTGGGATTGTCGTAGGAATGGGCGATGATTTTTTTGGGGGGGAGTGAGTGAGCTAGAAGCGGAAGAAAAAGAAGAAGCCTTTGAGAGAATGTGTGTGGGGATGGAATTGATGAAGCACTGTGGGGTAGACAGGTATAAAAATTGATAGAAGGGTGCAAAAAGGACATAAAAGGAAAAGGGTGGTACAACGAGAAAATTTTAATCCGGTGTTCAGACTATTCAAATCTCATTTTTTTGCCAATCCGTCTAATCCTAGGTTCTAAAGCACAAATGATTACGGTAGGTTTATCCTCTAGAAAACGGAATATTTTGGAATTTTGCTAAATCGCTAGCAAGTTGATCTGGCGCCAAATGACGACGAAAAGCGTAATTAAAATTCACTGGAAGGCACCGGACTTCAGTAACCCGTTCACTGGTATTTTTAATGAAAATACAAAGAAAAATCTACAAACCTGTAGGAGGCGAGATGCTTTATGTGTTGGAAGCAGCGTCCTCTCTTCGAGGAGCACCTGACGCATCAATCCGGAGAACGCCACCCTCGCTGGGCGCCACAAGATTCCTCGAGCCCGAATTTTGCCGGAATCTGGAAAAACAATAGGTTTATCCTTCTCCATTAATGCATGAAGATTATATATCAGTAATGTGATGAAAACCTTTCGAGTTGTAAGTTAGGATTTTTGTTAGATATGGGTGAAGAATTTAAACACACGTGAATGTTAGGTGCTGTTTTATCAAATGTGCCAAGATTAAGCTCGAAATAGCGAAAATGGAACCAAATTCTCGAGATATCCCCCCTATTTTCTGGCTGGGTGCAGGTAATTGGCCTACCAAGTTCCGGTCTTTTGTCGTCTGAAAGGGTTCCCGTTTGTCAATTGCTTGAATTCGAAAAAGAATACCTACCTGAGCGAACGGGTGCGAAAATTATATTGGGTGTTCCTGAGGCCCGGGCGCGACGAAATTTGAACTCGTCGTGGGTGCACCGGATTTGGTCTGCCTGAAAATGGGCGATTTGCGAAACCGGAAAGTCAGGAATCATAAAAGAGCCTCGGAAATTTACATTCCGGTGCAAATTCGGAGCGGCCATGAATTTTTTAGTAGCCTAGAAACAGCTCGGCGGAGGGGGGGGGGCGCAATCCGAAAAAGGACATTTTTCGAAAGCTAGCGACCAAAAGCCTTGAGTGAAAAAATTTTTTGAAAACGGAGAAAACACGAGGGGAGGGGGTGTTGTCCGGCGTTGTCCCGCTTCCGAACATGACCCGAATCGGGAATGGCGCACTTTTCTAGGGTGGGTGCGCATGTTCCTTTTTTCGTTTTTCCTAGAGGGGCAGGCAGGAGGAGGAAAGAATTGTGGGTAAGTGGCAAACAGGGAGTGTAAACAAGGAGTGGACCCTCGGACGAGATCCGTCATGTTGAAATCTCGGGAGGAGCTCGAAGAAGTCTTCTGGGGTCCAAAAACATTTTGCGCATATGAGGCTAGGGTCCAAGGAGGGTCAGCGGGGTTCAAACCGAGCAAAAATCGGTTACGACCAAAATTGGTCGGCATACGCGGTGTGAGGGGCCTTTTCAGTGCCTGGGAACTGAAAAAAAGGGCGATAAGGATTAGAGGGGGGAAAAGCCGACAGGCCGAAAAGCCGATGACGAGCCGAGAGTGAGACTGAAATGGCCAAAGCAGGGGAAAGTTTTTCGGGGTTTTGATAAGGAACGGCCGGGGCGGTAAGGGATGGACGCCCACGGTCTCTACAATCATCGTTTTACGGTAAAAACGGGGGAGAGGGGCTACAAAAAGTGACGTGGGGACGATCATTAAATTAGATGTGGGGGATGGGGCTGGACAGGAAAAAGTAACGACTGAGGACACATGTTTTTTAACTAGAAGAACAAGGTTCAAAGTATCTTTATGTTATCTTAAGATGGATTGAATTTTAGAGCTCAAAATCTCAAGAATTAGAAACAAAGGTGAGGTAATAGGAACAATTACGCATGTTTTTTAATTAGAATAAAAGGTCCAAAGTATCCTCAAGTAATCTAAGTATGAATTTACCTTTACAAATCTTAGATCTTGAGCAAAACGTCAATAACTAGAAAATAAGGGGAGTATCTAACCTTCATAAAGCCTCTTCTTAACAACGGTATCAATCTAACACCTTCAAAAAACGCACAACAACCCGAAAAATTCATTGATCGCCCCCATCGCCTCCCTGATTAGACACGCATCGTTAAAACCAAATAATTCCGGCCCTAGCCCTCGGATACTAACCATCAGAGGAAACCCCCGCCATCACCTGATAACTATAAGAAACCCGGGCAAAGGCGGGCCAATGGCTGCCCCGGGTGATAAAATTCCAAATTTTGGCGAGTCTAAATACTTTGGTTGCGCTGATTCACCCGGGAATCCCATAAAATATAGGCGAGATAAGGGGGGCTTGCAAAGGAAAAGGTGAGTTAGGGCGGGGGGAAAGGCATAGAAAAAGGTTGGGTCAGCTGGTCGCATCGAATTAGTATAAAGGATTCTAATCTTAAATCCTGCGTGAGTGCGTTGAGTCATTCAAGGCCGGGGTATCCCCCCAAAATGTCTGGAAACTATTGTTTGTTTCTCCATAGTCCACGACCAAAAAGGTCAAGAGAGGTACGAATGGTGATGATGGAAATCGCAGGAAGACCTTGAAACCCCAATGACAACACATTTCAAGGGCTAAAACTTTTCTGGCGGATGGCCGATAGTTAACAACCCGTTAAGACGTCAATGCAGCCCGGGGAGAACCCCCCTAAAAATAGGGGAAAAGTGCTTTTTGCCGAAAAATGAGGGATGAGTGATGGAGGGGGACAGGAAACGGCTGTGCCCTTGGAATGCATGCGGTTGGTGCCACGATGAATTTGTTAGGTTAATGTCGGGCAAGAAAAACCTAGACATCTGTTTTTTGATGGATTCAGATTTTGGTTGGCAATGGAAATCGTGCTCAGAAATCTCCAAAAATGCGAGTCACAAGTCATGATTTGGGATGAATCAGCATACGATAAAGGGAAAGGTATGAAATAAGCGTCTTTGAACGGGGAGAGACGGATGAAAAACTCTTGCGGAGACTTTTAGAAAGGGCTCAAAAACGGAATTGGACAGAAATACAATTTTAGAATATTTTCGGAGGTCATAAAAATTCAAAAGCGAGCGGAGCACGAGCTCTTCTTTTCAAGCTAATTTAACAATCTTAAATATCTGACCTCACCCCCCCCAACAACAGCTGCCCGACCCCCGGAAGCAGCTCAGGTTCCAGAAGCTTGATTGCGAAACGCGTGAGTACGTATGAGAAAGGAGAAGCCCTCTAGGAATAGCTGAACAGTTGTTTTTTGCGTGAGCACGCCGACGTCGAAATATGACGACGCCGGGGAGCAGGAGCCGGGGAGGCGGAAAAAGGGCTCGGGCTCATATGGTGTCAGGAGTTTTGTTTTACAGCATGGTCAGCATGTGGGGATTTGGAACGGATCGAGATTTGGAGCGGATCGGAATGGAAGGGATCAATATTTTTTTATTTTTCTAGGATTTTGGGGAGCAAGGGAAGTTCATAGGCATAGTAAATGGTGTAAAATAGAATCCGTTATTCCAAAGTTCAAGAAAAATTATCGAAATAATAGAAAAAACCTCCACCTAACATCCGGGCCAACCGGAAAGCTGTTTGTGGTCTGGGGCTCCCCAATGATCGATCCGAGTTTTGCTCCTGAGCCGAACCAGAGCCCCTGGGAGAGCCCGGAGTCGGTGGTGTCCCTCTTGCCGACCATGTATCTCTCTCTCAACCGCCACAATTCCATCACCAACACTCTTGCGGTTGCTGCCCATTCTCGAACACACGCGCGCACACACCGCGGCTCACGCCCAAATAATCACTCTCCCCCTCTCGCTCACAAACAGTGCTCCTCGCGAAACCGCGAAAAAAGTGATCGATCTGACCGGCATTCACGGCACTTTGCCCGGTCCCGTTTATGGTGCGCTGGAATTGGACATTGGCAAGGGGGGGAGGTTTTTGAGCTCCATCGCTCATGCTCACTCTCGTGCTGAATATAATTCACGCTCTGTTCCTCTTTCGTTCGCACTGTTGCTTGATAAACTGCTGTTTGTGATCTCTCTCGCTCTCTCTCTGTCTCACTCTCTCTCTCTCTCTCTTTCTATCCCTTCACGTCACTCTTTCATTAATGCGGAATGCTCTCAATCTCGTGATTTGCATATTTGAAACGCCGTCCGTTTGCAGAGTTTTCAGTTACTGTGAAAACGCCTAAATCAAATCCATTTTATTCATGTCTATAGAACAAATATTATGAAATTTCATAAAGCTCAACGGCTAGCGCCCGGAAAGGCACCAGCACCGGCCAGCCATCAAAAATCAAATTTTCAAACCCAACCGGTGCCGGCCCCACATTGAAAACCAGATCCATACAAATACAAAGTCTTTTTGGTTCTACCCGAACTGTGCAGCAGGAAAAAATGGGCGAATAAATACTGATACGCTATGGTAATGAGGGGGGCAGGAAATCGGAAATGGCGGGCTGATCACCCCCAGTTCCCTTGGTCGAAATATAGACACTAAAAGGATACCCGTATTGAATAGTGGACAGATGACTAAACTTTGGTGATTTTGGAAACACCAAATTACTCAAAAATACAAATCACAATGTGTAGATCGATGGTGTACAAAAGAAATTGGTTGCGAGCGCGTACTTCGTGAATTGAACTTTGGCGTTGAGAGATGGGGAAAAAGAGATAAATTCAGAGTTTTGCGTTACAAAATTATCCGTGGGGCTAATGAGTCGAAGTCAGGGTATGAGGAAACGTCGGAGGAGTAGCTGAAAATAAGGATTTTTAACTGTATATTTTAGGGACTTAATCTGGTTACGTACTTCCTCTATTGTTTTTCCCCCCCCCAAAACCCAGATACCTAGTCATAACGATAAAATTCCGTTTTCCCGGCCCCTTCAAACCAATATATTTATCGTTTTTGAGCAATTCACAAAATCCCGAAAGCATAGCGGAATTCTGTATCTACAAGCGCTTCATTTTGAATCATAGCACCAATCCTAGCCTTATAACTCCGTTAAGAAAATTGTGATATTTGCCATTTTTAAGAAATCCTTACCCCGAAACATGACCCAAAGGCCCTAACAACGCTTCTCGACTCCGCAATGGTCTCCTCCGAGGCACAGATCTTGTTCTCGGAAACCGTCGCCCAGGCCGCCCCGGCGCAAGTGAACTCAACACCAAGGCAGGCAGGGGTACGGTAGTCGGCATAGATGAAGGCATCATTTCCACCCTCGTCTCGACCGCTTGAGCTACTCGTGCTGGGGATGGGGGCGAAGGTCGTAACAAGGGTACGGTGGGTGTATCCCGGTCTGAGCTGAAAAAGTTTGAGGTTTTTGGGCTGAATCTGAGGAATCCTACCTTGCTTTGGTATCGTCATTTTGCGGATACTCCTTGTAGACGACGTCGTATTGGCAGAGAGGGCAGCGTCTAAAAAGGAATATAGAAGGGTATCGATTTAAGTTTAGGCTTAAGCTTAGGCTTAGGCTTTGTAGCCACTTATCCTTACCGATGAGCCAACAACCAAGGATCCACGCATTTCGGATGGAACTCATGGCCACAGAATAACACCCTCAACTCGCTTCCCTCCGAGTACTCGTCCAAACAAATTGCGCACCGCTCCTAAAATGATTTTAAGTAACGTTTCCATGGTTCACACTTACCTCTCCGGCTACAGTATGCGCTACCGAAGTCAAAGATCCAAAAACAGGTAAATAATTTGGTCTTGACAGTTTCGGGAATCGATTTGGATGTGATTTTCGGTGGCTAGCGCTCTGAACTTGCATATAATAAATGTAAGCCGGCAATTACCTTTGAATATTTTCGAACTTCCATCTTATGCAACGCATTTCTGGCCATGGCTCGCATCCAGATGTCACGATGCGCATTTGGTTTGCAGCTAAAATTAAGAACATGTATTTTTTTAGAACTTTGGAACCTACCGAATCTTCACAAAAACCAGCACTGAGATAAAGAGCACAAGGAGCACCAACAACCCGAGGAGGCACAGGTTCAGCGGAGTTGCGCGAAATACCTAAAAACAAATTTAAATTAAAAATTTCAGCTTTAAAGCTACCTGAATTCTCAAGGTATGAACCGGTCTTGGAGTCTCCACGTAGTGAAGGGTGATTTTCGTGACCATTCCCTCTTTTTGGGCTTCATTAAGCTCATGTTGGAGTCTCTTGGTTTCGGCATCATCGAGCACGACCACCGGGATGCGGGCGGTTTTTGGCTAAAATTCTAGATCAATTTAAGTCGGTTTTAAACTACCGTAATCGATTTGATGCCGGCGGCTCGGGATGATGGGCCGACGATCAACGCGACTGCTCCGGAGTTTTCTGCGAAGCGCGCCTGAAAAAGGGTTTTTTGGATCTTCTAGTAATTGTATTACATGATAGATTATCTTAATTTATTTCTACACCCCTACTAGCACTTTTCACCCCTTCTCCACTTCCCCCAAGTAGCAGCCAGGCTTTGGCTGGTGGGGGGCAATTCACCCCCCAGCCGAGTGTCCGCCTCGATCGAGCGGCTGTAGGTCGTTCACATAACTCTTATTTTATGCGATCGCCGAGGAGGCACAAGGCCTTCCATTGCACTTAGCCTCCTCTCTCCTCAACGGCCACCAACCAACCCCAGCGTCGATAGGCGCCCTTTGGAAAGAAGTGAGGTTTGGAAGTTCGGTGACCGGAAGTTGGGTTTTGTCGCTGGGCTTACCTGATTGTCAACGGCTACGCAACCGGCCAGGAAGGGCTCGATGTCATAGAAGAGGACCGCGACGTGACCTTTCAGGGTGTAGTCTGGGCCTTTCATTTTGTTGTCGCAGGCTCGGTAAGATGAGACCTGAAATAAGAATTTTTTTTTTGTACTGGGTTTTTGAATTATTCCCACTATTTTTAAGATACCCTTGACCAATCAAGCCCACGCTTCTCCTCGAGCAAGCCCATTTTGTTTCCCTAATTTCCAATGCTCGCGAAACCTCCCCCAGACAAGCGCACGCGCACCTGTCCCGTTCTTCCGTCTCGGCCGGGCGCCGTCGCGTCCAGCGCGCAGCCGTAAATAAGGCTCGTTGGACTGGCGGGGAGGGCCGCATGCTTTGAAGTCGCACCCGCGGCTTTTACGAGCATCCCCCCTCCTCGCTCCGGTCGCGCGCACCTTTCATCCGGCCATTTCGGCCCGGCCCGTTGAACGACCCCATCGTCAAACCCGGACCGGCGGCTACCGAAAAACAGAGACAATAACCCCCTTAAAGATGGCCCTGCTAATCTTAATCCTTCAGGCCAGGCCAAGGTTTTATGGTCCTGCCAATTTTCCATCTACCGTAACCCCCATCAATCCTGTATTGCCTTCCGGAACCTTGGAAAAACACAGAACCATTTTTCGTGTATATAACACAAGACGATGAATCTTACGCCTCGCCCGAAATTGCATTCCACCACCCCCGGTATTGGTATTGGTATTGGGTGGGGGTGATTGAGTAATAAAGCACGAGAGCCTGGGGGCCCCCAGCTGAAAGCAGCCACCATGTATCACTGGAACGGAAATTGGGGCATTTCCTTTTGTGGAAGAGGGGGTGTGGGGGCCAGCCAAGGAATTCCCACGATTATCCGGTGCTCGCTGGGGTGGGTAGGAGGTACTTTAAGTGGTTGAGAGGGTGGAGGTTGAAGTTGGGGAGGACGAGGAAGTTGAGGTGGGAGCGCTACGTAAAATAGAAACTAAGTTTAACCGAAGCCTAAGTCTGGGCCTAAACCTAACCCTAGCCTAAACCTAAGCCATGCACAAGCCTAAGCCCGAGCCCATACCTACACCTAAGCCTACACCTAAGCCTACGCCTAAGCCTGACTCTAGGCCTAAGAATAACGTGCTCCATTTAGGAATGTCATTATTTTGATGGAAAAACTCGATAAACTATAAAATACAACCCCTACCCTCCCATACCTTCAAAAAAGCTTCACCACTCCTCCCTGACCCCAACGAACAGTAGGCTTTGCCGACAACAGGTGTGTTTCTTCTCGCATCTCACCCTACCCTTCCCACTGTTTGCCAACAGATTTGCATCGCCCTCAGGGGGCCACACACCCCCCAACACCACACCACATATACCCGGATGACACCCCGGGCTGTAAACTTCAAAAGGGCCGAGCCGAGAATCCGCTGATGGATTGCCGACCCCTTATTCTCAGCCCCCCTCTCCCAAACCCTCATAAAAAAGATCCCGCATTCAATATTTTTGGGCGCTGGGGCCAGAGAAGGATGGCCCACGGCGTTGCAACACGCATAGTCAGGATTCTGGATTTCCGGGTGGAGATAAATCAAAAGGCGGCAGGAATAGGGAAAAGGCAAGCGAGCTAAGGCGTCAAGTTTTCGATGCTGTAGAGCTGGGAAAGGTTGAGATGCAAATTAGGGTTATGGACATCAGCAGTTTCACATGGTCGATGTTGCAAAAAATAGAAATTTACATGACATTTTATGGAAATGACTTATTTCAGGATTTTTAAAGCTATAAATATCTTTTAATGGTGCCGTTAGTTATAAAAATTCAACCACAAATTGATGCAAATTTTACCCTCTAGCGCAGCCAACCAGTTCAAAAATCTGCATATCCTGCATGAACTCCCCAGTCTTTGAAGCTCTAAACCCTTTTAGTAAGCTGTTTATAACCTCATACTACCCCAGACTTCACTCCAGATGTTCCAAAGCTCCAAATAAAAACTCCTTGCACCTCGCCCTCTCTAGTTGACCCCCCAGCTGGCCGGGACAACACACAGAACAAGCTCGTAAAAACTACTCGTTTCCCGATTGGGGTTGTGGCATCGTGCCGGGGAAGGCCACAACCCCCCTGCATCCGATGTTGATTTTGTTTTGTTGTGTTTGGGGGGAGTAGGAGAATCTAGCCGGGGGTGGTCCGTGTCTTTTCCGGAAAGGAGAGGGTCGGGGTTTGGGCGGTGGCAGGGCACAGGCCTTTCGTTGGTGCCTAATTCGATTCGGTCTCCATTCAGGGCTGTGTGGTGGGGCTCGGTTTTGGGCCCTCCACCCAAATACCGGAAAACGATCAGGGAGGAGGTTAAGGTTGGGTGGGGTAGAGGAAGTGGGGGGCTAGGGTTGATGTGATTACCTTTAAGGATTTTAGGTGGGGGGAGGGGTTGGAAGGTTCTCGTTGAAAGGGGACACCTAGAGGTTAGTGAAGGTCGGATCGAGTTGGTTTTTGGGGTAAGCCGGTCCAGATGTTTTGGGCTCACACCTTGGGGGTGTCACCTAATACCCTGGGGCGTTTTTAGGGGGCCATGTGCAAATTGGTGTATACGGAAAGTGGTATGGTATCTGGCAATACGCAAAATATGGTGATATGTACTCAAGTAAAAAAAAACTAAAAAAGGATTTTTGGCATTCCTTATGAATACTTTATGACGCCCAAAATACCTGAAAGATACACTTAAAAATCCAAAATTGGTAGATCTAGACTTTTTGCAGATAAAAACCTCCACATACCTTTAAAACCCCGTAACTATAAATAAAAGAATTCACCGATTTCCGCTTCACACCCAAATTCCCCCCTGCCGGCCCTCCTGCCACACGACGAGGTCACAAATTTTTGCGCGCGCCAACACCCTTTAGAAAAGGGGCTGTTGGAAGGGGGCCCTGGGGAGCCATCTCTTCCAAGCCAAGGAGGGCGGCCAACGAGAAGGGCCCAAGAAGGGGCCAAAGAAGGGCCCACACCCTGCTCACACACACGCACCCTTATATCATTTGTTCCCCGCCACGCACCTAACAATTTTTCTCGGTTGGCCCCCGGCTCGAGGGTGGTGGTGGTGGTGGAGGTCAATCTGAGGGTGGGGAGAAGCTAGGGGGATGTATTGGTTTTGGTGAAAAATTGGGGAAAATATCTTAAGGTGTCCTCAACGTAATAAAATTTTTTCCCTTCCTCCCCAGCCTTCCTTGTCCCTGTAAAACCCAACCCGAACAACCTGGGTGGCCCTCCCCTAATGAATGGTGAGCCGGTTTCCTCAACCCTTCCCCCTACCACATCCGCAAAAAAGGGCAGCCTGGAACAGGTGTCCGCATTAGCCGCTCCCACCACCTCTTCCGGTCCCCAATTTAAAAAAAATAATTATCCAGCCCCGACCCACCTGGACGACATCACCGCTTGTCTCATAGTTGAAGCCGACCGGGGAAAAATCGCCGAACAACCGCTGATCCGGCAATATCCGCTTGTTGGACAGCATCAACCCTTGCGAAAATCGGGGTTGAGCATGCGAAAGCACCAGGTCGACTTTTTCGATGGCATGGCCTCGTACAGGTCTGAAAAAGTATTCGAATCAAAACATCAAAGCCTTGGTTCCTTCGTTCCCAGATATTTATAACCAGCTGCAAGCCACCCCTCGGCAAACCCTTGATAAAAACCCCCCGGTTAGCCAGATGGCCTCCAATTAGTAAAATGTTTCGCCCGGGACGCCCAACAAAAAACGGCATAAATCAGTGGCGGAGGGCGGCGCGCCCGCGGGCGCAATTGGGAACCACTTTTTAGGGGTAGTCGAAGGGTGGGTGCCATATTCAAATCGTGGGTTCGAGGGGGGTATAACTTACGACTTTTCGCCTCGGGAAGACCTGGGCAATGTGGCGGCAGTGGTTAGGGGGAGGATGATGGAGGCCGCGAGGAGCCACTTCCAATGCCTTAAGATCGCCATCTCCGCATCTGGAATGTATTTATGGGAGTTGGGTTTTCGGAGATATTGGAAAGAAGGTCAAGACAAAAGTATAAAACTGGCTTGAGAAGTAAGCTGAGCTTCTGAAGGTGTTTAAATTTGCATATGTGGATGTTGTAAGAAAATTAGGTTTAGAAGACCAGACCTAGGAATTTAAATTTTGAGCGTTAAGTATTAAATAAGTGGAAGCCCATGAAAGAGAAATATGAAGGAAATTGGCTTAAGAAAAAGTTGAACTTTGGAAAGTGGTCAAATTTGCATATGGACTTCTTGTACGCACATTCGTTCTGGGAAACTGAAGTAAATCAAAAATACGCGGTTGGCAGGGGAAGAATATGAAGAGAAAGATGTATGAAATGTTTCGGAAAAATAGTTCAGCTAGGACGCATATATGCAAATTAGGTTCCGATAAACACTAATTGGTCAAGTAAAACTCTAAATGTTGCACTAGTTCGGAAAGCCCTATGCAGAAAATGCCAACAGGCGTTCCCTGGAACCTTATTCACCCTTGCGCCCCGCGTCGCAACAAATATCATCCCTTTGCATGCCATGCAAATCCCAAAAACCGACCCCAAAAAAGAAATCGGGGCCCGCGGCTCTGTTGTGTGTGTTTGTGTATTGCGGAAGAATGGTGGACGGGGTGAGATGAGTAAGGATGTTGGATGGGGGAAGAAAAGGGGGGCTAGGGGGTAAAGGGGTACAGCGTCGAGCTGAAGAAGGCCCCGCCCAGCCAATAAAATGGCCGTCAGTCGCCCACGGCGAAACCTGGGACGGATGACTATCTTTACCGAAAATGGGTCCCAGGGAGAGGAGAACGAGCTATTAGAATTTGGGGGATGGTCGAGTACCAAATTTGGCGTTTGGAGAGATTTTTGGGGTAGATATGGTGGGTTTTGGGTACGGTATGGATTTGGGGGTGGTTGGGGGTATGGTTTTGGGGGAGGGTATGACAATGTCGAAACTGGGAGTAATGTTTTGAAATTAAGAAATAGTTAAAATTTTAGAAGACAAAATTTAAGAATAAAAACAGTGGTAGGGTAGAAAATTTAATGCTTAGTAACCAAAAACTAAAAAAAATGTGTTTTTTTCATTCAGAGATACAGAAAGATAACCTTCGAAAACACGATCTACCTCCCCAGTTTCGAGAATAAATTAAACACCCAAAATTCCCCCACATGCAAATTCGATTACGCAACGCACTATCCCCGAATTGCGATCCCGCACCCTGTTTATATTTGCGTAAACCATGGCCCGCCACCTCCCGGCCCCGATTTTCTCGCACCCCTTGAGATTTCAAGGAGCACCCCCCTGTGCCGGAATATTGACCGCTTAACAGCTAATGCCTCTATTGATCTGATGACAGGCGATAAGCCATCCGGGCCGGTCGTATAAGAATAAAATGCTCGGGGCAATGGCCATTAAAAGTGGGAGGGAAGGGGCGGAAAGCAAAGAATCTAGGTCGAGGAAAACTTCAAGAATATTTTTATAGGTATTAGAAAATCAAGAAAAGTTGTTATAATACAAATATTTACTTCAAAAATGGTGCGCAGAGAGTAGTGGGGTGTTTTTGGAGGGGCCCCGGGGGCAGCTGCTAGGGGATAGCTGGGGGAGGAATGCCCGGAGGGAGGATATTCACTTTGGAGTGTCGGGGCGGGCACCATTTGTCAAAACGTTTCTCCCACCCACACACACCCCGCGTTAGACATCGGCTTTTGCCCCAATCTGGCGGGATATGGTGCGAAATTGGAAATTGGGAGAGGAGTTAACGGGATCAGAAAAGAAAGGTTGTATAAGTTAAATAATTAAATGCATGAAATCGGCGTATTCAATTTCAGATCCCGAATCGCATGCCTTAAAAGGCAATTATGAAAATTTAGAATTTTGGGGCATAAAAAACATTTTTCTTCCATGAAAATCAAAGTGCAAATTTATCCTATAATTTTTAAGGATAGAAAATTAGATATTTCGGAAGAACAATGCAAAATCACGAACAAGGAAAAGTTTAAAGGGACCGTGAAGTCAAATTCAAGGTCTGCAAGGCTGTTGCTAGTCTAGATCAGGTTAATTTTTGCAAAAATTGTTAATAGATATTGTAGCGAGTCTATGAAAAGCATTGAAAAATTCTAGGCAGCTTTAACAAAAAGAAAATAAATAAAAAATTTCAAATGCATACTCAAATAAACACCTACCAAATTCTCACAAGAATACAAAAAATCGTAGACAACCAGCAGCAATATTGTCAAGGGTCCTCCAGATACCTCCGAATGAGCCAGATTATGGGCCCTATGATCCAACGCCCCCTAAGAAATATGAATGGCACCATCTATCATCCGCCCCCTGTCTCTCGATACCAAAAGACGGTACCGCCCGGCGCCCCAGGCGACAAGTGTCTGAGCTGCGTGATTTCGGGCCCATCCCTCTGCCGAGATGGCAGATATCAACCCACGCCCTGAGAGATGTCACCCCCATCTACTTTCGTGCATGATATACCTCCATACACCACCCTTTATTCTCCGCCGATGCGCATATTTGATGGCAGATCGCTTCCCAGGGTGTGGCACCTTTCTGGGTTGCCACGCGTAGCGGATGGGCTTTGGGGTGTGAAATGGTGGGGGTAGGATATGGTTAACAGCCATAGAAACTGGAAACTTTAAGGACAAGGCTTACTTGCCTTAAAAAGGACATTATGATCCGCAAAGGTATAGGAGCCAAGAAAATAGCACTGTAGATTTAAAAATAAATGCAAACCTAGATCGATAAATAACCTAAGCCTAAGTCTAAACCTATAACTAAGCCTAAACCTAAGCCTAAGCCTTTGCCTAAGCCTAAGCCTAAGCCTAAGACAAAGCCGAAGCCTAAGCACAACAAACCAAAAAACGTTGCAATCCTGCAAAATAAACCCCCGTTCCGCACTCCACTTCCATCCCTTCAACACCTTCCCACGATTCTTCGCCCAAAGTCACATACGAAATCCGATCCCGAAGCGTAAATCTGCCCCCTCAAAGCGCATCATCCCTCCGAGATTCTAAGATATGAAACTCGGCATGAGATGAAAATTTCAGGCAACGATAGTACAGGCCCCAAAATAAAGGTCAGACTCAACAGACCCAAAAAACAATACAGAAAATGGCGACACCGAATTGGCCCAATTGGTAGGCCGGGGGGCCCCCCGAATTCACAAGGGGGCCCACGTTTGGCCGGATCTAAAGGGTCGACCTCGTCCAAAAATGCTAATGGCTTCGCGGGGCAGAGGCTTTTCCACCGCCTTTTCCGCTCATTCCTCCATTGTCCCCCAATTTTCGCAAATGGGCTCTTGTCGGCGAATTTGCGGCGGCGGGGCCTGCGGAGGTGGGTGGGGGTAAAAACAAAATTTATAGCCGTTTTGTTGGATTCGGGGTGGCTGGGATTTGGCAGGAAGAAAAATATAAGTGTGGAGGGGGTCTTGGTGGCGTTCGGGAGTGGGTTTTAAATTTGGATGGGTTTGGAGGGATGGTCAAAGTTACAGTACCCTTAAAGAGAAGCTCAAGAAAAGCACAAGCTAAGAAAATACGCATTAATAGGTCCAAGAACCGCAAGAAATATTCTAAGGAGCACTAGAAAACCCAAGCAAAGAGTTGGTTAGTAGAGCGGCTGACTAGAGGAGCCCTCCTCTGATCGGGTAGGGTGGGCGGAGACGGTGTGTGTGTCTCTGTCTCCCTGTCTTTCTGTGGATGGGTCGGGGGTCGGCCTCGGATTTTACGAGGCAATCAAATGGGAATCCACCATCTGGAAGGAGAAGGCCACCCTGCCCGGCACCCCCGATCTCCACCCCTTTACTCCCCTTTAGAAACGAACGGACGAACGCTCGGAACCCCCGGAAAACTCATAACGGTGAATGCTGGAGGGAGGTTAAGGGAGGTAGTGGGGACTAGAATTTTAGGGGTACTTTAAAGGTCTTGGGATAGTAAATAGTAAAGGAAAAAGATAGGGATAGTAAAGGTATAGAAATGGTTTTGAGGGTTTAAAGGCGCCCGGACATGGCAGAAAAGCCGAATCGAATGAACTGGCGAGTGAAGCCTATGGTTTCAAAGTCCATATCGAACGCCTAAAAAACTGCTCTAACATCCCTCTGAAAGTTACTTCTGTCTTTGAAAACTGAGCCTCAATAAAGTATCGGGTTTCTTTAGCAGACAACAAATATTCGTTTTCCGGAAGTATCAGTTTTTGGAACGTTGAGGAAACACAAGAAAACGGCTCGGCAAAAACCGACTTTCGAAAATAATTCAATTTCGACAAACCAACGACAATTTCCGCACCCATCTGTTGATTCTCAAAAACGTTCTCCCACTTCAGTTCAAACCTCGTACTCCCCGATACTCCCCCGGCGAGCCCCAAAATTGAGCCGTCCCCATAACGCGGGCCAGGTGTTCCACATTTATGGGGTTCCGCTGGCCCGGCTCCGGCGTTCAAAACGGCGCATTGTTGGGATGAGGGTTCAATAGGGAATGGTATTTTTTAGAAATTTATGGGGTTGCGCGTATATGGAGTAAATGGTAAGTGAGGTGCAGCAAAAAGCAAGTTCAAGGGAGTGCCAGATGTTTGGTGGGGTTTTTTTGTGGAGAGCGAGAAAGAGAGAGAGAGTGAGAAAGAGAGAGTGAGAGAGAGAGAGAGCAGAGGGTGAGAGAGAAGAGAACCAACGATTTTAGTGGGCGAAAGGTTCAAAATGTGAAGAAAAAACGGTCAAGAACATGTAGCAGAAATACAGAAAAGAAGATTTTTGGGTGTTCTCGCATTACAGGATTAATGGTACAATAATTTACGACCCGAAATTAATAAAAATGTCTCAAAATCCGTCAACACCAGATCTCGGACCTTGGCAACCCATACTACAGAATATTCAACACCCACATATCAACCACCACCCCCGTAGAAGCGTGTGGCGCCCCCCTAGAAATTGGCGGCCTGGCTTCGCCGAGGGCAACCCTAGGTGCTCACCCAGCAAATTTACGACTGTCTCGTCGCCCATTTTTCAGCATCATGCCTGCCGGAGACCCCCCTTGGTCGACCGGCCCCCCGAATGCACTAATGCGATTATGCAGATTCACTGGGGTACAAATGCCCGCTTACAAGTAAATGGAAACCGGTCTGTTTTTACAAAGAAAAAATAATTTATCTGCGTCAATTCAAAAAAATACAGATTTCGAGCTGGTAGAAATTTTTTCGGGGAAATGTCGACTCTTCTTCAAACTCCGGAAGTCGCTCTTTATATGCAAATTTCGCGCTCGTAAGATACTATTGGCAAAAATTCACAACAAAACTGGCCAACTTTTTCACAAGTCCCAGAATGAGTCCGAGTCTGCCGGAAAAATATGCAAGTTTAATTCATTAAAAACCCAAATGGCGACCAGGTAAGAAACCATTTGACCAAATACGTAACAAACTTTCTTAAAAACGGCCTTTCGATAAAGCCCCCCTTCACCAAACCATTTTACAACCCGATAAGCCTACGCGGAAAAAAACGGCCAAAAATCAACACAAAAGTCAGCCAACGAATTCAAATTTCAGAGTGAAAATCAATAAAAACCGGCAAAACGTTCCATTGACAGCCCTCGCCATTACCTGGCCGCCCCAAATAACGCTATAATTGTCCGGGTGGAGCATGTAAAAAAGCGATTAGAAAGAAGCGGAATGGCCATAAAAAAGCGGCGGCCGATGGGCGGAGAGGGGGACTCGGCTCTTTGAAGCCGGCACTATCAGAGCTGGTAGATAGCAAAACATCAAAGGTAGATGCCGCGCCCACCAACACCGGAATCAGCCTGTACACGGCCAAGGAATTGATTCCTTCAGAAGCACGAGAGTTGCCGCCTGGGAAAGTGGGGGGACTGGCGACTGGGGGTCTAGTGGGGGGCTTTTGTTACCAGTTTTGTGGCAAAAAATGAGACCGTATCTCATGGTCTGTCGGGGTCAGGGCTTTAAGATTGTTTTCCGGAACTAGAAAAACGCTACGGCAGAAAGCTGGACGTAAGTTCTCGAAAAAAGATTCTGAGAAATGTAAGAGCAAACAGCAAGGTAAGAAGAAGCTGACGCGCAGCCATTGAATGACAATTCGATGCCGCAGCCGAAGCCAAAGCCAGAGCCTAAACCTAAGCCTAAGCCTAAGGATAGGCACAAGCCAAGCCTAAGCCTAAGCCTAAATCTAAGCCTAAGCCTAAGCCTCAACCCAAGCCTTAGCTTCAGCATTGCTTTCGAACCCTTGCAAAAACCCTAATACAACCCAAACCAACGCAAAAGTATCCCCTTATCCAAAAAACACTAGCCACTCCCAAAAACTCTCCCTGGACATCGGCACCTTGCCAGTCACAAAGGTATTTTTCTCCTCCCCGCCCTCACTTCCCCTGAAAGAGCCGACTTCTTGGCCACATCGGGGCCCCATTAGGTCCCCGTGATTTACGGTGTGGCTAGGCCCCCGGGCCGACAAGGCTAATTTTGCGGCTTTATCCAACACGCCCGTGCCGCTGGGATCTGATAAAGGGGCCGCCAATCAGGGTCGGAAAAACTGGCAGTTGCTATTGGAGGTGTGGATAGCTTACAAGGGTCCTGTAGGGTTTCGGGGAGCAGAACGGCTTCCTGATGACTTCCGGGAAATGCGTGAAAATCGAAAGTATCTAGATAGCCTTGTGGATTGGGGAGGAAGGTGGGAACTGGCTTTTTCAGGCGGATGTAGCGTTATGCTTATCAAGCGATAGGTGGTGCGGAGATAGGGAGGCTAATTTGTTGGATATCATCGGGAAAGCTATACGAAAAATGTATTCGGTACGAGACAGCAACATCTAAATTTTTCCTCTAGAATCTGAAACCTGTATATAACGCTGCAAATGATCAAAAATCAGGACAAATTTCAGTTAAAATTTTGCTTAGTAATATCGGGAACCACGGACCCGACACCCATCTGGCCCACTGTCAGTACAGAAGGGAAATCTTATTCACAACTTTTTGCTCAAATCGGAATGCGCAAGCCTAAGCCTAAGCCTAAGCCTAAGCCTAAGCCTAAGCCTAAGCCTAAGCCTAAGCCTAAGCCTAAGCCTAAGCCTAAGCCTAAGCCTAAGCCTAAGCCTAAGCCTAAGCCTAAGCCTAAGCCTAAGCCTAAGCCTAAGCCTAAGCCTAAGCCTATCGATTTGGTCGATTTCCATGGTCGACCTCTCCATGTTCGAAAAATTTAAGGCAAAAATTCAAATTTTTTTTTAGCATTCCCGCCTCTCTCGCTTTCTAAAAATTATTCGGAAGGGTTTTACAATGCGGTTTTGCATGGAGATAAAAAACATAAAAGGTGGCTCGATTTCAGCGAGTGCGCACAAAACAGTCTTGAAAGCCCAATCCTACACTAATCAGACCGTCTGTCACTCTAATCCCATTAAAATAACATTACAAAATCCAGCGCCAAATTTCTGACGCCCGGGGTGTCGCGTAGCGCTCGTTCCGGGGGTGTGGAGTGTTTCTGTTCGTCGCACAAGCGGGGGTCCCCCCGCCGGTGGGGATCTAAACTAAACATGTCAGGTCGGATCAGGCTCCCGCCGCCCCATCAAAGGCGCCGCCTCGGGAGGGGCCGGTGATAGGGGCGAAGCCTTTATTACCACCATTCCGCCCCATTCTCCATTCTCCGCGGGGTTGGAGTCTGAACAATTCTCTCTCACTCATTCTGTGTCTCCCTCTCACTCTTGCTGTCTCTCCCTCTTGCTCTCTCTCGCTCTCTCGCTCTCTCGCCACTTTCCCACCCTCCACTTCGGATCGCGTATAAACTTGCTGAATGATGGGCCCTCATACTCTTTAGGTGGGGGAGAGTGGAGGGTAAAAAGTGATTGAATGAGGCAACATTGGCGAGGAGGGGGAGGTTCGGTTTTTGCGGAGGGTGATACTCATCTTTCGGGAGTGATTTTGAGGGAGTGGCTGCTTTAAAGGGACATGGAAGGAAGGCAGGTCAATGGAATGCTGAAATTTTTCTATATCGTAATAAAATTTAATAGCAATATAACAATTTATTACCAATTCCGTAGAGCTACTAATGACAGTAATAACAACACAGACCCAATAAAACATTTCGATTCAGATAATTTTGTTGTGGTAACAGGAGGTACGACGGTCGAACCCATCGTTGCGGTAGCTGTACTCCCCGAACTCGTCGTGTGAGCAGCCTCAGAAGTCGGTAGACCGGTCGTACTTGATGTCTGCATCACGGAGCTCGAGCTAGTCGTCTCCACTTGAGTCGACAATCTGAATGTCGTTACTTATACTAAGCGCTACGCTACACTACTTTGCAATCAATCGCCCGTTGCCCGACAACGTTGAATTGTAGACGATCTCTGTGCCGTTCATCAAAATCTTCGTGAAAACCCCGTCCGTGCCGTTGTAGCTGAAACGGAAGTATTGAAATGACAGCTGCCTGGATACCGGCGGGTCTCATTCCCAAAATATAGCGTCCCGTCCCCAAGGTCTTGGAGCAGGGTGAATTCGATGACTTGGTTGTTGGGGAAGTCTTAAAAATACATAATGAAGTAGAGTTTTTAATTTCTGTAAAGGACGTACATAGTAAGCTGGAGCTGCATATCCCCCTTTGAACATTGTTTGATCGGTTATTTGGAAATAATCGGAAGACCCGATCAAAACGCTAGTATCGTCGGGGAGATGGATGTCTTGCTCTGAAATTTACATGAATTAAGGATTGCAGTTCTAAGCATACCAAAATCTAGCAAAAGCTGCTCGCCACTGCTAAAATTCGCTGGGATTTGAATCGTAAAAGGTGCAGCCATCCAACCAATATAGAAATTTAATGGTACCCCGGGAATCTAAATTTGCATGGAATCTTCGTTTGAGATGTGCATACGTTGGCACCAAATTAGCATTATCTAAAGAACAACCAGTATACAACGTTACTGCCGCTGTAGTTTTTATATGTGCAGTGATCTAAAAATAGAACGAAAATAAAAAAGGCCCTTACCTTGTGTACGTAAAGTACGCAACCCTCCACATTGCTCAGATTAAACGTATTAATCAACTGATCAGAAAACATGTAATTTATAGCTCCACCGCATTGATTACCATCTAAAATTTTATCAAAAAATTTGCATACTCTACCATTGTCAGTAAATTTATCACTAGCCACAAATTCATAAACGGGGCTTGGCTGAGGTTGCATAGTGGAAAGACGAATGGAAATCATTTTACTATTAGCAACCAAAAATTTTCTAAAATAAAAAATCATTCAAACGAGAAAAACTGACCCTTGACCAGGCGTTAATTTCGTTCCTGTCTCAAAATCGCCATCAAAAACTTCATAAAGCCCCGCGAATGGGTCAAAGATCACTAGTGCTAAGTATCTAAATTTGGTATCCAAAGCAGCTACCGAACCTACCCTTTACATGTCGTAATTTGATATTGCCAAAAGGCGTTCTCTTGCGGCATTGTAATGTGAACTATAGAACTATTGCAGATATCGAGGTATGTAGTTTGAGGCATAGCTAAACAAATTTTAATCTTAGTAAATTTTAAATTACTTTATTACCTGCTGTAACCCTAAAATCAAAGCCGGTATCTAGGTGATTCAGCGATGTGCTACCCTTGAAATGGACAGCGATTTCGGATCTATTATACAACCAGAGTTTCGGTTGTGTCCTAAAAATAAATTAAATTTGAATATAAGCAAACCAATAAATGCCACTCCAGAATACACCATTTAGGTACAGGATTGGTGTATTTTGATCAAGATCGTAGCGATAAAAATCTAGCAAAACCAGGTGAGCCGGATCGACAGTAAAATTCCACCAAGAATCAATTCCACTCAAAAATTTGCATGGCGAATCACATCTTGCACCTACCGACAGTACGAAAATGTTCTATTTACAGCACTGCAAGGTAGGTGAAATTCTAGAGAACCAGGAGAGGTTAGGTTATAGGCACCACCAGCGCTACACGAACAGTCTGAAAAATTATATTTTATGTGAACTAAATTCAAACCTAAAATATGCAAATTAGCATCCAATCCAATGCCGTTTTCAACGGCGTCTGAGTAAATTCCTATCGATGCCCCAGCTTGACCGACCGGCCAGACCCGAAAGCGGTGATCGGGATCCATTTGGGATATCTAAAATTGTTTTATAAATTTTATTTTAGCTGCTAAAAATCCACCGTTTTGTTCAGTACAGTAAGCACCATCATATCGATCCCTTTTTCCATTCTCAAGTCCACAATTTCGAGGACAGCTTGTGAATTTGCATCCAAGCCATCAAATGTCACCTCGCATTTCAGATTGCTAGCATAGTTCTAAAAATCACGCAATTGGCATACGCAGTTTGCATACCAAATAATTATCATAGCCATTTGTCGTAATCCGGAACTCCTCATTTGGATAACTCGTCCGGTTTAGGTCACAGCTATGAGGTAGCACTTTATAAAAATATAATTTTGAGATTAAGCTTCATTTACTTTCATATGGTTCTGCATACAGCACAAAATAGCTGGAATTGCTCAGTAGCTGTAGGCTAATATCGACGACAATTCGAAAATAGAAAACTTGCATTCCGGTCGTGTTACTAAATCACGAATTAATATAAATTAGAGTTAACAAATACCTATCAATTGAATAGGCATTAAAATCTAAGCCTGTCATGTTAATTTGATCATTGCCTTCCAGGTGGTAGTCCGATAGGATGGTTCTCATATGGCTAGTTTGAGTCACGAGTTTTATGCGACATTCCGCAAGTGGAGAAGAACCTAAAAAATGAAAAAAAATAGAGAAATTCGGTGTTAAGTGGATACCGGATGATAACAAATAATAAGGTGAAGTTTGGTTGGTAATATCAATGGTTTGCGTACATGGTAATGCCAGAAACTCTAAACAAGTCGAAATATTTTGACAAAGATAATCTTAAGGTTACCAGCTTCAAAAATCGTAGCCCTAAACCCTAGACGACGTAAGGGTTTCGCATCTTGTTTCGGAATTTCAGGTCGAAAAGCAATAATCAAAGATCCATTTTCAGCTTGCCAGGTTTTTCCTAAAAATTTTTTAATATTTTTTGCCCATTTTCCGAGGTTTCTCTGCCTCCTTAGTTCTCTCGTGCTCAAAAACTCGCGCTCACGTCGTTCCCAAAATTCGATGTCATCGCAAGGACACGTCTCGGCACATTGCGCGTATTGCTGCTCGGTGCAGAAATAGAGACGATCGTCCGCCGTCAAATCGAGTCGATCAAACTCGGGTCGAAGGGCCGAGACTCTCGACGGGGTGAGGCGCCAATCGACGCTGGAGCACAAGGATCAAAACTTATTATCTTTGGGTTGAGAATTGCCTACAGCGCTGGCTCTTCGCCGAAGCGGGTGACGAGTTGTTGCGGAAAGTTTGGGGTGGAGATCACGGCATTGCCAGTGATTGTTACATTCTAAAGTGGTTTTTTATTAATTTTTTAATTTTTTATTTCTTACTGGCATTTTCTTATTATATGCTATGCGAAGTAAGTAAATATGCTAAATTTTCGCAAACTAGACACTAACTGCGATTTTTGGTAACCAGAAATCAACACAAAAACCTCCAGACCGGCGTGATGGAAAACCTGATAACAACAAGCCGGAAGGAAAGTTTTCAGCTTCAATCCAGGCACCAACGGACCAAACTGTTGCGATTATTATTAATGAAAACTTGCATGCATGAAATATAGCGTTATTTGAAAAATACCGAATTGACACTCAAACTGACGGCTACTGTAGACAACCTTTTGTGGAGATATGGTCGCAATTTTTTTTTATTTTACATGATATTCTAGAATAAACACTGTTTTTGCAGCAATATCTTTAGCAAATTGCAATCGTGGAGAGTTCCCTCTAGTTTAAACTATAAATTATGCTAATTATGCAAATTATGAGAACCGTAGACCATAAATTTAGTGATCGAACCAAACACAAACCTTAACCTCTATCGCACACTCAACCAGTGAAAATAGACAAATACAAAGCAAAAACAGCATTTCCAGTAGCCAATTCCAAAAGACTGCCTGATTTTACGACATTCTGATAAGAGTTTATTGGACCAGGGTGCACGGAGTCCCGTTTTTTGGCCACTCCTTGTTTCTGCCCTCCATTCCATCAAAAATTTATTCCAAATTCGTAAACGCTAAAGCAGAGGGGGTAAAAGCGAGATTTAGCAGATGAGCAAAGCAAGACGATGAGGTACTCGTTGATGACGTCGAGCCAATTGATCACAGGGCAAAATTCAAAATAAATTAGCATATACGGTGTCACGGGGTGGGTCACGGAAGTTCAGGGTTGTGGTCATGGCCTATGCTTTTTCGGGGAAAAAGACAATTGAGCTGGAGGTGTGAGATTACTGTGGAGACAGTAACAAATTAAAATTGAGCACAAAGGGATGATGCAAAGTTTAGAATCGGCCCGAGAACGACATGGGTTGATTGAGGAGCAAATTTTTGAAGGCCGACACATCAACGCCAGCAAGGTCAGCGGGGAATGGACCGCCGGAGTTCTAAATTTCAAGATAGAATTTTGAAATTGTTGGTCTATACTTACATCGTTGGAGCTGGAGTCCCAGAGGCCTCCTCCTCCTCCAGAGCCGCCGAACCGTTGAGCAGCACTCTCTCCAGACGACGATCCCCACATCCCCTTCCGCTCCGTCTCGGCGGTTTCCATTTCTTGCGAGAACTTGTCCATCAGTTCCTGAAGGCAGATATTGACCTTGGCGATTGCGGGGGGTGGGGGGTGTTGGTGGCAACCCCAAATTATTGTATGTGTTTTTGTGAGGTTTGGGTATGGAAGGGAGGGGTGTTTTTTAGGGAGGGCTAGAATCAAGGTGGCACTGGTTGGTACGAAGGATGATTGCTGTTTAGGATTCAGGGTTGTGGCTTGTATCCTAATTATGCGCTGCTGGGCAAAAGGGCAAATTTTGACGCACCTATCCGAATAAGTTTTTAAGGGGATTTAAATAAGCAAGGCACCTTTAGCGACTTGAATATGGATTTTTCGGCTCAGATACGCGCAGCGTGAGGCTTTCGCATGTTTTTATTGAGTAATTGATTACACTATGGAAACAATTGGCGTCGATGAAATGTGTGTTGCGTAATCAGGGACGTAGCGTAAGGTGGGCCCCCTGGGCCCGGTGCCCCCCCCCCGAAATCGGCCGGGGCCCAAAATTTCATAAGGGGACCCTTATGATTTTTCTCAAAATTTTTCCCCCGGCGCCTTTTTTCACCCGTTTATAGGCTATGTTGCCCTTTTTCCCAAAATTTTTCGCCTGCGGCGTGTTTTTCGTTATTTTTGGTTTTCGGAAAAAATTTCGGGCCCCGGAATTTTTTCTGGCTACGCCCCTGTGCGTAATCCATAAAAAAAGCGTTAGCCTTACACGCACTTTAAATACGGATTTATATCTTTTGCTTCTTAAGAAAAATCTAAAAATCGGTCATAATTTTTTTATAGTTTGTAGAGTTTATTTGTTATTTAGGACGTAAAATAATAAAAATTCTAGTTTTTTTCTAATCCCTTAAAACCCAATTTCCCTTCCTCACTTTCTGACCAGTTCTAGAACTCCCTCGAACCAAAAATGACTAGCATCGGCTGGCAGCAATACCCACCCTTTCCCGCCGGGACCACCCGTAGAGGTCGATTGTATGGGAGCGGTGAGGGCGTGGGAAAAACGCGGGAGGAAAATCGAAAAAACAGGCCTTTCTGCTCTGCCGTCTTCACAGGGGGGGGGGGAGGTGGAAAGCGGAAAGGTGCGTATGGACTGACCTCGAACGTGTTCCCGCGAGAATTCCCAGGCAGTGTGTGTATAACACGGCGCATCCGTTCGAAGACCAGCGCGTTTGAGGAGGAAGTGCCTTCCTGCAAAAATGGACTTTTTATCCTACTATATATAAAAAAATAGTGTTTTGTGTGTGTGTGTGTGTGCGCAACTTCCGCACCCACCCTTCCAAAAACCCCCTAAAATTGTTTTTCATGGAAAATCGGACACCCCAATTTGTTAGGATCAATTTAGCATGCACCGGAAGTCGCGGTAGCCTATATAAAGGGACGAAGAGAGAATTTTCATTTTCCCACGAATCGCGAACATTATGCAAAACCAAGAAGTTTAACCCTGGTGAAAACTGAATTTTTTTGTTTTTGTGCTTTAAGGGGACAATGAAGGGAAGTACGCTTGCTGTACTAAGCCTAATTGCCGCTTCCAAAGTTAGGTGTTTTACGGTTGAATTACCTTTTTTCACTTCGGCTGTATCTTTTATTGGCTCTTTCTTTTCTTTTTCGATGAACCAAACGTTTGAAAAAGCTTACTTATCAAATAAAGAACTGATAATCCGTGTTTTTACGTTTTAAAGGGATGTTGAAGACACGCCACTATAGCTCTCGCTTTCAAAAGTTCACCTTTTCCCTTTTTCAACGAGAGAAAAATCCTTTCAAAACGTCATTCTTGAATTGTTAAAAATCTAGGTGATAAATCTTCCCTCCGGGTATCTTTTGTGACTCATTTCATGACCAACCTCATTGTCACGGCCAGCCATTGAGCCGAGGGAGAATGGAGTGTGAGGGGATGGGGTCGACGAGCTGCTCGCTGTGAACGAGCCTGAACAATGAAAAAGGTTATTCGTTATTTAAATATGAGAAAGTTGAGAGCTTATTTAATGCAAATTAGGGCGTCCTTATAGATAGTTAAATAGCGCTTTACGTGCAGAATTTGTAGAAAATGATAGATAAATTTCCAAAAAATTTTTAAAGTTTTCGGGAATTTTTGTAGAAAAATCATTATTGCTGGGTGCAATACTTTATAAAATGAGAGCTAATTTTCAATCTAGATTAAATCTTATCCTCAAAAAACCTGAAAAATGCAGTGAGAAACTTAAAAACTGGTTTTTAGTTTTAAATCAAAATTTATCATAGAAAAATCAGTTGAATAAAAAAGCTACGTGCCTGTCTATCACGAGCTGAAGCTCAGCATATCAGCACAAAAATCAAGGTCAAACCCCATATGTGGCACTCAAAATTGCGGTTCGACTTTTGAAACCGCCACGACCTCTGGAGGAAAGGAAGTTTTTCAAGACAATAGCGTGTTTACACACACCAACACCCACAGAAAAAGAGGAAGACACCAAATGCCAGGCTGCTCCTAACCCCGCGGGTTTGATGGAATGCGCTGAATAAAAGTGCACACACACGCGCGCGCAGGGAGGTTGTGTATGAGCGTGTGAGTGTTGGAGAAAGGGGCTGTAAGGCTTGAGGGCGGTGAGGTTGACCTTGCTGGCTAGTTGGTTTGGAGGAATGAGGAGGAAAAGCGGTGGGTAGAAGGTTGGGGGTCGGGGGTCGGGACTGGCCGGTATTGTCTAGACGGGCGGGGGGGGGCGCATGCGGCGCGCCTCCGGCCATCCGCACGCGCACCGCGTAAACATACAGCGAGAAGCGCGCCTTGGCAAAAACAATGGGTGTTTGTGGCTGGGGGTGGTAAATAGAAACTTGGGGCATCGGAGATCACGGAATTTATTCTTGCAAAAAAAACTGGAACTCACCTGATAGATCAGAAGCGCAACTGCCGCCCGACATCCGGCGGGTACGGTAGCCGGTGTTGCACCCGGTGCTGGACTGGAAAAACGTGTTTTTGGGGATTTTCCGGGAAAGCTTACGTCGCTCCAACCGAGTACGTTGCGAGTCTTTTCTTCCACCGATAGGCCAAGCATTCTGCCTGAAAATAGGAAACGTTGGAGGCAAATGAAAAATGCAAATTTAATAGAAGAAGAAAAATTCAAAACCGGAAGTGGTTTCAAAAAAATCGGAAATTAGCATTCCTTCAAAACGGACGGAAATTGTCGGAAAATAAGCGCAAAAAGCAAAGGATTAGCAAGAAAATTTGAAAAAGATAATCAACCGATTTTTCGACATTTACGAAATATCGATGAGAAATTTTGATACGAGTTTTGAAGAGCCTAGGCTAGCACCCAAGTCGTCTTCATTTTTTATAAGCTACGCCCGTCTGCTAATTTTTAAAACCCCCCCACAGTAAGAGCTAGAAAAAAATCTAGAAGTTTTCGCCCCGCTCCAAATTCCAAAAAATCAAACGAAAATTCCTGGAGCAATAGCCGGGGTGCAAGGAGGACGAGCGGTTGTACTGCAACAAAAAACTAATAACTCCTAGCACCACCAAATTAAATCCCAAAAATTACGAGCCACCCGGAGGGCGGGCAATGGCCGAGGTGCAAGGAGGGCGGGCGGCTGTCCGCAAGGTGTGGCCGAGAGTGACTGTGCACAGTCTCCTCTTCTTCTTCTTTCTTTCCATGTTCCTGGGAAAAGAGCCCGAGCACACCGGGGCTGAAATGTCATAAGGCGGGAGACGGTGGCAGAGCCTTGGTGCCGGCCTCCAGCCCAGCACCCCACACATGGTCCCAGCTGGACCTCCCCGTTGTTCTTCTTCTTGCTCCTGCTCTTCCGTCTCGATATCCGCCCGGCTTCAAGGCCGCAGCTGATCCGGCCAGATTTCTTATCACTCTTACTCGCGAAAGTTAGCCGGGGCTACGCGCAGAGCCGGCGTGTGCCAGTTTTGCAGGGTGGAGCACAGCGGAATTTGGTGGAAAGTAGGGTAAAGTTGCGGAAGCTGGGAGAACTTGGTGAAATCGTCAGGAAAGTGGAAATATCAAAATTTAAAGGTCCTCGGAGTGCTGTAGCAGGCTAAAATCATTTTTTGAGCAAAAGCTCATACTTCGAACAAGGCGGAAAAGGTTACGGTAGCTTGGTGATAGCCGCTTGAAAGCAAGAAGCTTCAAAAAATCAACGCAAAATTCTATTAAAATTTCTCAAGAACGTATAAAGGGTACTGTAGCAAATCATGAATACCTGTGGTATGCGGTTTTTCGAGCTACCGTAACTCCTGTAGTATACTGTAGCTACGGTGAATATTATAGGATTTTCGATGAGCGATTTTCCATGAGCGAAAAGCAGACAAAAAAGCCAAAAACACAAAGAAAGGGTACTCTAGCGAGCCAGGAGTATTTTTGGAAAAATTTTTCGAAGTAATGTAGCTAAATATAGCATACTGTAGCTGCAGTAAATTTTAACAAACTTTTCGTTAGTAAAAACCCGTAAAGCTCAAGAAACAGCCAAACCTGGGCTGTCCCAAAAAACCCATAACCAACCCCGGGTCAAATTCTCGACTACCCGCCAACGTTCCAAATTTATTTCCAAGTGATGGGCGGGGTCAACCTCCCCCGGGGCATCTGATCGGGGAGGAGGAGCATGAGTTGTGTGGGGGAGAGGCGGAATCGAAAAAAGCTCTCGACAAAGTTCGAGGCTGATTGAAACAATGGCAATAATGGGCAGAGCCGGTTTCTGCCCCGGGAATGGTCAGCGGCCATTGTATTGTGGCGGACTGAAACACCCCGCCCCGAGGGTTCAACACCCTCCCCACCACTTCTCAATACGCCCTCAGCCCTTGGGGGAGTTTTGTGCCGCTGGGGAGGTCGACCTTTCGTTTTTTGGGTATCGTTCGGAGAGGAAGGAGGAGGAGGAGGGGAAGAAGTGCGCCTACTGGCCGCTCCTGGACTCGAACCGATGACCCCCGAGGTAGGCGAGGAGGGCAAGGCAAGGTGTTTGGGTACGCAGGAGCTGCTGTAAGCTCATGCTCCTAGAAGTAAAAAGTCGAGAAGCCGGGTCTTCTGCAATATCAAGCCCGATAATCATTTAAATTTCGAAATTGGAATTCTGTAAATCGACGTCCGAAATTCTGACACCAGATGAAGGCAGATGAATTCATATGCAAAGCAAGAACATCGTCATCCCAATCGTTGGCTTGTCGGCATTTTAAACCATATATTTTAATTTGTCGGGTCTCCGTATCGACATTTCAAATATCGAAATTCGAGCAGCCTACTTTTAAGAGTCGGCATTTGCGGTTTTCCTTTGAACTAGCATAGAATCCGAAGCACAAAACTTCCTGCTACAGGTTGCCACGGCTTTCCGTCTTTTCGGGAATACCGAAGAAAGCGCGAAACAGCCGACAAATCCACCTACAGTACGATGAGCTTCTCGAAACACCGATTGACTCGCTCTGATTCATTAACAAAAGGCATGGTTTCGACCCATTAAATATATTGCGATATTTGGCTTTCAGGTCCCTTTAATTTCGCTTAAATTCCCCATCTCTTTAAACCCCCTCGGGCGCTTCTGGTTGGCCTTGGTTGAATGGGCTCACCAGCCGAGTGGGCGGGGAATGCGGGCCCACAGAGTCTAGACCCCCCCCCCTTCGGACCAGCTTCTGCCCCCATTCCGCTTATTTAAAAGCTACAGGATTCTATGAATTCTGCCAAATTTGAATACTGCTAAAAAGCAATTTTTAGAATAGCATAGATCCTTCAAAAATACTTTAAAAGCCTTTAATATGTCATCATTCTCGACATTTTTTATTTTGGTTTTGTTTCGCGCTCCTCAATTTTGCCGAAATTCAGAGGCCCCATCAATTTATTTCCTTTTTATAACGCTGAATTTAGATCGAAAACGCCGACGTGTCGATTCGCAGAACCCATAGTTCCTCTGTCCGGCGGGCTCATTCAATATTTGCCATGCTTCAACTGGCTCCCCTGCTATTTTTACTACTCCGGTTAGCTGAAGGTGGGTGCTTTTAAGAGCTACAAACTATTAATGCAGATTTTAAAATCGTCATTGAACCGTCGTTATCTCCCTTCTCTCGATTTTCTTTTCTAAAATATCAAGCCACTAATCTAGTACCAAGCATTATTTGGTCTTGTACTCTCCTCGCACCGCGAAAAAGACAAAGTTGCCCTTTCGGATACTTTACTTTTCAAGTCAACCCTGGGGGAAGATGAGGTGCTGCTAGAGCCGGACGGGGAAATGCTATTTCCCTCCTCACTTGCCCCGCAAGATGATCGGCCCTGAAGTGGTCAAACGGGCCCTAGGGAATATCTGGACTGGGGACCCGGCTGCTTGGAACGCTGACGAAAAGTTGCAGCAGCGGTGAAAGCTGGAAAATAGGGTTTTATAGTCATTTCCATTATCTTTCTCAACCTCAAAAATCCTTGTCTTTCCCTTGTCCCTCCATAGAGCCCAGAAAAAAGCCAGAACAAACACGATTTTGATTCGCTACCGGGCGTCCATCCCTTGGTAAACAGTGACCGGTCGGCCGGGGGCCCGCTAGCTAGACCCCAAGGCAAATCATTCGAAATTCGGATGGTGCCTTCAACTAGGGGTTGTGTGGGGTGGAGAAGCGCCTCGATGGATGGAGCCAATTACGGTATTGCACAATTTGGGGGTCCCAGCTCAGAATTGGCTTTGTTGGGATGAGGGTGACGGCTTAGGGCCTTTGCCACTTGAACCCAGCTGGCAGGGTGGTTAGGGATTGGTGGATCCTGTTTTTGGGGAGAAATGGATAATCCGATGGTAGATGTTGGACGGTTTGGAACCGAAGTAAGGTGTAGATTTATAAAGCTGTCTCTTGAAGATCGGGGAGTACCAGTTTTTGAGTCTGAGGACTGAAACTAGCAACAGTACTTGAAATTTGAGCTTTTTAGCGTTGTTTTTTGTATAACGTATTGTAATCTTCAAAGTAATTTAACAATTCACTCAGCTCTCCGAGCTCTTATTTGTCAACCTTTTTTATATCTCCCCGTTGTTAGAACCAACCCGGAAACTCGAACCAACTAGCACATCTCCCCCTCCCCTTCACGCCCTCGCCACAACCGACTACTTATATCATTAGAAATGGCCACCAGGGCGTCGGAATCAAATTCTCGTTTCGGGACACCTGCACGTCCTGAATAGAATCGCCGGGGCCCGAAATTCGAGCCCCACTCCCCCGACCGCTCCACCTAATTGCCACCCCTGGAGCTCATCAGCTAATTCCTTGGCTGGGGCTGGTGAATACCTAACGTCAAGGTTGATTGTTACCGGAAGCGTTAATTTAGCTTCATAGGATCTCAGAAATATCTTATAAATCGATCGCAACTTGTGGTGCGTCTTCTGTTTGCCTTGGGGAGTCGTTTGTTTATACTCGTCACATATCCCGATTCGCGCATATCCCCCCAAATAGAGCCAGCTGCTCGGATCGTTCCCCCCTTATGTTTATGCTCAACAAATTTGAATAGGGTTTCTTGACAAAATTTAACTTTTAGCCCAAAATTATGCAAATTTCCGCAACTTTTCCAAATTACACAACCTGCCAGGCAGCTAGCGCCAATCTAGGCAATGCGCCGAGCTCAGCCCTCTGAACCGTGTGCTGCTGGGAAATGCAAAGTGTGAACGGGGTGAAGGGCAACAAGCGGCTGTCTCTATGTGTGTGGGGCCGCAATCCAATTTGCATACTAAATATCTCGAATCCCGGCGCACTTGCTCGACTCGCCAGGGGGTGCTACCCATCAGGCCTTTGTCCTGGGGGGATGAGATTAGTCTAAAGTTCAAAAGTAAGATCATTATCGAAAAACTTAACTATAGAGCATAAAAAAAAAAAACAACGTTACTACACTTTTTTTATGGCATTTTTCTCAAGACAATACGGTTAGTTCTGAAAAATTTTTCCGGAAGTTGAAAGATGGCCAAACTAAAATTAAACCAAAAACAACACTACTACACTACTTTTTTGATGCTCGCTAAGTGGGTCCAACTAACTGGGCCCTCCACCCACGACACAACCCTAAAAAAAGCCCCATTTACTCTTGGAAGTTGTTGCCAAATGAGGCGCACCCATTCGGGGGAGAAGCACAAGCCCGATGGCCCTTCTAAGGCCAGCGCATCGGGTGATGGCCCGCGAAATCGGCCCTCCACTCCTCTCAATTTGCCCCGGGCCTCCGGGCTTTTGCCCATTTGAGCATCCCCGCCCTCGCGCAGCCACTCCATTCTGCGCCAAAATACGGGTCGGAAAATGTACGGAAGGGGGAAGGGATCGGGGTTTGATTGAGGGGGTTGCAGATCGGGGTGAGTAACATTGCCAGATTTCGGCGCGATTACTACATTTAGATTGTGGTTTTATTTTAAAAAAGGATACTACACATCTAGAGTTTTATCAAATACCCGAAATTGCCACCATTTTTGCCCTTGGAAGCTTAGGCAAACGATCCAGCCCAAGCCTCGGCCTAAGCTTACCATAAGCCTAAACAGAATCCTTAGCCTAAACCTAAGCATAAGTGAGCCTAAGCCTATGCCTAAGCCTAAGCTTAAACCTAAGCCTATGCCTATGCCTAAGCCTAAGCCCACGCCTCGACCCCAGCCTAAGCCTATCCCTAAACCTAATCCTAGGCCTCAGCCCAAGCCCAAGCCTAAGCCCCAGACTAAGCTTAGACTAAGTCAACTCCCCCCTAAAATAGTACTCACCATATCGCCACGTGCCATCTCGATGCCATTTCCCCCCTGCCTCCACACCCCCAGAAATGACCGCTGGGAATTGGCGCCCTCCTCACTTCCTTAGCGCCATCGCCCTGAATTGCCCAAAAACTTTTCACTCGGCCGCCCTGCTTCAAAATTCAGGGGGCCACCACCCATTTCATCAAGGCAATGAATGCGCGAAAGTCAGTGCCTTGGGGCCGGTGGCTCCTTGAAAAGCTCCGTTCCTGCCGGCGCCGAAAGCTTTTTAGCTGATCAAATTTTCAAAGCTGCGGTGGTGGGGGTAGGAGTAAATACTTAGAGGATGACGTGCGTAAAAAATGTAAAAAAAACGGCCGAGATTAGCTAAATTGTGCTAAAAATAGCATTTTTCAGGTGCCTCCCAAGAAGTGCTATCATGTCTACGAATGGAGAGGAGTCATATTGAGAGCCCACACATGAGGCAAGCGAATTTCGGTTCTGAGTAAGACTGGGTGGCGTTTTGCAGGGAAGTGCATGTGGAGGAGGATCGGCCAGCTTATCTGCATTGTAGGGTGCCGCAGAATACGAATTATATGGTAGGTGAGGGTAGGTTTAGGAATGTAACGGAATTATCAAAATATTGGGTGTGAAAAATCCTATCTTTTTCGAGAGAATTTCACTTGCCCATTTCCAAACCCTTTAAAGCCAAAACCCATCTACCCATCCCAACTATAGCTTTCGGCGCACCCTTTTTAACCCGTTGCTAACATGAGCCCATCCCTCTAGTGCTATGCTATAGGGTGCTTTTGTTGCACCGGTGGCTTCTTCCTCCCCCACCCTCCCCATCATTATGCGTGCCGGAATGCGTAATCGGACTCTTCGGGTCACTCTTTTTCCAATATTTGCGTGTTGTGGCCCGGGTGGCCCAGGGGGGTGGCTCTAATTTGCTCGTAGTGGAAAGTGACACCACCTGCTGATCTCGGAGAATAGAAGAAGCCTGGGGGAGCGTAGAAGCAAGCTTGTTAGTCGAGTCAAAACAAGGGTTGCGGTTTAGTATAGAAAGAAAAAGTGTTAGTTAGTTAAAGTACAAAACAGTAGCTATCTTTGACATTTTTAGGTGGCTTGGTCAAGAGCTTCTGACTCTGCACTCCTTACGGCCGGCCCTGATACCTTCACGAGCGACCCAAGGTTCCAGGTATCTAATTTGAATCCTGTTTTTATCGAGTTCTAGATTTCCCGAAGAAGCGATGAGGACTATGTGTTGATAATCCGGTAGGTTCGGGGCGCAATCCATAAAATCCCATCTGCCATTTGGCATCCAGCGGAAGTGCATTTGGCGCAACATCCAAGCGCTCAAATCACTGAACCGAAAGAATTGGCCGTTCGCCGAATAAAGGGGATTTGGTGTTACGGGTTGCTATAGGAAAGTGATGGAATTTAAGGAAAATATAAAAATATTAGGCGGGTTTTTAGACAATCCCAGCCTCGAGATTCCGGATGTTACCTCTGCGAGGTCAATACAGAACCGCAAAGTACCATCGTCCCTGTGTATCTCAATGTCACCAAGAAAGGTATGTTATCACTTTGTGGTAATTACTGAGTATTTTATAATTTCTATACCTCCATACCGTATTTTTAGACATGCCCCTTTCCATACAGCCGAATAGTGAGTTGAAAGGTGTCTTGTGTTTCGTCATTAAGCGCTTAGAAAAAATTCTAACGAAAGGATTTAAACCCTGTATTTTTCAGAGAAGCCCGGACGTCTTTTGGCAAACATGCAGGGCGATGAGGTGATACTCAATTGTACTTTTTCAACTGATGGAACGCCGGAGGAGCAAGAGGTAAAAAACCCTTTCCCAAAAAGTAAAAGATTTTAGGTTTACTGGAGAAAAGACGATAAGGAAATCGATTTGAACGATACTCAAAGTGGGTTTTATTTCACAAATTTTATTAAAGTTTTAGAATATGTCTGGAAAGTCAAGAGAGACGCTGGTTTGATAGTTCATGAGGTTGGTAAAAACCGACAAGCGAAAAATTTCAATTAGGTCGTGATCCGGGGAGCAAGTGATGCTGACGATGGAGAGTATGCTTGTCTTCGAGGCAAGCAAAAAGCCACCCAAATTGTTCATGTTAATTTGAGTAAGTTCGTCCTCTTTTAGTACCAACTCCAGTTTTCAGAAGCTGAAGCCCAAAAGGCGTCCAACATCGGAAACAATCTACAAATCTTCTTAAGTATATTTTCAGCCCTATTTTTCATATCTATTCCTTGAATTCTAGCTAATGGATGCTAATGTATAGCTTGTCCCCCTCTCATCTAATCCATCTTCCTCAGGGCTTTTTCTTGGTGAATTCTATTCGTCTTTTATCCCTATTTCTATACCCAATAATTATACCTATATATTTCTTAATGCACACTTCCTGATTGTGCCCATTCTTTGCGCCAAATTGCAAACGTCTTGCCGAACACCGCCGAATCGAATTCTTTCCGCCATACGGATCCCAAACCCGAAAAAATCCCCCTTAAATTTGAATCTCGTCTCCCTGTTGTGCTCATCGTTGACATTAGAGTGTGGTTTAACTTTTCCATGTAAACAATATATCTTTACCAGTGATTTCAAAAACGCAATGGGGTACACATCGAAAAGTGGTTCCAACAAACAAAAGCATAATGTAATCTTTAAAAAATGTGAAATGGCCGGGGGGTAGAGAAGATGAGTAAGCTCTCAAGGGGGATGGGCTTGACGGAAAAATTCAAATTATAAAATTCAAACCCCACAATTTTGATTGATTCTCCCAAAAATACCAAAAACCAGTCGACCCCGGGTGAATATACTCTGATTTACTACTACCATTCACGGCATTTTGGCTTTGGATAGGCTTAAAGTATGTGTGAGTGCGCGTGTGCAATCTCATTGGAGCATATTATGCGAATCGCAGGTGGTGGGGGTAGATCAAAAATATAATACGGGTGCAAACGGCATACCAGAGTCGCAAGGGGGAAAGTAAGGAAATTCGATGAGCGATTTTTGCAAGAATAAAATTTACATTTGAATCCGAACCCAATGCCTAGGAATTCTGAGATTTTGACCTTAGTGAACAGGGAAGAAAGCAAGAGTAGTGTGCAAGGGAAATTGCGAGATTTACGAAAATATAGATGGAAATGTGGTACCTCGTAGTTTCGCCTTGTTAGCTGAAAGGGTGTCTATCGTAGTGTAGTGTAGTGCAACGGGATGCCTAATAGATGAAGGGCACGGGGTATGCGAGTTCAGGTGAAGATTTTTGAAGCGGTAGAAGATCAATGGAGTTGCGAGTATAGGGGGATATAAAGATCATCAAATGGTTCACCGTACACGTGACTTTTAGTATAGTTGTTATTTGCGCGTAAGGTATCCTTTTATGGGGCTGGTTCGTCGATGTTCATGTCATCAGGTTCATAGCCGTCGTCCTGAAGTTATAAATAATTTTTGTAATTTTTGAGTTAAAGCGAAAACGTGAAAAAATGCAGAATTTAAAGCCAAATTTATATACCCTGTTAATATTGATTATAACGCCGTCCATTGGACCTCAAAACACATTGTTTTTAGCTATCGATTTTATGGATTTATATATGCAAATTCTTACCAATGTCGTGGTGGACGGCGATCCATTCGCCCCTTTTCCACCGTACGGCTTCAACCAGTCGTGTAGCAGACAATGCTGAGCAGTCGCCCTCTCCGCTTCATCGAAAGCAAGCATCGGCAACAGGAAAGATGCAAATTGCCGGGCCTAGAAACTACAATTTCCAGGATATCCTTTTCAAACTGACCTGCTCGAATGGCCACTCGTACTTCTGGGTCAACACCTCGACTAGCGACCAGGGTTTTAGCTGAGTAATGTGTTGAAGTCGGCCTTGCTAAAATAATTGAATATGCATATTGAGCTAAAAATGGCCTAATGCTCGTTTTTGGCCTAGTGAGCCAGGTGGCGCGCGAGTGGGGAAATTCAAATACAAACCTTCGTGAAGAAATCCTTCCAATATTTGCCTCTCTTGTAGATATTCGCCGGAATACTGCCGAGCAGCTCGATGACGTGGGCCAGATGGTCCTCATCCCGTGTGTAGGTGTCACCCTGGTGGGGCTCGAACAGGTAGTCTCCGGTGGCCAATTCGAAGGCCATGCACGCTGTGCTCCAGATGTCAGCTGGGGGACCGTATCCGGCGCCGATCAGCACCTCGAGGGAGCTAGAAATTAACTTATTATTAAATAATTTATATATTTATAAAATTTATATAAATCAATAATTTAATAAAATTAATATAAACATCCAAAACTCTACCGATATTGTCGTGTTTGAATATCTTCGGTGAAATGGTGATGAACCCAGCATGCATTTCCGAGATCTGCCAACTAAAACACGTGGTTTAATGAAAACCTAGTACGTTCTATACCTTAACGTCAATCTGGCAATTTGGATCAAAAATATCCGGGCCGACTGGCGGCTTGGGAAGGAGCGGAGGCGGTAGTCCCGCATCACGCGCAGCTTGTGCAGCTTTCACGGCATCAAGGACATCTAAAACCATCCTAAAAACTTGCCAAAATTAGCATACCTGGCGGAACACCATCATAATCATCCCTAGGCGATTGCGGAGAGAATGAGTCGCCCTAAAAATATGAATTTTTAATTTTATGTTTATTTCTTACATTCGCATTATCATCAACATCATCACTGCTACCATCATCCATCTTTGGCGAGGCCAATCCTTCCTGAAAATGCAAATTAAGGCTGATTCGAATCGACCTTAAAAACTAAAAATACCACAATCCATGCTATACTTAATATTGGATGCGGGTTTGGAACTAAATTGTGAGGAGGAGGATGTAAATAGGAAATGTTTGTCGTGCCTTGGAAGTAAACCCAAGTAGTTTTTAAAGGTATCAGTGGATAGTCGGGGGGATGGTGTTGAGGTAGACGCACACGACGACACGACAGATGCACGAGATGGGCATCCAGTTGAACTCACTAGTCGATAAAGGGGGGGACATGGGGGATTCTGGAGAGAGTGGCGACTGGAGGGCCGATGTCGATGCGGGGGAGCCGAGGTCTCCAAGGAGGGCAGGCGGAGGTGGGCCTTGTCGGCCGAGTAATCGCTACAATTGGGCGGAGTGTAGGGATTTGGTAATTTAATTGGAGTTTTGCTGTTTTTAAACTTTAAAATGTCATCTTCTTGATATCTTAAACATTCGAATCTTTAAGTATAGCTGAAACTCCATCCGCTTAAAGACTTAAATTCACCGATATAAAAGATTTGGTATATGGTGAAATACCGACTTCGTCTCCCTAGCCATTATTGCGCATATCTCCAAGCCATGCCAGGCCATAATCTAGCCCCCAAAAATTCAGCTCTCTCTCTCTCTCTCACTCAGCGCATAACCCGTTTGTTAGTGAAGCACAAAAGACAGAGCAAAAGAAGAGCAATGTCAAAGAGCGGATACCTTAGAGCTGCCTTGATGCTGTAATAAACACTAAAAGTATGAACACGAGCCACAAATCCATACCTGGTGCGTCGTTTGTATGACATGATGAACAGCGCTCGCATCTACCGCCAATCCCTCAACATTGGCCAGCTGTTGTTCCAGCAACTCGCGTTGCTTCTTGCGCTTCTTGCGCAGCTTCTTTTTCTTGTTCTTCGTCATGGCGCCCGCCGCCTGGAATAAATTATTAGGGTCTATGGTACGCAGGAAACGCACCTTTTCTTGGATGTGTTTAGGCGCTGTACTGACAGCCGAGCCGCTCAACCGGAAGTTCATTTTGTTTGAGACAACAGCGTGTTGGGCCATCACTTTGATCTAGAGAATTTTGAATAAATTAAGATTTATAGATTTTACCTCTTCTTTCGACATTGTAACCAACACATTTTCGGGTTTGATGTCGGTATGGATAATTCTACATTTATCGTGGAGATATGCCAGGCCTTCCAACACCTAAAGAATCGATAAAAATCTAGCAAACGATTTTTCATACCTGCTTGATAATCCGGCGAACAAGCTCGAGGGGGAGTCCGGAATAGCTTGACCTGATGATCATCTTCAGGAGGTTGCAGCCGAGGACCTGAATAACAAAATACTTCCAATCTTTACAAAAATGAAATTACCTCAAAAACCATGCAGACGTGCTTTCCATTAATGCCGTGGACGTCAAATTGATCCAACATCTGGACAACTCGCTCCTTGTGCTCATCATCAGGATCGGCCTCTCGCACGGCGGTTAGAAGCTGAAAAAACTCGTAAAAGACTTTTTCCTACTAATTCCTAAAGTATACTTTATTTTTAGAACGTTTAGAGGCAGTCCCAGCTGAATTAAGCCCTTCAAACGCCCTGAAAAATTTCCCACGATCCTATTACTCTTTCTGTACTTCAACAAAAGTACTGCAGACTACCCACCTGACCATTCTGCCCTTCCTTCTCCTGCTCAGTCTCATAAATCCCCAAACACCCACCTTTATCTCATCGACAGCTGCTTCCGTGTAGTGCTCGGCCGACTTGACAATCTTCAGCGCCACAAATCGCGTGTCCATCGTGTCCCAACACAGCCATACCGTCGAAAAGTGACCCCAGCCAAGCTTTCGGATGACATTGTATCTAAATGATTTTTATTAATAGTTCCACACTTTTCCAAATCAAAATTTTGAACGCTTGAACACCCCCACTATCACTTCCCCCGCCTATTACACTCGACGGGACTGGGAAGGCCCAGAAAATTTCGCTTGTTGCCCGGCCAGCTGACATACGACCGCCGGCAAAATGGAACACACAGCATGCCAGTTGCAAAATAAAAAATGGGGACAAAACCACGAACCGGCCGTTGAAAACGTCGCCGATATTGACGGGGTGGTAGCCGCCGCGGCGGTAGTCTTTTGGATCTTCTTGTTCCTCGTCGTCCGAGCCGAGCACTTCCTCTTCGCGGGGCTAAAATTTAGTCTAATTTATTTTAAAAGTTTTGTAACGTACTCCATTCTCATATTCCGGGGAGTCCATGGCTCTTTCGGGGCTTTCGCTCCGGCCGGAAGGAGACCGGGAGAAATGGTTTGCTTGGTTTGGTGCTGCTCCTTCTCTCAGGGATTCGAAGATGTCCTGAAAAATAGGCAAATTATTAATGCTTAAAATCACGGGACCTATGGAAAATTTAAATAAAAAAAGCTTACCGGATCGTTAATAATCAAATCTATCCTCTGATCATCGGCCGGAGAACCTCCATTTTCATGGTGATTTGTGGAATATGGCATGTGATCATCGCTGAAAAAAATAAAATTAATTTTTTAATTCGTTTTTCAATTCCTAATAATCTTTCACGTTATTCTAACATAAAATTGCCTTAATTACCAAAAAATAAGTCACTAGAAGGATCTTTTGAGGATTGATCTATATTTGACATATTTTGAAAAATTTGCCTCAATTCACTAGAAGATAAATCATCCGAAGTATGCAACTCCTCCGAGCCAAGCTCCTGTGACGATATATCAGTATCAGCTGACGAGCACACTTCCGGCAACTCCTCATGGGCTGGCCGATGGCAAGTGAATGTAGCAAATACAGGGCTAGGAATCTGTTCCGATACCTTACTAACCACTACCCCCTTCGCCGGCATTGGCAAAGTAACGACAAAATGATCGCTAATCCGTTGGGCCTGCTCAAAATGGGCCGAGCCCCGCCTTTCATCCGGAATATCTATATAGAGATTTCCAACAAAGGCCGAATTCTCGTAGTTGCAATGATTGGGGGAGGGTTTTGGGATGACATCACAGAAATGGGTGACAAAGACGCGATTGTCGAAAACAACGTTCACTTCGCGAGCCGACGGTCTACGGGTGAAGAGGAGTGCTACGTATTCTTCATTACTGTCTAGGGTGTAGCTGGCTGTCGACACCGTATGATTATTGGAAAGTAGGGAATTTTCTAGCTCGTCTAATAGTGTTTCAGCGTTAATCTGGTCTTCTCCAGGTTTTTTGGGACTTTGGGAGTTATTTTTAAGATCTTCAGAATTGTTTTGAAGAATGGAAACAGGGTCGGGTTCTTTGTCAAAAGCTGGAATAGGATCTTCCGGGGTAAATTCTTTAGATAATTCTTTGGATAATGTTGTAGATGCTTGAATAGATTTTTCTGGAATTAGCGGCGATTCAGAATAATTAGCATCTTCTTTTTCAAGTTTATTGTCCACCGGCGTCCTCCGGAAAAACCGGGAAATCCACACGACAAACATAATCACGAAGCAAAAATCGCCAGGTGACAGCCCTTCCGCGGAATCATGGATGGAATACGTTTTCGCAGGGAACGCCGCCGATCAATTCCCGGAGCGACCGGCCGATTGAGCAATGAGGAATTGAGCGGGAATAGTAGTGTCTATGAGGGGGGAAATGACACAACCCGAGGGGAGGCCCGTGTGGCAGCAGCAGGAGCACAAGCACCGACCAAGGGGAGCTGTGACTGGGCAATGGATCAATCGTCTTTGAAAAGACGTCAGCTGACAAGCCCATCCTCAACACCCCTCATTGGATATCTGACCCCCTAGAGGGAAAAAGAGGGGTGATGCTAAAAAATGGGTAGACTTGCAGATGTGGGTCGGTTTGGTCAGCAGCCGCGGATCGGCTTTCGGAAAAGAAAAGAGGAGCAACACCTCGAAAAGGTTCAAAAGAGTAGGTTAGAAAAGCGCCGAAGCGAGACGCAAAACTGGTAATGCAAAGTACGAATCAAAGTTTAAAATAAAATACTAGAAATTGCATAACTTTATTAAAGATAGCCATACAAATGCTGAACCTTTTTGCTTAAAACTAACTAAAATGCATTAAAATAAAATTAATTTCAATTTCCTTTTTTTTCAGCCGTTATTGTCATGTGATGGAAAAATTCAGAAGTTTGAATGTATTTAAATTTGATAAGCAAGAATGTAGCTAGGTTTTCAAAAATATGGTAATTTTAAGGAATATATAATCTGCGTTCAAAGTGCTGTGGATCTACCAAGACTCCGCAACCTAATTAGCATACGACAAACAACTGCAAAAATCGCGCAAAACTGTGGATTACTGACGTAAACAGCGTATCGACACATTCAGCTCAAAATTAGGTTAACAAATTAGCATAAAGCTCTCTAAACTTGCAAAAAAAACGCCTAGATAATGTTGTCTGAGATAGTTAGGCAGTTTAAAACACATAGGAAATCGTTTGGAATTTGGACCTACAGCAGAGTTTGGAAATTCCAAGTGGAATGAACTTTAATTAGGTATGTTTTCTAATAGCAAACTATTTAATCCTAAAAAATCCACTCACAATTCAGGCTCCTCAGGAATATTGCCGTTCTGATGGTTCTCAACCTCATTCTTCTTCGCTGGCCCGTTGTTAGCCTGAAAAGTCGTCGATTCAGGCTCATCCCTTAAATCCCGACCCAACAAAACGCATCCCCTTCTTTCCAGGCCGGCTACCGACCCAAAAAATATCGCGAAAAACTATGGATGCGCCTTTGCGGGCCTATCAATACAAAAGTGGGCCATGAATACTAATTAGCTCTCGTTGGCAAGGGGAGACCCACTTTCTTTTTCTGGTTCTTCTTCTTCTTCTTCTTGACCAAAGTTGAAACCCGCTTGTCGTCCATTGCGTTATCAGGCAAGCTGGAAATAATTTTTTTGAGGTGGATTATTGAGAGTGGTAATCATTTACGGAAATGGGTGGGGAGGGTGGTAGAGTGGTGTGGAGTGGGAAAAGGTGGCATAGAGTGCTGTTGGAGCGGATAATTTGGACGAATCAATGGCGGGGGTGATGTGCAGAGTAGGGGGGTACGGTAGTGAGGGGTTGGTGTGGGAAGAAAGGGGAAGGGAATCGTGTACGATGGTTAATTCGGATGGGGGCCAGAAAGTGGGGGAGCAGAAGAGGAAATGGGATGGAAGAGGCGGGACGAAGAGGAGCAAGAGGATCTTTTTGGAATTGAGGAGGAGGAGCATTTTATTGGGAAATGGAATTGAGAAAAGTGGGAGTGGCCTGGGATATGAGAAATGTTAACGACAGGAATCGAAATGCCAGTTTTGGGGTATTTTAAAGGAATTTTCAAAAAACACAACATTTAGATTTGCGAAAATGAAGAATCATATTACTTTTGATCACCAAAATTCAGAATAAACGTCGAATTCAAAAAATATGACTAGCCGCGCCGTCTAACATTAATGCGTCTCCCTATCGCATGACCCTCGTATGCAAATCGCGTTTTCAAATTGCCCGTGTCAACATCGGCAGCTCCTTCAAAGGTTTATGCAAATTGTTTAAATTCAGTTTGTATCACCCGTTTATTTACAGAAAAATTAGCATAAATATATTCATAATAAACTTTTTCGCATATAGACTGTTTCTTCTTTATCATCTGCATTTTTTGGGGATCCCATTGGAGGTGGAGGCGGCGGACGCGGAATATTTCCATTATTCAAAGTGGCACTCGCTTTTATGGTCCCATTAAAAGTTGGCTCAGCTTTTTTCGACTAAAAAGAGGGTTTTAGATGGATATTCCAGACGTGCCAAATTGTTAATGAGCGGGAAAACTGATGTGGCGGCTGTCGAATGAAGGATTGGTTCGCAAACCACATATCCGCAACGCTCATAAAATCCTTGTTTGTCTTCGGTACATAGGAATACCTGGAAATTATTTGAAAATCTCATTGGTGCTTTAGAACTCACCTCATCAAAGCCAAATCTTCGAACGAATAGTTCGGTGTCGTCCATTAATGCTCTTCCAAGGCCGGTACCTGTACATTTTTTGAATTCGCAGATTTAAATTATGGACAATTTCAATTTACCCTAATTTGCATCAAAAGGTTGATTTGCATACTTACCTCTCTTTTCCTGACTAACAATTAGCGACTCGACCCAACAAGCTTTCTCCCTATTAGGTAATTTGCATATCCGTACGTGCCCCACAAGCTCTTCAGCTCCCTTAATTTGCATATATTAAAATTAGCATCTTCCAGTTTCACCCACAGCTTCATTTTTCAAAATATACAACAAAGACATAGGCGGACTAGCTCTACAAGACTTTTTTTGTGAATGCTCCCTCGACCCATCGCTTCTTGGCCATTCCTAAATTTGAATTTTGTTTTAGACTAACAGCTCCAACCTGATTTAACAATTTGATACAAGCCAAATTAAGGTGCTGGCCGTCGACTAGTGGAATTAACTCTGGCTTTGTCATTGGCGCACGATTCTAGAGGGATTTCTAGCGTTAGATGGATATTACAACGGATGAGTACGGGATGATCCTATCGACGGATGAAGTATGGCGGCATTTGGTGGACGTCAAGAGGCATTCAATTGGGTAATGATAGGCTTCTGCAACATGTGATTGTTATGCAACATCGGATTTCACAGAGAAAAGAAAATTACAAGACAAGGAAAAAATTTTTCGAAAAAATGTGGATTTCGAGAATATAGAAAAGGAGTTGCTAAATAAAAAACTTGCAATTACAGGTCTTTTTAGAATTTCCAAATATCGACGCGGACAAGCGAGAAACAATAGTACCAACGTTTCAATACAAATATAAAAAAACGGCAGAGCGTTGTGAAAGTCGAAACAAAAAATTGGAAAAATGTCAAGATATTGGGATTATTAAAGTGACAATTTTGGTAAGAATACCAAACAATAACAACTATGCTGTAAATTAAGATTTTCAAATAAATCCCGGGGCCATTATCTGGCCTTCCGATCTGGGTCACAACTCTGACAGCCACACCTCTTTTTTCCGGTTCGCTGACTTTCAAGGTCGCCCAGTTTTCAACTCACTGCCCTCCTCCCGAATCCCATTCACAGCCGCATGTGACCTTATTTTTTGTGTTACTACTTTCTATACTAGGTTGGGATGCTGGTTTGGTGCTTATGGGGAGACAGGAAATTCAAAGAATAGGGCAGCTATTTCAATTCCTTGTAAATCAGGGATCATCTTAATCTGAGAGGCTTGATGATACGGTATCTAAAACAAGAATTAGAGATTATGAGGCTTAAGGGATAGAGACCAATTATCACTATGTCTTCGGCTTTTCCTCACACCAAAACTCAAATCCTCCAAGTGCACCTGCTCCCCATAAATAACCCCCGAGTGCCATCAGATCCCTCCAGTTTCCATTTCCGCCTCCAGCACCCAAATATGGCCCCAAAAAATTCACTCCCGTCGCTCACGCAATCCCTTGGTGGCATATGTGGTAGGCGGACGAGTCACACCAGCTAGTCCTCCTCTCTCAGTGGCTCCTGGACAAAAAGTCTCCGTTCCTGGAGAGCCGATTGTTCCCTGGAGAATTGCCGGCGAACTGGGTGGCTCGTACTGGGGGCGCGATACCAATTTTCGACCTGATGCTCTGGGGTTACTGATTTAGTAAATGCGGGTGGCTAATCTTGAGCATGAGCTTGAGCCTCAGCTTTAGCCTGACCTGGCCTAACCCGAACTCTAATTACGTAGGTGTCCATGTATAAGGTAAACCCATGTCTAAGCCTGAGCTTAAGCCTGAGCCTAAACCTAAGCCTAAACCTAAGCTAAGCCTAAGCCGAAGGCTAAGCTGAAAGTATTTTTTTCATGAATCCTACACCTCCAAGATATCTCCTACGATCTCTCCACCCTCCTGCTAAGCCACTTTTTGGTGCCAATAAACCCAGTTAGCTGCTGCTCCCCCTCCCCCCGACAAAACGACCTCCTCCCCTATAACTAGCTTGTCCCAACAATCGCCCACAGCTTCTCCCCCAAAAAATTTCTTCCTCCCCTGCTACTTATATCTTCTGCTGTTGACAAGCCACCTCCATCCCCTGCCGCTCCCAGCAATCTTTTTTTGGCCTTCCTTAGGTCAGCTCTAGTCACTGGCTATTCAAAACGCCCCGGATGAATGGAGGGGTGCCAATACCCCACAAAGCCTCTTACCCCAAAAATATTGGCCGTTACATTACAATCGACACCTCCGCCCCGTGTCGTCAGGATGTCGGATTTGCGCGTCCCCCCTAATTGCTTTCCGGCGTGCCAAAATTAGTGGGCGCACATCGCCTTGCCCCCTGGAATTGAGAGCACATTTCCGGAAGCCTGGAGGAAAGTGCTGTGCCCTGCTCTGCCCTCCCCGAGCAGCTTAACTACAATTTTTTCGGGGGGCCCGCCAGGTAATTATCTTTTTTCTGACAGTTCTTTATGGGACGCCGGGGGGGGTTAGGGTGCCCATTTCTACCGGCTATAGCCTTATTTTTGGAATTTCTGGAATGGAAGGTTCAAACCTAATTGGATCGGAATTGGAATTTACGTCAAGTTTTTGGAGATTCGGGAATCTAAAGGAGTGCCTTCCCCAATCCCATTAGTGAGATTGAACGTCGAGGCATCTTGAGAAGGGGGTTCCGGATAACAATCCGGTTGAATAAATTTCTTATAATTTTTTGGAGGGTATTCTGGTAGTCAGGGCACTTGGTTTCATTGCGGTTTCGTGGCTAATAACTTTTGAAAAATTGCAGGGGGAGAGGCGGGATGGGAAATTAGGATGAAGCTTGGAATTTGGTAGAGTTAATACGAGGTTCCGGTGTTTCTGGGTTCAATTTCCAAGTATGTAATTATTGGGATGTACTATTACATGTAATAATGAGTTATTGGAGGTAATATGTCCCATTAAAGGTAAGTAATTAGGTGACAGTAGTTCTATTGCTACAAACGGATTTTTCCTATGACGCATCAAATCCTTTCCAACCCTACAGCCGATTATTTTTATCTGGAAAAGAAATAATGTCGTAATGCATATTAGGCGCTTTTTTGCGCCACACCCGGCCTTATAACTCGCCCTCCCCCTTGCAAGTACACCTTGTTCGTGCTCCTCCCAATTTCGTAAGCTCGATCACCTGTCCCCCACTCCAACGTGTTGTTGATCGATAACCCGCCCAATTCGTGTCGCCGGTTGGTGGTTGACTGATTGGGGCCCATGACCTTGAGGTCGAGAGTGTGAATTGAAGGGTGCACGGACATGGACGGCCGGACGACGACGACATGAATAGCCAATGAGTGCTCCAAAAAGGAGGAACGCCCGGTTATGGGCCGGCGCTCAGAAATGGCTCTAAAGTCTTATATCTTGAGGCTTTGCAAAACGTCTAAGCCTAAGTCTATGCTTAACCTATGCAAACAGTTTTTATTTGCTTAAGGATAGTTCGGAATCCGGTTTTTTTGGACCAGACATTTTTCCGGCGCCAAAATTAGCATATTATGTCAAAATATGAGTGTTTACATTTGCATACCATAATATTTTGATTTTTTTGGGATTTCGGGTAATCCCGTGTTCCCGTGATGTCTCCCAGCCACATGTCTCCCATCCCTTCATGTTTGTTCAGCAATTTCCGCCCTCTTTCCTTTGGGGCCCTAAGAGTTACCGCAAGGATATTCCCTCCAACCGCCACACATACTAATCCTTCTACCTCACAATTTCTGCCCCACATTTGAGACCCTAAATTCACTATCAATTTCCTGTTTTTAGATGCGGTTAGAAGAATTATTTATACTGTTATTCGTCCTGTTATTAGCTTTGGAATGTGAATGCAGAAAGTCTAAATCACACCTGTCGAAAAGGAGGCGGGTGATTAAAAGGTAACTTCCATTTGTTTACATTAGTTTTCTGATTAGAACAATTAAAACGGGTTCTATCGAAAAGACGCTTCGGTTTCGTTCAACATTATTTGCAACGGGCTCGGTTTATTTATGGGCCAGGTAAATCTAATTTGCATATTCCGCTAATTAGCGTATTTTAGAAATGACCATTTTCTTATAGCAGAGCCTGACAAGCCGATACTGTAAGGAATTTTCATGAAATCTACATTTTGAATCTTTTTTAGGTTCGAAAACAGCAAATATTATTGGGATTCCCAGTACTATTATGATGATGATATTAGCCGGATACAATGTGTAAACGCTATCGATCCATTGGTATGCTAATTCCGCTATTCAAAAAATTAAGTTACTTGTAAGGACCCACAATTTGGAAAAGTACACTTTCCGAATGGTACTAAAGCCAGAGAAATCGTTTGGAGCTGTCCAAAATCGGCTGAATGCTGTGGATATGAGTGCTGTCTAGATGATGGCTTTTTTGCCTCTACATTGTAAGTTTTACTTTTATACAAATGTCTGAAAATTTAGTTTTTAATGTCAAAAATTAATTTTTAGACGAATAGCCCTCCTCGTTCTCGCCCTCGCCATTGCCGTGTTTTTCATATTGGAATGCGGCCGTTGGGCCTTACATTGCATCTCACAGTTTCATAATAATAAAGATTTCGAACCAGGTAAAAATATATTAAGATAAATTTATATTCTGTATTTTTTTAGTGCCAACGAGGATTTGATCGCCACAAAATCAACACCTCTTCAATTTGCCTTGAATCTCGTCTACCTTCCTGACAGTGCCTTACCCAATTACACCATGTGATAATTGCCTTATAATAAATAATATATTGATCAACGTATAAAGTATAAAACTACAAAATACAGAAATTTGAGCATGAAATCCTATATTTAATTTCCCGAGACAAACATCGTATGCAGCAGCTGGTGCGCCGGGTTGCTATGGTAACCTGGGGTTTCGTTACACGAAAAACCGCTCCAAATTCTGATTTTATTGACAATTTAACTTCTTTAAACGCTTAAGCTAATATAAATCCGATTTAGCATAATGTCAGACCCGAATCAATGGGCTACAGTTTCAAACGTCTGCTATTTCATCCGAGGCGGTTACTACGGGACGGCCCTGTGGTATTGTGAGGATTCCTTGAGGTCGGCGCGTCTGCTCTTATCCCCAAATTTATTGTATTATTTTAGAAATGGAAGAGATGAGGAAATCAATCTCCTGCGTGGCTGTATCTTTGTGTTATTGGGTACTTTAAGCACCCAATTTAGTTTGGAAATACAATTTTTTAGACAAAACAGCAGAAGGGATGCGGCAATTGGAAAATTTATGCATCGGCAGCTATTCGCTAGGCGCGCTGCTTGCATTGAAATTTGCACATCAAAAGGCGAAGAACCCGGGTTTGGATAGCTAACAATAAAAGTAAAAAATATTTTAGATAAGGAATCGCTAAAGGAAATTGACGAAAAGATTGCGAAGGAGAAAAAGAAGGCTAGCTCGGAAAATAATTATGGGGCTGGAATGGTAAATGAAAATTGGAATTTTGGATTTTGTTAGGTTCTATATTTTCTTGGGATTCCGGCGAAGGCAAAACCATATGCCGACAAGGCAATTGAGAGTTCTTCTAATATGCCGAAGGTAAGAAAAATCGGCTGAATTTAAGTCTGTATGCTAATTTTTAGTACATTTGCTTGCTTGGCTGGATCGAACGATCGCTAGGACGTGAACTAAAAGAATCGGAGCAATATTTCGAACGTAAACTAGCCTTCGTTTTCAAAATTAGGTCATTTTAAGAAGCTAAAAAAGGCGGATATCTGGACGCCTATATTGGTGTGGCCATGATTTATTCAGATCGTCATTTGCCTCAAGAAATGGCGATTACCGCTCAAGTAAATTAGCATATAAAAATTAAAAAAAACTATTTAGGAAGCTTTTCGAGAAAATGGAACCTTCATCCCAGCAGTTCTGGAATTAGCTCGGGCACTTACAATTTCTGGACAATGGGATCAAATCTCTTCTCAATTGAATAATGCACTAATTATTCAGGTATTCAATTTTGAAGGAATTAAATATGCTAATTTAGCCCGAATGCGTGCCTGCTCATCTTTACTTGGCGATATGGGCAGTTTGCATCAAGGGGAATCAGAGTGATGTAAGTCTTGATCGAAAATACCCTAAATTTTGATAGTGTTATGTAAGTCTTAATGATCGGATTTTAGATAGAAGCTTGTCTCGGCGATCTAGCGCAAGCTGTTGATGCTATTGGTAAAACGAAATTTAGCTAACATATCCGGCTTCTTTTGAGAACCCGGGAACCATCACCTAGCCTACACATTGGCCGATATTTTTATCAGATGCGCTGTCAAAATCCCATCCATTGCGAAATTTTGCAAGTACGTTTTTCTAAAATCGGGAAATCTGTTTAGAGTTTTGCTCGAAAAAGCCCTATCGTTAAAGAGGAGCCCTGAATATTTAGCTCTTGCAATCCGAGTTTTGATTCAAAGGTAGATCTCCTTAGAGCTGAGCAACACTTTTCTTCTAGTGAGGACATAAAAGGCGCTATGGCCATCGCGAAGGAATTGGTGATGTTGGAGAGTGATGATCCGAGAGCTGTTATGGGTAAGCTAGCCGAGCACGTAAATTCAAGTCCCTTTTAGGCATCGGTCTCTGCTATCTAGCCAGCGGGAAGGCTGATGATGCCGCTAATCAGTATGCTTTTATCAAAGAAGCGCATCACAATATGAGGGAAAATCCAGTATTAAAAAACTAAAAACAAAAATCAGATTTTTTTCAGCTTTTTATGTTCCTTGGAGCCTTGGTGGCAAAATACAAAGACAATTCCTTCGATCACTTCTTTGCAAATATCAAAAATGTGGTTGATACACATATTGCCAGCGTTCCGGTAGGTACATCAAACTGTATAATTTCTGTTCTTAGAGCAACGCTTCTGGGGAAAAGCTTATAAAGGCCCTAGATCCAGCATTTATGGTAGATATTGTTGTCCAGCTCCTTGATTATGCTCCCCCAGTGGTAAGCTACAAACTACAGATTTTACCGCTTTTTATGTAGCCCAGCAAGTCTCCAGACAATATCCTACGTGAAGCTGAGCGTATTCTAAGTGCTGTTCATGCTCATTGCCCAGGTAATAAGCTCAAGTTTGTCTTCAATTTTCGTTTTAGGAATCACTGAAGTCACCTTCCTACTCGCGAGGGTAAAATGGCTTGGGGGTGACAGTGATGCGGCTGAAAAACTGGTCGAAAACTGTTTGGACCGTAATGAAACCCTGGCTGACGCATATTTGCTCAAGGCCCAGGTTTGGAGAGCTTCCGGGAGTAAGGAAATTCTTTTTTAGATAAAAGTAGAGAAAGGGAGGGTTGAGGAAGCTGAATTGTGCTTGGATACTGGTTTGAGGTATAGAAAGACGTAATCCAAATCAACCAAAATAAAATATTTAGCTTTAATTTTGCGGTTCGGGACAGTTCACTTTATCACTTGATCAAAGCGAAAGTGATGAAGGTAATAGATTTTTCGAAACACCTCAAAAACGTTTTTTAGAAAAAGCATGAAGAAGAAAAAGCGGTTGACATGCTAAAAGCTGCACTTCGTCTGCCAAATACGGTAATTCAGGTGAAAAGGCGAAAAACAAAATTTAGGCGTCAAAAACTGGCAACAATTTCCTAGCACGAGAGAAGAGCGAGGATATGAACAAGATCTCGATTCATTTGGAGCTTGTCGACTCGCTACAAACTTTGAAGAAGACAGTAGGATACTTTAAGCCATTTCCACCGTTTTTCATTCTCAGGATGAAGCCGAACAAATGATGAAAGAGGCGCAAAAGCAGTGGGAAGGGCAGCCGGAAGCAGAACAGTTGCTGTTAATTCATGCCCAGATTTTGGTGGCCAAGAATGACCCAGATGGAGCCATTCATATTTTATCAAAAGTAATTATTAATTCAAGTTTGATATATGTAAATTTAGGTTCAACCGCATCAATCAAACTATCAAGCCGTACGTTCAAAAATGGCGCAAATATACCTAGAAGAAAAGAAAGATCGACGAATGTTTACGATATGCTTCAAGTAAGTAGCTTCAGATCAAGTCTGATCAAGAAAACATTTTTTAGAGAACTATTGGAAAGTGATCCGAGCCCAGCAACTTATGCATTACTTGGTGATGCATATATGAAAGTACAAGATGTAAGAAAGACTCGCTCAATCAGAATTCACAAAATTACAGCCAAACAAAGCGATTGATGTCTATGAAAAGGCCTTGAAAGCCAATCCAAAGGATCATGCCCTTGCTCAAAAGATTGGTGAAGCATATGTCCAATGCCACTTGTATTCCAAGGTAATTTTCTAGATTATGTAAAACATCATAAAATTCTTAGGCCGTAAATTACTACGAAGCCGCTGTAAAATCCGGGAAGGACAGTCAAATGAGGCTGAAGCTGGCAAATTTGCTTTTTGAGCTGGGGAATACAGAAAAATGTGAAAGAGTTCTGAAGGAACCGATTGAAAGAGATCCGAATCCTACAGGTATGAATTGATGAGATTGTATTATGGTAATTTATTTCTTAGATTCTGCCACAATGACAGCCCATGTGTCGTATTGGAATTTGCTATCAAAGCTGCATTTTGAAAAAGGAAATTGGCATGAGGCAACGGAAGATCTAGGAAGGGTAAGGTACAGAAATAGGTATAATTCATTAATGTGTCTAGGCCAGATCGATTCAACTTCGAATCCTAAGCAAAGGAGATGGAAATACGCTACAGATGAGGAGAGAGGCTGCTAGGTAAGCTTCATCTTAATGCTAAGGATTCTAGTACGTTTTAAGAATTTGCTGCAAGCTGGCTGAACTCTATACAAACCGGCGTGATCTCCCCAAAGCTGTGGAATTGTATAAAGAAGCCGTCCAGTTGAATGAGACCGATGTGAAGGTCTGAATTTTTACGCATTCTTGGACGCAAAGATATTTTAGACAATCCTCGCCCTAGCCCAGCTGTATCTTATGATGGGGAAGCTTCATCTATGCAACCAGCAATGCCAAATAGCTTTAAATATCGATAAGAATAATGATGAAGCCACTCTGGTACTACAGCCGCAAAAATTCGGACGTTTTTAGATGATGGCCGATTTGCTCTACATGAAAAATGAGGGAGAGCAGGCGGTTGTTCATTTCTCACAACTTCTTGATAGATATCCTAGTAAGAGCGTCAAAACAGATTGATGCATAGTTTAGCTCATTATCATGCGCTTGCTAGGACCATCGAGTTATCATGGAGATCAGGGGATGTTGATATGGCTGAGAAACAACTTGAGTAAGGACTTTAAAACATCTAAATAAAAATTTTAGTGCGGCTCTTGAATTCAACCCCCGCTGTACGATTGATGCAGGCTATAATTATTGTAAAGGGCTGCATGAATGGTTTGAAACTGGAATTGAAGTTTTTAAAGTGTACTTAGGTATTGCGGAGAGCCTAATAATGCCTTGCAAGCCTTTAACAGAGCTAGACGAGACTTGGAATGGGGAGAACGCGCTATCTACAACATGATAGGTACGATACATCAACGAAACCCCAAAAAAAAAACATTTAGAAATTTGTCTGAACCCAGAAAACGAAGTGATAGGTGGTGAAGTGCTAGAGCAATCGGAAGAAAAGTAGGTGCAAGGGAACCCTCGAAATTATTTTTTTTAGTCGTGAAATCGGGTGCCAGACCGCTGAAAAATTTTTGAAGGAGCTACGGTATAAACCGGGGCTCGATCAGCGCTATAATCTGATGGAGAATTATATTCTCATGGCCAGCCGGAATAAGGCTTCAATGCAACAGGCTGTCAATAATTTGTTGGAAATTGTTGGGCCGGAAGGGGTAGGAATCGACTTCGCTGTTAAAAATAAAGGTTAGGAAACCGTTCGATCAGTGGGAGCTGTACTTGGCGTAGCTCGAGGGTACATGCTAATGAAGCAGACGCCAAAGGCGAAGCAGGTTTTGAAAAGGGTACTTGGCCATCCTTGGACGTTGGATGATGCCGATTTTTTGGAGAAATGTGAGTTACTGTATGTGCATTCTTTATTGCAGCTGTTTTGATAGGTTGGCTTCTCCTCGCCGATCTTTACATCAGCCAAAATAAATCTGATCAAGCCACCGCTGTCCTCAGAACCGTTCTGCAAAGAAATGCTGTTAGTAACTTTTCAAAATAATTTCTATTGTTTTTAGAGTTCTATCCGAGCTTTTGAATTTATGGGCTATTTAAAAGAGAAAGAACAAAAATGGTTAGACGCCGCATCAAATTATGAAGACGCTTGGAGATTGTGTCGACACCGTAACCCGATCATTGGTAAATACAGAAATCCAATTATACTTGGGATTTAGGCTACAAATTAGCATATAACTTGATGAAATGCAAGAAGCTGTTTGATTGTATCGAGGTATGTTCTAATTTTGCTAATCATAACGCAAAATCTCTAGATCTGCCATCAAGTCCTCGAGCACTTCCCGACATATCCGAAAATCAAGCGTGAAATTATGGACAAAGCCAGGATGATGATTCGGACCTGAATTTACATAAATTTTTGTGCTTTTCTATGTTTTTACATGATATTACATGACAAGACATTCTATGTATTTTTTATAGTGAAGTTTTGGGGCGACTGGTTCGAAAGACCGGGTATCTTGGCAAATGTCAAATCCCCTACCCGTCGCTCCTATGTACGCACGATTTATGTAGCCTCATCGTTCGATCCACGTTGTCTTTTCCCCATTCTAATGTATTGAGGGCATGGTTATGAGGTGGCCCAAATGACACTACGCTAAAAGGCTTACAATTTTGTGAAGAAAAATTCATTTCATAGAGTTGATCATGCTGATTTACATATCGTAATGTTTTGAATGTCTTTGACTTCCGATATTTCATAGTTAAGGCCATTACATCCTTATCAATTTTACCACAAATCGTTCTAATTTTCTCACATTTTAATAAACCTGTATATACTTTACACGTTGATAAACACCATACTTCTAGAGCCAAGCGATTTCGGTCGCGACGGCATGTCAATCGCCCATGGTAAGCCCAAATCACACGAGAACATTAAAAATCCAGACTTTACAGATTTATATATCGTATTCGGTGAAGTCGATGGGCTAGTTGCACTATTCAGACAAACCAGGGTTGTTGCACAGGTCAGAAAAAGCCAAAAATTGTTTATAAATCATCTCAGGGTCACGAGGAAACCGGTGAATCGTTGCTGCGCAATTTACATGCTCTGAAGCTTGGGTTAAAACAGGTATGAATTAAACTGGAGGTGAAAACTATCAAATTTTAGAAGGATTTGTATGTGACCGACCTTCCAATTTTCCTGAAGCCGTTTTTGGACGTGATTATCTGCGAAACTACAACCGCTGATATTACCAAAGCGGCCCTCGAGTCCATTTCCGTTTTTATCAGAAAAGGAATCTTCAATGAGGTCAAAAGGTATCGCAATTTCATATTAAGAGGCAATATGTAAATTACAGCGGAAACGCGAGGAAGGCTGTCGAAGCCATTGCAAATGCCGTTACACAGGCGAAATTTGTGGGCGGTGCAAATACGGGCGGTGATGAATGCGTGCTATTCAAGATTTTGGCGGTATGTCACTCATCAAAAATTTATGAAAATACGCTACAGGTTCTCACCGAATTGCTGACCTCACAATCTGGCCATTTGCTATCAGACACGGCCGTCTGTGATATGTTGCAGTCCTGTTTTCGCATATGCTTTGCTGAAAATTTGTCTTTAATCCTTAGGTAAGTAGAAATGTATAAAAAACGAAGATAGAATCGAAACATATATAAAGTGATGCGGCTTGCAGCTTATTCACCTCCATGCTAGATATTGATTTTAGGGAAGCCGCAAAATCGGCATTGAATTCTATGGTAACCCTGCTGTTCAAGCGCTTCCCAGAACTGGCCACGAATGAGGTTCAGAGCGGCCAGAAGGTTTGATTGCCACTAATTAACATCAAAAGTATCGATTTCTAGAGAGACAAACAAAAGCTTCGGCGAGAAATGGCCAATCTTGGGCTCGAGGTCCCAATGGAGCTAATTGCAGTCCCAGGAGAGCCTACAGCATCAGAAGCTGGTAAGCCAAACTTTTAAAAAAATTCAAAACACGAGGTCAGAAAATGCAAATCCTGCCCCTGTGGCACAGGAAGCCGAGGAGAAGCCGGAAGAGCCACCAAAACCCGAGAAACCCGCCCAGATGCCTTATGGGCAGCCATCGGCTCTGGAAGCTTTTCGGTGAGTCTCTGGATCGTCTTTTTAAACATAGTTTTCAGCTTTATGTGTACTTTGATCAACCCGAGGGACGACCGCAATACCGAACAAATGATTCGTCTTGGTCTGGACCTACTGGTAAGGTTTTGGATGTGGAAGCACAAAATGCTTCAGGTGGCCGTCTTCGAGAGCACTGACATTGACTTTGGGAAATCGCCAAAGCTCCGCCACCAGGTTACAGGCCGCCTCAGCAGAGCTCTAATTGCGGTAAGGGATTCTTAAACCAGTTTTTAACTTCTTTTAGCTTCTCGACTCCAAAAAGTTGACAATCCTGGCTTCAACGGCCCGTGTTGCTTTCCATCTTTTCGAAAGAAGTCGCGATTGCTTGAAGTTGCAAATGGAGGCTTACTTCCAGCAGCTGCAGACCATCATTGCCAGTCCGCCGGTAAGTGCTAAAGTCGAAAAATAGATACAATACTTTAGACGACCGTTTCCAACGAGAAGAAGGAATTCGCAATGTCCACAATCGTGCGCCTGTGGCAAATCCCGGGGCTTGTCAATGAGCTTTACCTTAATTATGATAACGATCTCTACTGCAGGTATGTCAAACGTAGTGTAAAATCTAAAAATACAAATTTAGCAACCTCTTCGAAGATCTCATCAAGCTCTTTTCCGAGAATGCATTCCCACTTCACGGCCAAGAGTCGCTGTCATTCCTGGGGCTCGAGGCGCTTCTTGGTATTGGCTTACATGATTCTAATACCTTAATTTTCTAGTTGTTGTCGACTACATCAAACTAAACTGTGATGAGCTTAGCGAGGAGCAACTGACTCGCCAAAACAATGATCTGACTCACCTCCAGAATCGGCATGCCTCAAATCGGACTGATTTTGATATGTCGAGAGACGACGTGAGGAGATCTAAATTTTCCTGAACTTTCCTTGTAGGTGTATGGGCGTAAGAAGAAAAAGCAAATTATTACGGAAGCAACGGCATTGTTCAATACTAGCCCGAAGAAAGGTATGCGATAAAAAAAGAGAAAGACAAAACCTAAAACATTTCTAGCCGTCGAATACCTACGCGAGAAAGGAATCGTTGACAACAATCCGCTCACGATCGCTGAATGGCTACGCGTCAATCCGCACCTAGACAAGAAGATGATTGCCGATTATATCAGCAACCGAAAACACGCAGAGATCTTGAAAGCCTACGTCTACTCATTCAACTTCAACAACACCCGTCTTGACCAGGCTCTTCGCGTCTTCTTAGAAACCTTCCGGTTGCCAGGAGAATCTGCTGAAATCTCGATGGTCATGCAACACTTTGCAGGTCCTTTGCAACTGTGGTAGCCTGAAAAACTGTATTTTTTAGAGCATTGGTTCCAATCCAACAACAAGCCATTTGTTGACGCAGATGCTGCTTTTACCTTATCTTATGCTGTTATTATGCTCAATACCGATCAGCATAATCCTCAGGTAGAGTTCTTAATCCAATTTCACCTAGAAACACTCACATCCTTGCAGGTCGGCCGCAATCAACCTCGCATGACCGTCGAATCTTTCAAGAAGAACCTGAAAGGCACCAACGGCCCTGGAGATTTTGATCCAAAGCTCCTAGAAGATATCTTTGCATCGATAAAGTAAGGCAATATGAAAATTATCAGAATTCCGTCAGGGGCAATGAAATCGTGATGCCGGCTGAACAGACTGGATTGGTCAAGGAGAATTATCTTTGGAAAGTGCTTTTGCATCGAGCTCAAACATCTGATGGCATTTTTATGCATGTACCAACTGGTAGGAATAAGTCGGAGAAAACAAAAAAGTATAATTTTTAAGGCTGGAACGATCAAGACCTCTTCCGGCTCACCTGGGGTCCAGCTTTCTCGGCGCTCTCTTATGTCTATGACAAATGTGACGAGGAGGAAATTATCAAGGTATAACATTGCTTACTAATTTCCACGTCCGATTTCAGAAAGTGATGAACGGGTACTACAACTGCGCCTCCATTTCGGCCTTCTTTGGAATGTCCAACGTGCTCGACAACCTCATCATTTTGCTGTGCAAATTCAGCGGGTTGATGTCGAACACTGATGGTATGGCGCGATCGAAAATCGAAAGGAAATGTTTTAGAAATCCAAGAAGAAACCCTGAAGGCCAACATCAAGCAGTACGGGGTGGGAAATTACGGTCAACACTCTGTCGGAGTGGCGCTTGGGGATGATTTTAAGGTATCTCGCGTATTAAAGCGCTACCAAAACATTACAGGCTCTTACGGCGGCAAAGGCAATCTTCGAGTTGGTACTGGGGTATGGTGATACGTTGCATGAGGTAGGCCCGAGCATTAATAGTAATAGGACGTTCCAGGGCTGGAAATACGTTGTCGACTGTTTGATCCAATTATATCGGGCAAGAATGTTGCCAAATGCATTCACGGAAGTCGTCGATTTTGTTGATTCGAAGGGATGGGTTAGCATCAATCGGGAATATGAAAAGTTGGTGGTGATCCTTAATTCATTACTTGGGCTTTAGACCTCTCGAAATTTCGAAGAGCGAATCTAACTTCCTATTTTGGTTTCCCTTCGGCCCTGCCGCAGAAGCTGCAGCGCCAACCAAGAAGCCAATTTGGGAAGATGCTGCCTATCAGGTTTGTAAATAGAAATATCGTACCCGACTGATTGGTATATTTAAGGCGGCGAAAGAAGTGCTCGAGCAATGCCATCTCGATCAAATCATCGCCCGCTCAACAGATCTACCCAGCTCGGCGGTCGGAGAATTCTTGTCAGCTATCCTACACGTAGGGTCAAGGAACAATGATTTTAAAAAGTTTTTCAGGTCAGCCAAAGTGCTGTCTCCCGCCTCGACAAGAACAATTTGACAGCAGCCTTCCAAGCAGAACCAGAATCCGAAGATTCGCTGGTCTTCTGCTTGGAGTTGTTGACGAAGTTGCTGCTCACTAACAGAGTAAGAAATTAACTGGTATTCTATAATGGTTCTAAGGATCGAATCAACGACCTCTGGACGTACGGCCGAGCTCATATGGAATGGATCTTTGCTACGCTGAAAGATAAGAGCTGTCTGTTGGCGGAGCGAGCCATTGTGGACTTGCTGCACATCGTCGATCAAACATTCCATATCTTTGCTGTTGCTGATGAAGGGGTTGCTTGGGATATGTTGCCTTCGCTCGGGTTGTTAAAGGTAATTTGAGGCATTATAAGCGTAAATTCAAAAACATAGAAACTTACTCCAAAAGAATTCTTCGTCCACTCTCGCCAAATCTCCAACGGGTTAGGTCAGCTGCTGTACAATAGTGCTGCCAATATTCACCAGGCTGTAAGTCAAAGGTAATCTGGAAAATTGATGTCCTTTTTAGGAAGAGTGGAACCTCGTCACAACTCTTCTAGAAGCTGCTGGAGCTGCCGCTCATGAAGAACCACCTCATGAAGGTAAAACTACAAAACCGAAATGTTAAAAAAACTGTTAGGACCACACGGCAGTGACAACGAAAGCGCCGGCAATGCGCCACAAGATTGGATCCACCTAGATCATCGGGATGGTAATACTGGTTTCGTCAAATCCAGGCATCAGTTTTAGCCCTAAAAGCCCGAGACGAAGCTCAGCGAAGCTTACTTGGTGACAAGGCGAAAGACGATCACGCGACACTGGTGCTCCGTCAAAACCTGGGTCGTCACGAACCATCAGCCTTCTTTACGGTAAGAATAATATACCATATACTTACTAAGTTATGCAGGTCTGTGATATTCTGAAGTTCTTGCTCCGGGACACCGCCCATGTCACTCCTGAGAACTTTGAATGCTTCATGAGGTGCTTGAGGACATTGATGGAAGCTAGCGTTGATGGTGGAAAGTAAGCATCAAAAAATTTTTGTATATGCTTCTATTTATTAAGATATGCTGCTGGCCCTGCTTCCGGTGAAGCGCAAAATCGGCTACGATCGGAGCACACCCACAAGTCCCTGGCCGCTAGTAAATCGGAAGCCAAGGAGCTTGGTGAACAGGAGAAGATGTTGACTGCTGAATACACCCAACGGTCATTGCTCCTTTTGGATCTATGCCATCAACTGCATTCCAATGCAGAGGACATCTACAAGAAGTGGGCAAAGCCTGGTGCTGGTATGTGGGTCCGGCAAGGCAAAAAGCCCATTATTCAGATGCTACCTTCGAAGTCTGCCCGATCGTGCTGAAGCCTCTGCTCCAAGCTATCGCTAGATTATGTTGCGACACCCGAGCAGAAGTCCGACACGTCGCATATGATCTTTTATCTTCCAAGGGAGTTCTATTCTGGGTGAGCTCTTTTTCTATGAAAGACATATCGTTTCTTACAGCGAGCCCTCCTTTCAACCAACCCCAAGATCAATCGACAACTTGTCTGGAATGTCTGTTATGCTGAGGTAAGGCTTGCTTAGTAAAAAATTAGTCTTTCAGATCCTATTCCCCTTGCTATCCGAATTACTCGATGAGTTCTCTCCACTGGACCATCATGGAATGGAGGAAACGAGGCTACGGGTGCTTCAACTTGTCACAAAATCGTTCCTGATGGATCTGGAGTAAGCCCCTTCTTTTCGCTTGAACGCTCAATCCCTTAGCGATATTGCGGAGAGCCCGATGTTTACGGAGCTCTGGCTACGACTACTTGATTACCTTGAGAAGTACTGTAGAGTGGATCGGTTGGGTAATTTGAACGAGACGGTGCCGGAGATTCTGAAGAATATGCTCTTGGTAAGTTGGACCCCACAGGAAGGCCAAGAACTCGTTTAGGTCTTTCACAGCAAAGATCTGTTCAACAAAATCCCAGCCCTGTACCAGATTACAATCCACAGGGTTGGAAAGGTTTGGCTAGGGCTGGTGCAGGAGACGATACCTCCACCATCAGCTGCTCCAGTTGAGAGGTAACTAGGATCATTCAGGTTTTAAAGAAATGATTGTAGAAAACCTGCCTCACTTGTGAATCAAGCGGTTTCACCACAACCCTCTCGTATCTTCCTGTCTGCCGCAAACGGAACGAGCGAACCCACGACAAATCCGACGGAAACTCGACAACCCCCAGAAGCCACGGCTCCAATTTCCATCGTTCCTGAGCCGAAACCCGAAGTACCTTTGGTATCTGGAGCCTTGAAAAGTACCAATATATTTTTAGTATGAGGTCGTTGTGCATTCCGGAGCTTCTTCGCCGTTGACTAGTCCGCCAATTCTTCCATCGGTTTCTCATCCCTCGATTCCGGCGGTAAGTGGGATCTCATGATCTCAAGGAACGTAATTTTCAGAGCCCACCACCATCCGCGCAGGTATATCGATACGATAATGTCTCACATCAGCCTTCGCATCCTGGCTCGACGATTGAGGTAAAATCGCAAAGGTCGAAGGTTTAAAACTATAATTCCTAGAGCCCACCACCTCAACAAGTCCCGCAATACCAAGCAGCCCCATTAGTACAACAATACAACCCAGCTGACTATGGAATGATGCCAAATCAGCCTACGGTAAGTATTGAAACTCCAAAAAGTCATGCTCAAACTTCTAGAGCGCCGCGCCGGCTCCGATTTACCATCCAGCACCTCAAATGGCTACCGACTACCCGCCTTACAGCCATCCTGGCCAACTCCCATATCATCCGATGCATCCGGTAATTCATTTTACCTTTCTTATCGATGTTTCTAGCTTCCACACTATACCTATGAAAACCAAATGGCACCCAACACTTCCGCTCCCATGCCGGCACCTTTGATAAACCAAGAAAATGTAAATTTGCTCTTGGAAACCGGAACCAATCTTTTTTAGCCCCCAATTTCCTATGCCAATCCCTTGATGTATCCAATGGAGGGGCATCAGCCTCAAATTGATCCGGCCAACCGGACGAGCGCTTTTGTACCGTATACAGGATCGGTAAGAAGACGACAACTTATTGAAAATCACTATATTTTGCTAGGAACACCCACGCGTCCATCCAAAGCACATGAACTGAAAAAGCAACACAACGTGATTGGGTCCGGGTATTTATTTGTGAATCAAAACATGTGAATATATTAACGTCTACGATGTTCGGTCTGGTCATCCGTGTCTGTGAATGTTCGTAAATAGTGTCACCATTTTTATCGGTTAGCAAAGATTTTTATGTAAGGATAAATCATAATAATTACACGTTACGCACAAGGGCCCGCCCACACAGAGAACCAAAAATGATGAATTGGATGTCGTTGGACAATTGCTTTTTTTCTCATACGTATACATCTCTTGCAAATATGCTGTCAGAGAATTCAGAGCAGTTGTTTTATCAGGGAAAAATGATGAGTAATACGCTATGTTCTGACGTCATTAATTTGCGTATTTCGGATTTGCATCCTTGCAGGGATTCTGCTGCAAGCCTGTTCATTGAACAGTTTCCACGATTTCTCGGAAATTCTCGCCTCCAGATTCGGAAGCACTTTTCTACTTCAAAGGTTCCCCATAAATCCTTCACGGCGGTTAATTAAGATGTCCAGGAAATAGTTTTCCCTCTGGCCCTTATCGCGATCTGGTGCCTAGTCAGACGGCAAGGGTGATACTATTTAAGGGACCAAATTTTGATGAGATGAGGCACCGTTCGCCAGAAGCGAATGAGGCTTGTGCGCCACTTCGCAAAAATCTACGCACTTCTGGTGGGCATCCAGGAATTTGATCCGGAAATTGTCGCGGCAGTGCTAAACAGGTAAACATTCCGAAGCACGCGGTAACCTAATGCACTTAATTCATTTTTTCCGTAACAATTAATAAATAAGGAATAACTAGGAACGATACAATCTATTTTACACTAGGTTCGAAAGGGAGGCTGGCATGCGCCTACTCCTATTATTAGTGCGAGAACTCGTCTTCCCCTTATCAAGGATTGTCGCGCACCCGCGCCAACGATTTTCAAATTTCCTGTCTTCTTGTTTTCTTATTCTGCGACACAGTAATTGTTCAAACATCCACCTTTCACGTGCCGTCGCAACAAAGTTTCAAGTGACAGCCTCCAAAAACGAACTCCCTTTCTTATCTCAAGTTTATGGCACTCACACCGGGAAGTTCGGCTGCCATTGTTTTTTCTGTTATGAACCCCCTGATTTTTTCAGTGATCACCAGTCGGCTTCCGATTTGGACTCCAGCCATCCCGCCTTGCCAGAATCGTACCGGAAATTAGTGAAGGTAATTTCTTGTGTCAGTTTTTTGTGAGTCAATATTTGTTTAGAGGGGCCTGGCTGACACCGATAGCTTCTACTCTTTTGTTGAGCAACAGCAGCGTGGGCGCGAGCGTCTTGAGAAGTTGTTGAGTGACATTATTGAGGTCAGCATTAGTTTACAACTAATTAATTGTATGTAATTTAGGCCGAGGAACCCACAAAGAGTGTTGCACTACCTGTCTTGCTTGTCTCCGAGGTCTTTACGCGCCGATACGGGATGAAGTGAAGCTTTATATTATGTGGAAGTACGTATCTTTACGGGTTTTGTGATGTTATGAACATAATTCTATATAGGAGTAAAGTTTATGTGACACTGAATGCATATTCATCGACGATCGGTGTTGGGGGTTGAATCGGCCTATAGCTGGCCGGATTCCTCGACTAAAGAAAAATAATCTAAGATTCTAAATATAAGCCTAACAAACCGTATTCCTGGAAACTTTGGTTATCGGCCATTCGCTGAAGGGAGGCCATTTCACTTCGTTCAGAACGGGGATTCGATTCTATTTCGTATTTTCGAGAAGTTTCCGGAAACTTACCGTATCCATGTACACCATATAACTGGGACATTCGTTGCGTTGGGACCGGGTGAGGCATTCCGTTCACGGCCAGAGTAGGAATCCCGTTTGCCGAATTTCGTCTCATCGTCATGGCTTCTAAAAAATAAAACCTATGTAATGAACCCTAAGAAACCAATAGTTCCATTAGGGCGGATCAAGGTGGCATTATAATTTCCTGGCATTGGTCGTTGCAGTGTTGCGACACCTTCTAAACCGCGGATTTTGTTGTAAGCCTTCCTATCGCCCACCTTGATATTGTCTTTGCAAGGTATCGTTCGGTGGCATTCGCTGCATTGAAGCGACAGCGGTAGGCGACATCAAAGCATCACGCGATATCCAATACGTGGCATTCTATAGCCGAAAGTAATTCAAAAAGTGGTTGGAAAAAAATTACATTGTGGTCGTTGAAAGAGTCAAATCCTTTCTTCCCGACAAGCGTACCGTTCTGAAAATGGAAGGTGCAATAACGTAGAGGTCGAACCTGCGAGGCATCTTCATCACTGGCAAATGCGCGACGGCAAAAAGTCAAAACCAGGAAGAGATAAACGTATAGAAGAATACCTAAGCAACTTTTTGAAATAAGATCTTGTTAAAACAACCTGCTGTCGAGATCTGGTCCCTTAACTGGAAGCTGACCAATGGCAGCACTAGATACATACCAACAGCAAAGAAAATGGAATGCACACAAAGCAAGACATTCTGAGGGTAGGTATTTTTTTACTGTAGCTGTCATGATACTTACTAAACGGCTTTGTGGGTGCTTGATCGAAATCAGGGACAATAACAACGCAAGTAATAGCATAGCCGCCGGAAGTCCACAAGACATCGTGAGACGAGATTCAAACTAAAGATTTAACAACAGCCTTGAAATGCCTACATCTTCGCCTGGTGAACATCTCCACCCGGTTCCCTTGGCGCTTGTTGCAAAAGTGAGGGCGGTCGGCGATTCGAACCATGCCCACTCGACAGCGATTACTTAAAAAAACATAGAATTTTAAAATGCGTTGGAACCAGATTGTATTAACACCAGTCCCAACGAGGTCAAGAACATGTGAGAAGCGGAACTGGCAAGATGGTCCATTGATGCGGAGAGGCTGGCCAACCAGACAAACATGGCCTAGAGAGGATGGGCTCAAAAAAAGTGAGCTCACCTTTACTAAAATTGGAGCAATTGTCGCGGCTACCGAAATTGAGAACGCGATCCTCCGAACAGCACAAGAAAGTGCATTTGGCTGCATTAGGAAGAAGACGGAAGATAGGGATAGCAAGCAAAGACCTAAGATAATTTATATCGGCTTTCCGCATTCCCAATTGTCTCACCCGCAAAAGAAAATATGGTGCAACTTGTGTAGCTATCACTGTGCGCAGAGATCGCATGCAAATAGATGCACGAAAGCAACACAATGAAGGTCACGACAGCAACAACTGAAATATATACGATAAAGCTATTGAAAACATGACCGACTTGTCACAACCACTAATGGCATCGATTCCAAGGACTGCTTTACAATAGGCATTGATCCTGTTAGAATTCGACGCCTGCGCTCAGTCGAACAAGCAGACCTAGGAATAATAATTAAAAACCTCAAGCCGGCATCTTACTTTGGACAAACACTCCTCAACGAGACCCTGCTACCATCCCGATCCTCCATTAGTAGTTCAGCTGGGGAAGTGTACAAAAGCCCATTCAGAGAATCCCAGGTGGCAATTGGCTCGAAATCCAATTGGGTGTTGAAAATGACCCGATTGATTATTAGTGGTTGGTCTCGATGGCTGGTGGTAACGTTGTAGCGAACACCTTGAAGAAGTTTTACAAAGAACAGTTTTTAGTACCATTTTCTGCCAATGGATGAGTGAAATCTAGCCCAAGAATCGATTGGAAGAGCGCTTCCGCAGGGTCATTTAGACAATCGTTTAAAGTTGAGACCAGGGCTCCTAAAAAGTTTTTTTTGAGCTTTAGATGCTATTTTACATTTTAGAGCTTTAGATGGTAGGGACTACCTGGACATACAGTATCCACAACTTTTCGCAATGCGTTAGAAATTGAGTGCACGGCAAACTGAATTTTCCAATTTAATTCAAGGCTTTAGCACTACCTGAATCGGGGCCACATCGATATCAGGCGAGATTTTAGTGATGTTTAGCTGCTGCTTATGCGAACACTCCCTACAGAAGATAGATCGACAATTATATATTTCCCTACTTAGAAAATTGCTCTCCAGCCCCTCGCTCGCCTTCGATGTGACATTTGAATGCAGTAGACCAAAATTGACGGAGCCAGTGCTGAAAGGATTGCAAACATTTATCTTGCGTAAAACCTGTGGGAATGGGAAGGTCGGGAAGAGCTGTGCAAGCTGATGCAGGTACATAGCTTGGGACGACTTTTTCGGGGTGACCGTGACGAGAAGCTGGTCGAAATGTGGCCAAGCGGCAGCCCAGTCCTGAACAAGGGGTTATTGGCTTACCGGTTTTTTGCTTACTTTTGACGATTGCCATCGCGGATCTTGAAGAGTTAGAAGAATGAAGCGACCAGCTATGACCTAGAAAACAATTATATACCAAAATTAGCGCATTTGCGAAACCATTTCACTCCTAAATGCCTTCATCAAGTTGATCCAGTTCGACTCTCCAAGCAGCACGATAGCCACACGGGCTTCTAACAAAATGGAATTTTCTTATAGTAGATGCGGTTTGCCTGTCAGTAGCATCTTCCGGACGACCCCTTCAGCTGACGGAGCATCGGAATTCAGGAGCAAACGTTGCTCAAGGCACAATCCCCGAGCGACACCCATTTCAGACAAGGCTGATACAGCACTGAAAAGTCTTGCTGTTTTTTTTTGTTAAGCTATCCGTACTCTGCGAACAGTTCATCATAGACAACCATTGCACATGAAGACTTGGTGTATTCTAGCAACGAAACTAGCGCATCCAAGGGAGCGGACATTGGTGGCAGGGTTCCCGTAACGAGAGGCTGAAAGCTAGGGCTTACGGACTATTGCGTCTTGCTCACCAAATCCCTCCTAGAGAAAAACGTGTTGATCGTTGGCAGCTTCAAATGCCGGGCAAAATCGTCGACGTTCGGCATATGGGAGCCATCATCTCGAACGAGTGCGACCAGATCTTGTCTAGAAAAACAAAGATAATATTTGGACAAGCAAAACCGATGAATGTTGGTGCCACTCAGCAATTCAAAGAGATCAGCAACGGTCCTTAGGTCGGACTTGCAGGAGTCGATGACCACAGCGCCTAGGGTTAGGCCAGCTTCTCGCATTGCTCGTCCGCTATTTACCTATCAAAACAATAAGATATATATTTAATATTGAAAACCTGGTTAAGCGCGTCCAAGAAAGCCGCGAGACGCACAAAACCATCCACATCAACTTGACCACAATCCAGACCCTAAAAAATCTCGACATTTTGATAGCTATTGTAATTTTAAAAATTATCTCGTTTTGCTCTTTCACAGTTCTTTGAAAACTTCAACAATTCAAGTAGTGCTAACCCCTGGCCGTGGGCCACATGTGTGTATCCGCTTGTTTGGGCCCCCTATTGTTTGGGGGCATTAGCGGGGAGAACACGGCCACTCGGCTCCCTTTTTTGACACAAACGCCTCCTAAACAGTCCTCCCCCTGCTTCTGGAGCGCTATTCCAGACAACTCGAAATGGTCCGGGTTCGAAACTTTGATATCGATTTTGCTAGAGTGAACTTTAAACTGTGTTCTATCGATTTATGAATTGAAGAAGAAAGAGTAACAGGAAAACAACTAACCTTTGCATCAGCACTCTGGTGAATTGGCAAAATGGCGAGAACGTAAAGCTTCCGTGCAGAGGGAATGACCAAAAGATCATTCAGAAGACGATGAGAAGGTACGGAAACGTGGGCAGCGGTCTAAACAAAATTTAAGCAACTCGATTGAAGTAGTTACTTTCACTTTTCCAGTCCCTTCACTTCCTGGCTTTTCAACTTTGGTTGCAAATTTGGATAGTTTTGGCGCTTTTCGTGTTGTGGTCCAGACAAATGGGGTCGTTTCCTAAAAATCGTTTTGAAGTTGTGATGTCAAAATCATACTGTAGGTACAGCTGATGAGGGGGATTGGGTCGTAGGCGCGGGTTGTTCTGGGATCACCTGCGCCGGTGCTTGGCCTGAGGATAAGCTTTGTCCTATCGTCTCCCCCAAGGTCAGACCGAAGTTCTAAAGTATTTTTTTGCAAGTAGCTTTCGAAAAGGAGCTACCATTGAATTTTGATTTGTTAAGGGTTGGGCAGGCGCCTCAGTGGCAAGGCCCAACATTAAAAGTTGTTCATCGGAAAAGTTGAAATGTAGATTCCCGAAGGGATACGGTAGTGGGGTCTGTAAGATCATTGATACTATAGCTGTAATACGAAACCTGCGTAGACGATAGCAGCTGTCGTAATTCGCCATACGGATTCACATACGCAGGTTGCGCGCTACTTCGTTGATTCGCTGGCCGAAAATCGAGCGCGCAGACGAATGGCACGAGGAGGGCCCACCAGGGCCCCGATAGCCACTTCATAATCGCAGGTTTTGGGTCGAGATAGTCGCTTGTAGGGGAAAGGTGGAAGAGTGTTGGTGGGTGGTCGAGGAGTGCTGTAGGGTGGGTTGGGGGAGGATGGGGGGAAGGGTGAAGCTTTCAGCACCTCCACCCCACAAAGGTCTGTAATTGGGGTGGGGCGGGGACGGTCCAGAGGTCCCGAAGGGGCCCATACCCGCTTAACACGCGCAGGGCCCCCCGATTCCGGGACTTTTCTTCTGTTTTCGGAGGCTTGCGCTTGTCCGAGTTTGGAGGAACAAACGGGGGGAGGGGATGGAACAAATTTGGAGTTGGGTGCATGTGCGGTTGGAGCGAGGGTATTTTAAAGTTGTGCACTAAAAGAGTGAGAACAAAAAAATTCTTCTTACACTTATTTTAGAATCTATAGAATCACGCAAAGTGTTTCATGCTTGAATTGATCGTGAAGTGGGTTTCTGACGACCATTTTGACGCCAGAACCAATTTTTTTTTTAAGAAGAATTCCGCTAACTTAAAGGATTACGACCTTCTAGGAAAGATTTCACATTTAAAATTCGCTACATTTTGGCTAACCTTTTTTTCATCTCCAAAACCCTCACCTCAAAGGTGTTGCTTCTGCCTCCCCACCTCCCCACGAGGCGCTGTTTGTCTTGTTTTTGGGCTTGCACCTGTATGCCTCCATCCATGTTTCCCCCTCTGTTATTATAATCCGCAACGACGACCCAGGACAACAAGCGGATTGGGTCTTTCTTGCCCCCCCAGAATCCGTTGTTCCCGTCGGCCTGCCCCGGAGGCTGTGTGAAATGCTCTGCTCCGCAAGCACACCTCTGAAAAAAACACAAATTTATCCATAGCCCCAAAAATATTGATTATCGGCAGCAGGCGTGTACTTTCAAGGCAAATTGCTCTTCATTTCCGCCGACGGAGGCGGTTTTGACGAGGGAATAGTCGCCGAATCGGTAGTTCTCGACGTGGGTCTAGAACTTTTGACCGTATCACATTGATTACTACCTGATAAGCTCCAATTTGAGTGAAGGAGGGTGGGCAATTTCCAAGTGCGAGAATACAGTATCCTTTGTCGTTGACGAGCCAGCCTAAGTATCAAAATTAGGGGAAACAGAGGGTATATTACCCGGAAGACCAGGAAGTCCATCTTTTCCGGAGTCACCCTTGGCACCAGGATATCCAGGAGGACCGCCATCACCCTTCAGGCCGGGCAAGCCGATCTGAAAAAACGGAACGAGGATATAATTTACCCTTTTGTTCTGTGTTTCCAAAATTCCAGGAAAAAATCTCAGACCTGTCCGGGGGCCCAATCGGCCCGATCATGCCCTGAGGCCCAGGAACACCCGGCATGCCCCTTTCGCCCAAAAAACCCGGCTGCCCTGGGGTTCCTGCCAGGCCCGAGTCGCCTTTCTTTCCCGGGAAACCCGGTGACCCTGCAAAAAAGTGAAGAGGTTGAAAAGAGATCAAAATATCTATATTTTAGCGCATTTCACGCTTCAGAAAGTTAAAGCGACGCGAAGAATATAAAAAAAGTGAATACTATAACTCACCCGGCCGTCCCGGCATTCCATCCTCTCCCTTAACTCCTGGCCATCCAGGAGGACCAGGCTGTCCGTTGGTTCCGGAAAGACCTTCGCCTCCCTTCTCGCCTTTCACGCCCTTGGCTCCCGGCATTCCGGATTCACCGACCTAAATGTCACTAATTTAAAATTTTCGAATCCTTTCTACCTTTCCAGGCAAACCTGGATCTCCCTTCCCACCAGGCGCTCCAGTTTCTCCTCGATCTCCTTTCGTCCCAGGAAATCCCTAAAATGCACTAATGACATAGTTATATGATTGAATCCAAACCTGAGTACCCTTATCACCCTTCAATCCGGCAGGTCCAATCGGGCCCAAATCCCCCTTGATCCCGGGCATTCCTTGCATACCAGGTTTTCCAGGCATGCCTTAATTTCATTTGAAAATTAGCATAAATACGTTTACCATCTTCTCCATTGTCTCCCTTGGCTCCTTTAGATCCGGGAAAGCCGGGGGAGCCATTAATGCCAGGGGAGCCAGGTCTGCCGAGGTCGGTGACACGGATGTTCAGGTTTTTGACGTGCTTGAAATTTTTGGATAGATAAAAATAGCAAAATATACTTCTAAAAGCATCTCCAGTTCTTGGGCATGTTTGTTGAGTTCATTTTGAATGGAGATTACGGCCGCCGTGTCGAGTGCGGCCCATATCCGTTGGATGCAGAGTAGGAAGATTAATAATCGCCGCATCTAAAGATAGAAAAGCTAAAGTCGAGTCAATATAGAATATCATGAAAATTTAAAAAAAAACGCGAAGCCTAAAAACAACAAAGAAAAGACCCAAGCCCCAACCACCGCATCATGCCTAAAAATCGCACCCAAGCGACAAGAGATTAAAATAAACCCTCGGAAAAGTGGCAGTTGGCCATCGTAAAAAGTGTTTGTTGCTGCGGCTAATGTGTGAAAAGCGGTTGTCGAGCCGGGGATCAAGCCAGCGAGGAGCCCCAGCGGGTCCGACTAGGAGGAACACGCAAGTTGCCGATCAGGGCCAGGGGGAGCCTATTTTATCGGCGAGACAACTGTCGCCATCCAGCGAAAATCAGCTGTCAGACTGGGGGCACATCAAATCCTGGAAGAGGCGGGTATTTCCTGATTTCCTGCTGAAATTTTGATGCTCCGGAAGTTTCGATTAAGCGGAAGGAAGTCTGTAATTTTTAGTGTAATCCTCCATGCACTGTATTTTCACAATAAATATTTATCTCATAAGGCAACAATAGAAATCCATGAACCATCTTCAAAATTTGTCTGGTGAACTACGAAGGCTGCATAAAAAACAATAATTTGGAGCTCTAGCAGTCGTTCTCCAACGCATAGCTATTGTCAGCGGGTGTAAAATGCAAAGACCTGCTAAAAAGAAACCCGGAAAACCGAATGATCACTGAATAGAATTGATAAAAATGGCATTTGGAATTGGCTGTATAGCATGTAAATTGCAGAGAAGCTGTCAAGAAATACAAGAAATCAATATTGTTGATCATGTTAAATGTCGAGTTCCAGCCGGTGCCAATATTCAAATACCTGACCGGGGTTTTCGATTACCTGAAAAGTCATTTAAGATATACCTCAAAAGTTTACCTGTATCCATTGTTTTCCTCGATCTCCCTTAGCAGACGTGGAAAGAACAATGCCGCCTAGAAATTTATGATTTACGATTTATAGATTGTTAATACCAATATAATCATCGCGACTGCCCACATCATGGTCGTAGACGCCAACTTGAAGTGTCTTTTTGGGAAGGTCCTAAGAATACAATGACTCTGAATCGTTAGCTTTTAATATACCTTGAAAGGGACGATAAAAGCAAGTGTCTCCTCCCAATCTGGGTTCAACGTTCTTTTCTTGATCGATGTCCGTTGTCGATGAGCCTTTGAGGTTATTGGAGTAAGGGAGCTAAAAACGATCGTCTAGTACGTTACACAATCACTTACACTTTGCAATACGGGTCGGAGAAGCCGCTCTTGTCCATGCCAACCAATTCAGAGCCCCGTTTGACGTGGACGAACAGGGAGCCTTGTTGAATGTTGTATTGGACACCGATCAGGATCTTTCCTCGCTCTTCCACTGCGGCTTCCTTCTTTTCTTGTTGGATCTAGAAGATGATACTGTCATGTCGTTGTTGAAAGTTTCCTACCGGAATCGCGTGCTCAAGGTACAAATTGAATTTTTTGATGTCATTGACTGGGAGCTTCTTCAAAGCGACTCGAGTTTCACCCAGGAAATCGGAGCCAATGCGGTCTCGGTCAAGAACCTGAAAAAATTCGTAAAAGATGATTGAATAAGGCATACCGTAACCCTCAAGGTTTTACGGAGGCGGTCTTCGTCGGTGATACCATGATAGGTTAGCTCCTCGTTCCATTCAGGGTTTAGGGTCTAAAAATATGTATACGAAGTATATTAAGTAATTCAATACCTTTTCGATCGTTTTTGAGGTCATCTTCGTTGCTTTAGCATTTCCTGGAATTAGGTGGAGCTTCACGTACGGATCCGAGAACCCATTCTTGTCCATAGCTCTTAGATTCTACAAAAAGAATTTTATAACTTTTGTTTTTTTCTCTACCTTGGCCCGAACCAAATGCACCACCAACTGTTTCTTATCCTGCAGGTAGCTGATGTTGAACTGGATCGATCCGAGGGTGCCTAAAACAATCCATAAAAACCCGTTTGACGATGCCTTCCCGGGTGTACGGTATTAAGCGCACTACACTGGGGGTCGCGAAATTTGCGCAAAGTGTTAACGCCACACAAAAAATTATTCCCATTTTTGGTGCCCATCTAGCCATGGGCGACCGGTTTCAAGGCAGTTCGCATGCTTATATGAAAAGACAGTGAAAGCGCATAACGAAATGGCTGTCAAATTGGGCACACGATAGCGGTTAGGTGCTAAAATGTGCCCAATTTTCAGCCAGCTGTAGGAGAGAAATGGGGGATGGTGGGCCTAGCCGGAATAAGGAAAAATGTGTACTTTTGAGCACCAGTTGTCCTATTGAGTGTATTTAGAATAAAAAAGCGAAAAATGCTCGTTTTCTTGCCTCCTACAAGAAGCTCCTATATACAGCTAAAGCGTCAAAATCAAACGCTTCTCCAAGCTACTAGGGGCTCCGCTTTTTGGACACCCTGCCTTGGCATTTTGCCATTCATACCCCTTCCAGCTAGAAATCACCGTACCATGTGCAGGTTTCGAATAGTGTGTACGTGGGGGGTAAAGAAAGAAAAAATAAAAAAAAGAAGTCGTACGTTTCTCGCGAAAGACGGGCAACAAGCATGCAAAGAGCGAGGAGCGTCTCGCACCGGGTTCCGAAGCGGGCCGTGCAGTGGTGTTGGTGGCTGAGATGTCGCTGAGTGGGGTGGCCGAGCGGGTGACGGCCGGGGAACCGATCACCGGATCCAGACCGGAGGTCGAGCGGCTGATTGTGGCGGAGGAGGTGGAGGGCTCGGGCTCGGCTCGTTCTTTCTCCGATAGGGCGCGCGCTGGTGGGGCTCGGGAGCCGCGGGCCAGCGCGTTCCGGCGGGCTGCATACTGTTCTGCAAATCCGCAATAGTCCCCTGTCACTTCAAAACTCTATTTCCTGAGCACCCGTACCGTAACCGTAAAAATTTTTTCAAAACTGGGAACGGCGGTTTGGCTCTTCGTAATACACATCGTATGCTATGGTAATTTCCCTTTTCAACGTAAAAGCCAGAACATAGATGCTCATTTCCACGTTTTCCATCAACCTTCTAGAATTTTTAAAAACTAGAAAAATTTTCTATAACCTTTTTAGTGTTAGTATCACTCACATTTTCTAAGAAGCACTAGTTTTTGTCACAAGCTCCTTAAGGGGGAAAATCAGTTAAGTTAGTGGAAAGACAGAAGTGCACTTCGTACTTAGAGGCTCATTTGCATAGCAAATCCGATTTTATTTTCCAAACCGCCGCTCAACTACGCCCCTGAACACCCCAAAACGTGCCAAAATATTGGGTAATTTAAGGAGAGGTAAATATATATTTTTCTGTGGTTGAGTGGCAGGGAGAAGTGGGAGGAGAAGGGGAAGGAGTCGTTCAAGAATTTGCCATTCTGTGGGGGAAGGATGTGGGGGGTTAAAAAAGAAATATATGATTTTTCACATTTTCTAGCTGTCTCTAAACGCTCTCCACGTGCTTAGCATCTAATATAAAGGCGTATGGCACGGACATGAATATCCAGCCATATAAAAAATACATAAAGGCAATCGAGACAATCAAAAGAAGCACAGGATTTGGCTGCCGCGTTCCGACCAAACTGAGATACTGGGAAATACCGACCAAAAAGCCATTGACATTTGGGTAACAGCCCCACTCTTGCTGACGATTTGGACTTGGTAGGTTTGGAAGGAGGTTTTGATCGTTTGAAATTTAAATTTAGACTTTTATTTCCTTCCAAACCTATTTTTTAAGTTACGAAAGACAAGGAACAAATTGATCTTCATAAAAACATACTTGAGTCATCATCTGGGGAGCTCATAAAAGAAGCCCCGGGAGAATCGGCCCTTGCACTCTAAACAAAGTAAAACTCAAGCTTCTTGTCTCACATTTGTCGCCCGAATAGCATCGATCATATTGACGCTATCTGTAGATGTCCCTGCCCGTTTCGTACTTCCGGAGCTGATGCTCAACTTGCGGAGGTCGAGCGGAGACTCGCGGCGCTGTGTCTGGGGTTTAGGTTATTGAAATGGTTACGTGACATACCATAGGATTCTGAGGAGGTGGGGTAACAAGTGAAGTACCAGACACAGAGGTGGCAACTCTGGCAGAGTCTCGACCTAAAGCATGCTCTTATTTTTCTGAAAGTCAGCAAATGTCTGAGCAGCATCGTTTGTTAAGTTAAGTTATGCACCAACCTAAGCTGCTGCGGCTCCCACTCGCCTCCCTCTCAGCACTATCCCTTCTGGGGGTACTTTCGTTGGAAACTCGTCGGGACTCGCAGGACCCCTGTCGACTTCTGAGGCCAGTTTCTTTTTGCTGATGGTCTTGTGATGAAGCTGCATTCGCCAGAGGTGCCAGTGAGGAGACAGACAACGTCATGGCGGCCATCGGGTTGGAGTGATCGGATTGGACGACTAAAAAATTTAGTAAAAACTTGTTTTGAGTGAAGCTTGGATTCTGAGCTTTCTACAACCACCTCCGCTATCGATACTTCGCGCATCTTCATTGCTTGTTTTCGCTTCGTTGGCGAGGTTGCCTAAAACATAAAAAAACTCAAGTTTTTTGACGATTCAAACCAGTGCTAGCGATCGGATTTGCATGAGTAGGAGTATGATTCCGTTTGGCTACTGGAGTGGCCCCTCCAACATTTGCCGAATCAAAGGAGGAAGGTGTGGCAAGTGACCTCCTTGGAGACCCGCTCCTTGAAGACGCCGGAGAAGAGGATTCTTCTGAAAAACTCCGTTTAATGCGTTAAGCCAGCCCTTAGAACTTAAATTCTTCGTGAAAAAGCGCTTGAAATTATCTGAGCGTGACTTGACTTGAACTAACCCCTAATTTGAGCTGTCCTCTGGAAAATTGGGTTACTGTAGTTTAGCTATGACGTCATTCCTGTATGTATCAAAAAGTGGCTCACCACTGTCGCTCAAGTTGTGTGCGGCGATTTGGGCAAAGCGCTGGAGGTTGGCTTCTCGTCTGTTCTGGGAGCCTTGTTTTGTTGGTGGGTCCTTTTTCCGCCGCACTACGCCAGACGCAACGAATTCGTCTTAAGGGAATGGTTTTGTACTATGTTAGAGAAATAAGTGAGAGGCAAAATTCCCCAAAATTTAGCGCTACGATTTTGAGAGGTATTGAAGATGTATTCACTCTTTGTAAGGGGTACGAGGCATATTAAGATCTTAACTTACTTTCACTTGAACTGTGTTCATCTTCCTCTACTGACATTGACGTCATCACCTTGTCCTTTACCCATGATGGCTGAATTCTCGGCCTCGGCGTTGTCGTACCCCTAAAATTACGAGTTTTTAGGTGCCTGACATTCCAAAAAATCTGCATAGTGTCTGAGTAACTACTCTCAAGGAGAGGCCTATTTTGCGTTTCACACCGTCTCCCAAAGCCATTCAAAATGGCCCCGTCAACGTCGCTAGAGTACGCCATGCAACAATTTCCGGGCGCCGCGCGCGGTTAGGGTTTTTGCGAGGGAACAAAACGTGGTGTGCCTTCAAAAACGAATTTTCTACTTAAAATTGGGGTAAGTGTGCTGTCTACGTTCGGCTCTACACGCTTTTTCACGTCAATTAGCAATTTTCGGGGTACCGTACGTCATCTCCCGTTTGGGGGAGCACGAGGCACATTGTTCTTTTGAGATAAGGGGACTTGATGCAGCCAAACAAACTGCTACTTTCTGCCAGTCCAGCCGAATACTCATGCGAGTGCAAAGGGGGAATGGGGATGTAGAAAGGGAGAAGGGGGAGAAGAAGAAAATTTTTATTAAAATTTCTGCGCGTCAAAGGCTTCCGCTTACGTCAAAAATTCACAAAAGCCAGTCGGAAAAACCTCTGGACCAATTTACAACCCCTGGCAGCAATAAAAGCAACGCTAAATTCCGGGGCAAACTTCCAGCAACTCGCGAGATTTACGATAAGCGCACGGATGCACACGGAAAACCCAAAAGAGAAGCGGGCATACAGCCACACATCACCCAGAACCCAGATACATCCCCGGCAATTCCGTACCACTACGGGGACAACGGTTAGGAGGTGGGTGGCGGAATTTCGGAAAGGGCTAAGGCTAAGTCAAAGCCTAAGCCTAAGCCGAAGCCTAACCCTACACCTAAGCCCAAGCCTAAGCTTAAGCCAGGCCTCCACCAAATTCCGCCAAAAATCGGGTGTGGGGCAAAAAACTCTGAGGGCTGGGCAGTTCGGGGGGCTAGTCAAACCTGTGTTCTTCAGGAGTTGAAGGCTGATGTCTAGAGCTAAAAAAGAGGGGGGTCAGAGATGGAGGGCCATGGTAGGGCCACCTGGGTTCGGAGAGGGGGGAGGCCAGGGTGGGCCACTCCTCGCACCTGTCCGGGGTTGTCGATGGAGGGGTAGGGAGAAGACGTCGGACGGAGCCGTTTCGGGATGAGGACTGACCAGGAGCTCCCCAGGCACCGGGTGGGGAAGACGGGCCAGGTTGACATGCGCCTGAAACTGTAGCATGTGGATTGCTTAAATTTGTTTTGATAGCGTTGCGGCTCGCGTTGCGCTCCGGAATTCAGAACTACATCTCGTGCACACGCGCTACCTTTTTCACCCTTTCTATCGAAATACAATCACCCTTCAGCACCCACCGCCAACATCCGGCTTCACATACTCCGGCATCTCCTTGTAGAACCATGCGCCGCTCTTCTTCCACAACTAAAAAAATCCACTTTAACTCCGCCGTACGCCTTCCCGGAATAGCAAGCCGAAGAAAATGTCTCCGCTAACTCCCGAAAGGCCCCAAACAGAGCGGAGAAAGCAACGCGAAACCTCCGGGCAGGCGTTTTTGACGGGGTGGGAGACGCGGTACAGAGACGGGTGCCCTGCGCGACATGGTGCGTCCGGGCACCCACGGACAGACGCACACGAATTTCTGGTGTGAGACATGGACTTTGGACGATCGGACCCCCCAAAAAAATTGTGTAAATGAGGCACACGTGGACATTGTCTTCGGCACACACAAAGTATTGCGGTTGTTTTTAGTAGAGTAGCAGGCGCATTCCCAGCGAAAAAAAAACGTTAGTGGGGGGTTGGTTCGATTTGGTTGCCACGGCTTTGGTTTGTCAAGTTTGCCGGGTTTGACGGTCCGGAGGGCGTTTAAAGGGGAAAGAATGAACAAACAAAAGCCGGGGCAAGTGCGTCGTGTGGGTATAAGCACATGGAACGGTGTTTTCGCATTAGGATTATTTTGCGAATTTTTATCGGTTTTTAGTCTTTTTAAAGGGACCGACAAAGCACGGCAATGTGTAGGAGGTGGTGATGACGCGACACGCAACGCACGCGTTATTTACATTTTTAAAGGGACCGACAAGGCCGGGTTATGATTTTGCTCAGGCTTCTGAAGGGACTACGACGTGCAACGCGTCCTTTTTACATTGCGTGACTGATTACCGGCTAATTTGCAGCCGCGTTGCGTATCGCGAGTAACTCAAAACCTTGCCAATCCCTTTAAAAACGGTCACCACCTTCAAAACCCTTCATTAATGCGAAAACACCGCCGGGGCAGCGGGAGGCCTAGTTCAATTCCTAATAATATGGGCATGCAAAGTTGGTGCGGGATGGCGACCGGCATACCACCGACACACGGCTCACGGGGGGATCCGGGCCCATGTCAGGGGATCACTCTAAAACGGGCAAGACTCGACTCTGAATTTCAAAAATTCCAAAAGATTCCAAAATTAAACGCATGCTCTTCTCCTGGCAGCCTGCCCAGCGCGCGTTCGAAACGCCTACATAGCCAAATCGCAAAAAAAGAAAACAATTTCACAGGCCGTTCTCTATATCGGCGGCACCCCTCAGCTTGACTAACATTGATACTGGCAGATGGGTTATGTGCTTTTAGGTAAGTGGGGCAAGAGAAACTGAGCATCTATACGTTTTAACTAAGAATCACCAAAATTAGAATTTAGTGCGAAAACTAATAGATATCGTCGTGCACTCTGATTAGCCAGGGTTTTTAGATTTTTATCCCGTTTCATTTTTTGGCTCCCCAAAAGCACAAGAGCCCCTATACGGTAAAGCTTGGAATTGGAAAAATCGACGAGGGTTAGGGAGAGGATTGGGGAAAAGTGGCAAAAGCGGAAACTTGACCCACCACCTCTCTTGATTCGGCGCATATTTTGCAGAGAAAGACGACTTCTCCGGTTTTCGCCTCGACCGTCTCGACACCGCAATTCCGTTGACAAACGTACTAGAAAAGCATTGCTATGAATTACAGGAAAATTTACCTTCCGACAATCAGTACACATCGCTGCGTAGCTTTTACTGGCCAACAGCCCAAATTCGGTGTGGCAGAGCAGGCAGTGGGTGACACCATTTCCGGTGGCTCGCTTTCGCATCTTGTCCAGTCGGTCGACCATTTTACTGTAATAGAAAATAGTTTTTTTGTTTTTAAACGTCTAAACACCTAAACACACCTATAAACCACCGCTTTCGGATCTACCATGTACAAATTAGGCAAACGCCTTCTTGGTGGCTGGCTGTAGCCCTGGTCATAGTTTTGGCCGTAGCCTTGGCCATAATTTTGGCCGTAGCCCTGACCGTAACTCATTCCGAATTCAGAATAGCCAACGACAAAATCTTCTTAGCGAATCGTGAATTTGCGCCAATTGGCCCTAGGGGGCTGAGGTGGCCCCTCCGCCAATTTGTCGTTTAACGCGAATTGGCTAATTGTGCGCCAGACGGGGCCCGGAGCTCTTGGAAAATTTAAGATTTCAAGCCTCAGGAGCGTGAAAAAAGGGATGTTTTCTTAAAAGGAGGTAGACTCACCCTATCCGTTGTTGTTCCCGCATTTTGCTTTCTTCTACCCGTTCAAGTACCTGAAAAATTTGGAGATGAAGGTGAAGGTGAAAGCATAGACAAGGTAAACCTAAGCCTAAGCCTAAGCCTAAGCCTAACCCAAGCTAAGCCTAAGCCTAAGCTTAAGCCTAAGTCTAAGCCTAAGCCTAAACATTGCCTAAGCCTATGTCCAACCGAAGCTCGTAACTACCTTTTTAATTTGTTCCTGCTCCGCCTCACTAATTGCCCCGGGCTGTGCTTTGGCATTTGTTGGACTCCTCGCCGCCGACGTCCGCACGGACCAACCCGATTTTAACCTATTTTACAGTTGTTTTAAGGTCTTGCTCAACTTACTGCGCCCTCAACTGCAAATGCCGATCCGAGGGGCATACCCATTTGTTCTGCGTCCCTCCGATTTCCCAATCATTCATCAGATCTGAAAAAATGGAGGAATATGATGGCTGCGTGAAAAATCTGAAGGCGTGGGGGGATGACCGGGTTGTGTTGGGAGTTTTATTTATGTATTCGCCTGTTATCAGGGTTGCCATTTGAGGGAAATCGTAAAAATTGCATTGGGTGGAAATCAAAGGCAATGTCGCGGCCGGGCCGGGGGTGTTCCGGTCCGGCGTGGGTGCGATGATAAAGAGGGGTTTTGGAAAAAATCGAATTAGGTTACTTCATAAATCATGTATTAAAATATATTTGCAAAATTGAGCAAAATATATTTAAATTATGATTCAGAGATGCAACACTATAAATAGCGTAGCTGCTTCAGAAAGGCGTCAGAAAGACATTTTAATTGTCTTTAGAAAAATATACGGTTAAATCGTGGATGGGTTTACCCATTGAAAAAGCCATCTAAAGTCCATTTTCTTCAGAAAGCGTATATCAATTTATAAAATTATATTAATCGTTGAAAAGCAGAAAAAGTACTCTCAATAAAAAGGTTCGCTGCAGAAAGAAGGTCCATTGAGCCGTTCTGACGACCAAAAAACACTAGATAAGCCTCGTTCCCCGCGGATTAAGCACTGCATCGAAGCCAATATTGGCGCCTCCCCAAAATAGCCAATTTGCAAGAAACACAAGACCAAGAATCCGTTCTACATCTTCTACTACTGAAGCTACTTAAACCCTGAAGGCTACTCACGCCAATCCATGCGTTGCCCATTCCATGCAATCGCCCCAGGGCACAGATCCTGCAAAGCAACCAACCATGCAAGGGAGAAACGGCAAATATCAGGTGTATTATTTGACTGCGATAGAAATATTGACGCCGAAAATGACAGAAACAAAGGGAATAGGACTACAAGGTATGTCCTGAATAATTAGAAACTTATGGTAACCACGAGCAGACGGAATGCACGTTCAAAAACGGAAAAAAGGCCATAGCCTGGGCAACCCGTGGTGCCGTTTTAGCCAATAGCAATAAATCATTCACGAGCTCCAGAAGAAAAGGTTAGCTAGAAAGAATTAGCTGGTGGTTAGCGCGGGGGAAAATAGATGGAAGCTGAGTGGTCAGTAGCTTTGATGCAAATTTTTTACGCTTTAGCGCCGTTAAAAAGTTGAATAAAGGTGTGAAAAGCGTTTAAAAACGTTATTCTATCCGTAATCCGAAGATTGAGGAAAAAAATCAGAAAATGTCTTAACAACGATATCGATATGCAAGTTAGCTTTGTCAGATGATATCGTAACAAAATTTTGAAAAAAATTGGCACTCAAAGCGCTAAAATGGAGTATAACGTCTTGAGTTGCCGAAAATGACGATCACCAGTTATCGAGTTGTGTTTTAGAGCTACAAATATGTAAAGGCCGTGGTAGTGGTATAGCTATGTAAATCAGGGTCTTAAAATGTTAAAATAACAAGATTTTTGAAATAAATCAAGTGAGAACAAGCCAAAATAGTCAAAATAAAGTCTCGCCTATCCATGCGTACAAAAAGATAATGTATAGTTATAGCCCCACTACTCCCCCCTATCCTAGTCTAGCCAAAAGCGTTCAGTGGGAACGAATCGAATTGGAGACGAACGCGAAGAAGCGGGGCTGGAGACCTTTCTGAAATGCGAGGAGGCGATTTGTTGAGAAATCGAATGCCCGCTTCCTTTTACGGAGGGGGGCCCCTCTCGATACAACGCCCTAGCAGCAAATTTTTCGCGTTTTAGGAATTTCGACTTTTCGGGCGGGGTGCGTGCCGAATTAACGGTTGTGTAAGGAAAGGGGGGAGGAGGCTGGGAAAATTGGTTCTTCCTGGTTTTGTGAGGTGGGGCGTTGAGTAGAAGTGTGGCCGGTTGGTTGGTTCGTGGAATAGCGGGGAGGCCGGTCAACAACGGGAATGCCCCCGCGGGGTGGGGAGGAGGTTGGAAAATAGGAATGAGAATGAAGGGGTTATGGTTTTTGTTTTTAGGGTGATAATCGGGTGTGTATTATTAGTGCGTGGAAAGAATTTTTTTTTTTTTTTTTTTTTTTTTTTTTTTTTTTTTTTTTTTTTTTTTTTTTTTCTCGCAGGGGGGCAGTCAGCTTCAACCCGCCAGACCCAAGTTAGAAAAAAAATCAGAAACGACTCACTGGAGCACATGAGGGTGGAGAATGGTCGTTCGGGAGGCCTCGAGGCTTTTGGCCCTGGGGTGAAAACGGTGTGCCCCGGTTTTCAGAAATGCATGGACGGGGGGGGCTCTTGGGGGAGGGGAGCAGAAGCCGGTGGTGGCGGTGGTGGAAATGTCAAAAACACACGCTCGGGTCGCCCCGTTGAACCGCTTCCGGAAGTCGGGGGTAGACGCCGAGGCGAAGAGGAGGAGGGCATTGAAACCAATACAGCCACACCAAATAACACCCCACGCTCTACATACACAACGATAAGTTATGAGGTCTCGAAGGTTGTTGGGAGGTTGGTAAATATTTTATGTTTTTGGTGTTGTCCTTTGCGATTTTTATTTTCTTTCTGGCCTTTATCCGTTAAATTTTGGCCATCCATGCCAATTTCGGCGTATTAAAGTCCTCTTGACACGCTTCTAACCACAAAAATGAAAGTACAAACATATTTTAAAAATCCCAAAAACGAGTCAGCCTCAATTTTTAGAGCTCAACCCTGATTTAAAGTCTCAAAACCCTATCAGACACTCCCCGGACCCAAAAACGGACGTTTCGCAAAAAAACGTGACCAGACAAAAACGGCTAGGAGGATGGCGATGCGCCCGAGTACCACCACCGACTCAGTAATTAGATGCTCCAGGACCACAAGGCGGCAAAGGAAGGGCCACACACACAACTTGTGAGCCTTCCCCCCACCCACCCTCACCCAAACCTCCCCCTCCACGGCGCGATGGTTCCGGAAAATTCATTCCGGAAAAGAATATATGGCCCCTGGGGACCCATTTCCCTCCATCCGTCCCACCGGGGGTCCATGGCCCCGGGCCTCCTGGCTTGCCTCCGAGGGGCCACGATAAGGAGAAAATTAAATCGCAAAAGCGGAAGCAACATGGGGTTTGATTTTGGGGGAATCGGAAATGGAAGCTGGGGGGAGGTGCTTTTAGGATTAAAATTCGAGGAGAGAAAGGAGATAGTCAAACATTTTCAATGGGATACGAAATGACAGGAGCTTGAGGAGCATGAGCTTTAGCAACTTCCGTCTCAAAAATAGCCAAAATTCCATTAAGCAAAAAAAAACTTTGTACCAACATTAACCCTAGCAAAAATTCTGAAAATAGAAAATTGTGACTTCAAGTTTGAGCTAAAATAGCAAGAGCTGGAAAGCTTGACCTCACATGACTTTTACACAATTTTTTCGCCAGAGCTTAAAACAAATCAAAACAAAAATCAATTCATTTCTTAACTAATTACTCTCCTAAAACTCGCGCACCTCCGAACAACAACAAATTCTCTCGATCCCCCCGCATCTACGTAACAATGCCAGAAAAACGCAAAAAGAAAAATCGATCCACGAAACGAAAGAGAGCAGCGCTCTCGAATTTTTGATTATAAGAGAATTCGACGCCCCACCCCCCCTTTCCCCAGGGGGGATTTGGTTGCAACATCAAAATTTCAGGCTTTTTCCGAAATTGAACACGGCACGTGCCGGGGGGATATTTGGGAAAGGGGGGATTTGCGAAATTATTTTTGAGAGATTTATTTGTCATTGAAAACGAAAAAATGGATAAATGGTGCGAAGGAAACTGTTGATATTGGTTGGTTGGTTGGTTGTTTTCAGGTACTTCGGGCTACAATTTACGCAGGCGAAAATGCGGAATTGTTGGTTTGCAGTAGTTTCTAGATCTAGAAAAGGATTACTTATTGGCTTGAAAAATAAGTTGTTTTGATGATAATTTTGTGTAGAAAAAGCTCGAAATCTGCAAAAAAACATGAGAAAAATTCAATGCTCAATTTAATTTTTGACAAAATATCTACGCTGTGAAATTGAAAAATTTTAAATTTCGAGCATAGAAAACTCCGAAAAAAATCGGTAAATTAAAATAATTGTAACAAAAACTAAACACCATCAAAATCGATAACACCTTGTCAACATATAATGACAGCTGATTGCCACATAAAATACCCCAAATTTCAACAACTCACTTTGCTGAGGCCGCTCAAAAAACCCGCTGATGTTCCGAAGTAAAGGTGGCACGGCCGGCATGATTAGCAGCACCAGAATTCCCCGGAATAATCGTCTCGGGACAGCTTCTAGTTAGCCGCCGGGCGAGGTGCAACGGAAAATTGGCCCGTGATGGCTAGGGGGTGGGCTGTTGCGAGTCGAAGGCTTGCGACGGACGGGGGGCCCAGCGGGGGGAAAGCGCGGGCCCGGGCCCCTGGCGGTCCCCATTACCACTTCCTGCGCCTCCTCGTTTGCGTGTTCTATCACCCGCGCGGGCTCATTCTCGCATTTCAGGGCTTGGAGCTCTCTCGAGAGCATCCTTTATTGAAAATCACCGCGCGGGAGGAGGAGCAGGAGGCCGGAGGGCGGATGGACGAGTCGGAATAGAGTATGGGGGGAGAAGCCTGGGTTAGGTTAGGGGCACGGGTTTTTAGATGGGGGGGGGAATTAGCGCGCATGGGAAGGCGGAGCGGGGTCGCACCGATTTGTAGCCTTTTTTTGTTTTTCTGGTTGTTGTGTTTAGGTCAGAAAAGTGAGAGCCAGGTACGAACATAGGTGGATTTTAGCTAGAAATCGTTTTAAGGGGGTCTGGGATGTCAAAAATTGCTAAAACTTATAAAAACCACTATAAAAGTTTTTTTTTAGTTTTTGTGGACCGTTAATCGTTCTTTGATGGTCGCCAGGAGGGAATCAAATGCAAAATACCCAAGGTTCAGCTAGAAGTTGCTTAAAAAGTTCTAGAATCTTGAAAAGCTTCCTAAAATCACTATAAACCATTACAACTTTTTCGGTTTTTAGGTCTAAAATTTTTGTTTGTGGTTCATATTAGCTTTAAATCCAAAATTT